TAGCAGCTTGGGCCCTCGGCCTCGGATGTTAGTTAAGTGAGCTGCTCATCCAGCAGCAGGTTGACATTTTGGCTAATTGGACGGATGACCATAACATTTGGGTTCAGACAGTTATGATAAATTATGTGCAACTCCTCCCGCCAATTCTTCTTTGGTGCAATAATCCGGTCAACGTGTCATTCTGCTAACGCTCATGCCGGTGTACAGAGGAAAGCTGAGAGTCATGTGGATTGAGACAAATTCGGAGACTTTCAGTTGGATTTCCTTCTACATTACGTGGCTTCATCCATTTTCTGAAAACAATTTGGTCAGTTTATCCCTCAGTCAAGAAGGGATTTTTCAAAGCAATTTTGTTTCAGGGGTTTGTTTTTCCTCCCGGCCGCCCGAGGGACATTCTTGTTTTCTATAAGAGAGTCGTCTTTGTAATTATTTTTATTTTACTTTACTGTCTGTATTCCTTCTGCATTACCTGTGTTGACCCAACCTGTTTCAAGAAAAGCCTAAAAAACGGGACACCTGCAGATTATAATTCCCTAAAATGAAACCTTTGGTAAACTACTGGTTGGATGGGAGTGTTTTTAACAATGTTTCTTAATTCTCATTCTCATTCCCAAAATAATTATGTGATAAGTTCAATAAAAAGAGAGAATATGTAAGTTTAATGAACAGCGTTTCTTCCCTTTTCCAAAATGAGGGATACTTTTTTCAAAGAGGGTGCATCATTGAGAACCACTGGTTCAGATTAAACACTTTTCATATTGCCATCTGTACTTTTCTCACAAAGCTCAGGAGGTTAAATGATATAGTATTTTAGATTTGCTGCTTTGGGTCCCCAGGGTTGTCATTGTAACAGTCTGGTAATATCTTCACAGTTGCAAATTGCAACAGAACAAAGAGAGTGGGACGTGTCACAAGCAGTTTAAATGGCAAAAATCCATTCAATCACTGTGGAAATCAACGTCTAAAGCCAACTAAACTGTCTTGCAGGCAAAATTGATTAGTTGGGTTTTAAGAGTACAACAGCAGAAGAATACAAGTTTTCTACCCGGAAACAAACGTTGAACATTTGACCTAAGGAAAAATGAAAACATTGGAAGTCTCTTAATGTTTCATTCTAGGAGGGAAACATAACACTCCAGGAACATATGCTTTATGCTTCCCCATTTTCTCATTTATTTTTAGCCTTAGCCATTTTTTATACTATAAAAACGTTGTTCTGGCGAAAGGTTGGTGTGAAATAAATGTACAACTATAAGGTGGGTGGCAGCATTGTTTATCCTTTAACCTGTCATAGCTGTACAGATACAGGAGCGGGTGGAAACATCCGGGTCCGAAAAGTAAAGCCAATGCTGCTTAAACATAATTGGTTTAAATTAAGGGGGGGGCGACTTTTCTCCTTACAAATAAAAATGCTGACTGTAGGAGATTAGGAGAAAAGTAACTTTCTATCTTGATAAACTACCTTGGTAAACATTATGTAGAGCCAAATGTTCATTGATGGTCCTATTTGCAGTAGAATAAAAATCAGTGTATGGGCCTAAGGGGCGTGGTTACCTTGTGATTGACAAGTCGCTACAATAGCTGTTTGCTCTGGGTTGTTTTTTGTCTTTCACACTTTCACTGTGTTTTTACGCTGCATGAAGGCTGACCTTTTCAGGATGCCTGAAATTTTCTATACTCACCTCTTTGAAGAGTTAATTCCTGACTAATCTAAACGTCTCCTTGTCCACACTTGTATTGTTCATACATCAAGACCTTTCTTCACTATTAACATGCAGTAACAAAGAAAAACCGCGATTTGCATTACTTGATAAATTTCTACCTTCTTCCAGGTACTCCCACACGACCTTTGTCACAGGTTTCTTTAATGTTAGCCGCCTTCAAATGAAGCCAATGGTCACAAATTAGAATTCTACTGCAAACACCTTATTTGCTCGTGAAAAGTACGTTAGTCTTCACACATTGCAGCTCTCGAAGAAGCGAGGAGAGAAAACCAATTAAAGCGACTGCACTTTAGCAACAGCATCCAGTACCTCTGAATTCCCGTCACTGGATCTGTACAGAATAGCAGGAGAAACACACACAGACATGAAGGAACCCTTAAGTGTACTCTGCCTGCACCGCAGCCAGGTGGGTGTCACAGTGTGTCGATGCTTCTGTGAATGAGTGAATTTGTGATCATGTGGGAGGCCAGTGTGTCGCTGCCTACATCTAGTGGTAGAAGCACCGACTGCAGACCGACCAACATGACAACACATTGACTGCGCAATATATATTTAAAAACACAGTCATTGCGCAGAGCACGTATTTTATTTTAAATCGGATTTGAAAAAGGAGAATCTGGCTCAGAATTTTGAAGGACTTTAATTTCAAAATCCTCCATCAGACTGTCCTAATATTGTCCCAGCTGCACTCACACTGTGTGTTATTAATGTGAGGATAAATTAGCCTTTTCCTTTCAAATGACCCCAAATTAGAAGGAAGTTGGCTCATGAATGACGTTCAAAATAATAATATGACTCCTTGTTGGTGTCATAATTCACTCAAATAGGAGCAGATGGACAATAAACCTTTTTTTGTATTCTATGTGACTTACACTTACCAACGGAAATCACCAAGTGTCACAACGTCCGTACATCCACTTCACATCATAGAACTAAGACGCTTCAGCTGCAGGCCCGGGAATCTTAACCTTTCTACGTTTTATTCACTACTTAATACCGAAAAGGGAGTTTCGTGTACATCCATGGCTAACTTTGTAATCATTTTAATTCAGATAATTGGAAAAAATATTAGTATAATAAACGGCCAAATAAAAAAGGAGGATCAACAATTGGTAATTATCTTTACTCCTGATCCTCCTACAAACAAATGACGACACAGACGGAGTACGGTGGTTACGCCCCCTGTGGGAGTGCGTCGGTAATAACTTTATTGCAAAAATACAGGTTCCCTCTTTCCCGGAGCAACACCCCCCCAGAACTGACACACACAGTCTTCACACAGCCACATGCAGTGTTACCACTTACCACCACACCTCTCTTCCCCACTGGCCACCGCATCACTCGCAAACACACACTTTCATCCAGTAGTTTAACATTCATTCGCTCTCTTTCTCCCTTTTTTTTTTCTTGCTCCCTCCCTACTTGTTGCTCTCCTTTTTTGCACTCCGTCAGTCGAAACATAGTAAATAAATGCAGAACGACAAAGTTCACCAGCAGCATTAAACATGAGATCTCCTCCACCTCAGCGTGCCAGAGTTCCATGAGAGCGCTCGTGGGCGGGGGCGAGGGATGTTTGGGTGAAAGGGGGCGAGGGGGGGAGGTGTGTGTCTGCCTCCTGACTGTCTCTGATACAGGATCGTGAGGGAAGGTTGATTTGCATAGCGGACTCATGCGCTACAATTGGCTACATTCTCCCACATCCGGAACCCCCAAAACAAACAAACAAACAAACAAAAACTACAACAGCAACCCATTTTAAACCTTAATTAAAGAAGAAAACAAACAGCAATGTTAAATACGCTCTCTGAGTTAAGTGCCAACCTTTGGTTTAGTTACATCGATCAATCAACATCAGTACAATTCTTGAGGAACTTTACATTGGCCGGTTTTTGGACTGTTATTTTATATGATATTTAATAGAATAAAGTATATAATAAATTTACTCTACACATGTTAGAATGTGAATTATAACTTGATACATGTTTAATAACTGTTCATACAACTGAGGAATGGTTGACATCTCTGATAGCTCACTGGCTGAAAATATACCTCTAATACATATATATCATATAAAGCATATTCATATTAGACATGTCACCGTCTCAGGCTGAACATGTGCATTTTCTATTCACATGAGGTCTCAAAACCAGTTTCAGTGGAAGGTAAAAATAATGTGAACAGATAAGTGCCACTGAAGTTCACCTGAGGCCTTTAAGTAAAACAAACGGCATCGACTTCTCTCCAGCTGCTTCTCGGTCAAATAGCCTTCGGAAAGTGCACTTCTGCTGAGTAACCTTGTAAAGCGCACTTGAGTCCTCTCTTTCATTCATTCATAAAGCCCAAGAGAAGGATTTCAAAACCTACGTGCCCTCATTCTATTATGACTTTTTCCTCCCTTGTTGCCCTATTTCTGATGCTACCGTTTCATTTTTGGAAGAAGGAAAGCGCGAATAAACAACAGCGCGAGAGAGAGAGAGAGAGAGAGAGAGAGAGAGAGGGACGAGGAAAGAAATGAAGCGCTTTTCTGTTTATTCTCCCGGTAGAAACGGGAGAGCTGTCATTAGGTCGGCGAGCGGTTTGCGGACGGGGGGGTCTTGGGGGGGGGCTGGGGACTCCAGCTAGACACTTGTGAAGTGCACTCCACTCCTATTTGAAACGCAGATATTTAAGTTTATCAATATTTGTTAATTATCATTATCAACATTCCATAAGGTCTTAATAATTAACATACAGGTTTCATACATGAGTGTTTCTGTACATGACTTTTAGTTAGTAGTGAGTTCGGTGTTGGGTGGGCGGGTCTACTGTGCGCGTACACAGGAAGAAGAAACTAAAAATAACAACAACCCCAAAAACAAAGAAGAAACATACGCCCGTCCATCCGAAACAGACGGCGTCCTGCTCCGTGTGCGTCCAACGGGAGACGCCCATGAAGAAAGAGGAAGAGGCGTGGCTGCTTGGTAGGAGCTGAGGGTCACGAGGGACGGAGGACAAGTCCGGTGACCAAGCCGACGACGCCACGTTTATGGGAAAACCTCTGAACACCCAGCAGGCTTGAGGGGGGGGGGACAAGAAACAACAGTCCCGGGAAGTGAGGGGGAAAGGTTGAGGCTGTAGTTGGGAGGGGGGGGTCAGAGTGACTGCATAGACAGAGTAGTGGGTCAAAGAGGGAGGGAGGTTGCGTGCGTGTTGTTTTGCGTGTGCGTGTTGTTTCGCAGGGAGGAGGGGGCGGGACAGGGGACGAGCTCGGATCCTCCCCAGCCGACACTGGGTCCCGCGAAGGCGAGGCCCGTCCAGGAGGAGACGTCAGTGGAGCAGAGGGGGACACTGGTCGGAGGACAGCTTGACGCCCGTCAGACACAGCCAGAAACTCCCCGCGCCGCCCGGCAGCTCCTGAGACAAGACGGGGGGGACAACAGCATTTTGATCGCACAAGTTCACTACAATAAACAATATCAATGTGAACCCTTCATCTGACCAATACAGAAATTGCGCAACCAGCTTTTCTACAGGTGCTGCTGTACGGTTGGATTCATGACATTTTCTGGACATTTCCTCTGATCTGTCTATGCAAACTTTGTAATTTGGCTTAAATTCAACCTTAATCTGAAAACATCTCTTCCGAGGCTGGATCACAAAATATGATACTGTACGACATAGAAAAATCACATAAAAAACTAAAACTGTTCTAAAAATATTCTACTATTTTGGGGGAATATCTTGCAGATATTATAAGTGACATGCATTTTATTTAAAGAGGGATGTTTTGTACTTGGGTGATTTGTTCAATTAAATTCAAACAATTAAAAAATGTAGGTTTGTAGTGAAACTGTTATTTTGTGCTGGATGAAATAGAATCAATCTTATCAATTGTGTCTGGAAGCAAGAGGGAACGTTTTCATGCGTAGAGCGAAAGCAAAGAAGCCACTGAAAATAATTTCGACAGGTTGAATGAGTCTGTGTCTACTTGCTTGTTTCTGTAACATTTCTGTTTCCTGTTTTTTTTTATTATGTAGGGCCTCAGGCAGCTTACATATCTGTTTTCCGTTGAGTGTTTCCTCAACAAAGTGAAGCACCATAGAGAACTGACCTATTCATTGATGTAGCAAGACTTTTGTCTTTAGACCAGCGTTAGGCCTAAAGCCAGCTGTTCCCATCTGTTGTCAAGGCAAAATAATGGAATTACTTATAACATTGCTAATGTTCAAATCAGGAGGAAACAAAAACAACATCCAGAAAAAATATTTCAGATGCGCATAGTGATATTTGCACACTAAAGCTGTGGAAAGACGCCAGATGCCTCGTAGTATAAAAGAGATCTAAAAAGAGATCTGAATTGACTCAAACAAAACAGACAGGTCTGCAGTTTTTAAATGCGGCATTCGAGTAAAACAACGGAAAACATGCGTTGTTTCTGAAGAAGGGTAACTTCTGTGTCAGTTTTACAGAAATAAAAATATTCACTAATGAAATAATAACATGCCAAGAAAATATTTTTCCTTTCGCTATTCTAACCCTCTCTAGAAATGTCAGTACGTCACACGTGCCCAGCGCAGTGTTTACCTGTGAAGCGGTGGAGGGAGGTGGTGATGAGAAGGTGTTGGTGATGAGGAGGATGGAGGAGATGACAGTGGTGCAATGGCAACAGGGACTCAGAAGAGAGGAAGTAAGCAAGGAGAGGCACTGACGTCTGCCTGCTTCACCTTTTGAGAGAGAAAGAGAACGAGGAGAAGCAGAGAGACGAGGACGGATTGGAATTCGGAAAGCAGAACAAAGAAAAGGGACAAACGAGACACGCGGCGGGGACAGAAGGGGCGCGCGTGGAGTGCCGCTTCCATGCAGGTGCAGTTCTAGGGCCCGACCACGGGGGGGCGGCAGAGCTCAGGGAGTCACACTCACGAAGCTACGCGTCGCAGTCAGGCGGCTGCGGCGCGAGGTCACCGCCGTGCCGCTCAGACTGCGTCCGATCCGCCTCGGGTTTCCCGCGTCGTCAGGCTCCCCCCCGCAGCGCGGATCCCGCACGATCGGAGGCTGAGGAGCGAGAAAAAGTCTGTGTCAGCCGTTGGGAGGGACGGAGACAACAGATGACCTGTTGGGTGGGGGCTCTGGTTGAAGAGACCTGCCTTCTTACCTTGTTGAGGTAGGTGGGGGTGCAGTCCGCCCCGTACACACTCCTTTCCATGTCTGCGTTGGGGGTCCTGGAGCGAATCTGGCCCACCACCCTCCTCGATATGAGCCTCTCTGATGGGCTGCAGCCTGAAAACACACACACACACACACACACACACACACACACACACACACACACACACACAAGGAGGTCAAAACCCAAACATTCAAGGATGGTCTCTAACACGTTCATATAAAACCTTACATATCAGAGGTGAATGATTATGATTATTTATTTATTCAACAAGACTTCTGTTGCAGCCGCTTATCGAATAAACTCATAAAACTGAGGAGGGTTTATTTTATGGTGGCACCGTCTCAGCAAATTAAAAAGTCTCCAGATAAATGTGTTAATATTTTAGCGTAATTACGATTTGGAAACATGTTAATATATAGTTCTGAGATTTCATAAAGTAACATGTGAGCACACCAAAAGGCCTTTGTGTTTTACAAGAAAAAGAATATTGAAATTTCCCAGAATCAGCAGCAACAACCTGCATAAACCCACTTGTGCTACAAATTGTGTGCAGAAAATATAAATTATCTCTACTTTACAATGTTTTTAGTTTACTGTCTTTTGCAGTTTGTATATTACATATACAACATTATTATTATTTTATACTGAATATCAGGTAATGAGACCATAAAATACTACCAATTCCCCTTAAAAATCTATATTTTGGCCCCAAGCTTTAATGCCTATTTAAATAACATATTTTAAAAGGAGGTTTTTTTTTTTTTGTGGCTCATCCATTTTCATTTGTAGAACTCTCTCCTTTTCATTACGAACACACTCCAAACCTGCACAGCGCATGTAGAGTAGAACTGGGACAAAGGGTTTTATTTGTTTTAAATTCTAAACCTGATTTTTGTTTCCATTTCAGAATAGCTTTGTCCATAGGAATCAAACTTTGAACTGTTGTTTTAACAGTGACACATTCCCTATCAACAATGTCTGATAAATTGGTTTAATTAATGAATAGATAATCAAAATTCAATGTTCTGACAATTGACAAATTAAATAATTAATATACTAATTGTTTCAGATCTGCTGAATATTAAAATTAAATTGTAATGTAAATGTGTCGCTGTAATAAATTTCACAAATTGTACTGTGGTAGCTCCTGTGTGTGTGTGTGTGTGTGTGTGCGTGCGTGTGTACCTGTCTTTCCAGCCAGCAGACTGGACTGGTAAAGGGAGTCAAGCTCGGACAGCTCGGCCTCTTCGCAGTCACAGCAGGGATCGCCCTCTCGCCCCGGGGCATGCTGGGAGCTGCAGTGCCCCGGAGAGGACTGGCAACCGCGGCTGCGGCGCTGACCGGAAGTCTGCGGCCTGATGGGGACACATCGGTCCGGGGGCGTGTCGTACGGCGTCACCACGGCGTCGGGGCGGTCCAAACTCCAGGAGGACCAATGACGCGCGCCGCTGTCGCCGGCGGCCTGGTGCCTCGGCCAGTGCGGAGCGTCGCTGCCGGTGGAATGGGCCTGGGGCGGCTGCCAGAGAGGCGTGAGAGGTTTCCTCTGCCCAGAGGCTTGCAGCGGGGAGGAGGGGGGAGGAGGAGAGGGCGGAGGGGGAGGGTGTGTGCGCGTGGGTTGAAGGTGTGCGGAGTGCGCGCTGTGTGTGGTGTGTGTGTCCCAGAGACGCAGAGGAAGCGAGGGCAGAGAGATGGCTAAGTGCTTCCCCAGGGGTCTGACCCTCACCCCCCCTGCCTGCAGCAACTCGCACAGCCTCACCCCCGTCCCCTCACTGCCGCCCTGGCCTTGCTCCCCCCTCCTCCCCACGAGCCCACCCTCTTCCTCCTCCCCTTGGCCGGAAGGGGCGCAAGGGTGAGGGATGCTGAGGGTGAGCGGGAGTCGAGGGGGAGCAGGTCGATAAGGTGGAGGGGGCGGGTCCGGGCCCAGAGCAGCGTCCTGATTGGCCGTCGCCTGGTCCTCTTCCTCCTCCTGATTGGGCGTCAGCAGTACTTGGACCGGGCCAGGCTGTTCACTGGAGGATACGAGAGAAGGAGGGTGTCAGTGAGCCAGCAGCACGGACCCCCCCACCCAAATAAAAAAAACAGAGCTGCTCTGACGTCAGGTGAGTTACTGCATAGCGGGAAGGTCACCACAGCACAGCAGGATAAACAAGCAGAAAACAGACACATACAAGCTCACTTTCACACAGCAGAAACACACAGCGGCCTCAAAGCCATGCTGTCCATGAGCAAGGCACACGCTCTCCGGCTCCGGTGACCGTCAGGCCGAACCCTCCAGCACACCCGAAGGCTCCGAAGAATTGAATGTCGTTACCAGACAGCAATCTGCGCGCTGCTGTGCTGATCCAGTAGATCAACGCTGAAAATGAATGTGGCCTCGACAGTCTGCAGTAATTCGGTCTCGGCGGGCCACTATGTTAGGTTATTGATTTACATGCGTTGATATGTGGAGGACATGATCTATGTTGAACATTAGTGGTTTCCTCTCTGCAGTGATTCTGTACTCTATCGGTGTGTGTGTGTGTGTGTGTGTGTGTGTGTGTGTGTGTGTAGAGTAAACTAATGCGTGTTTGTGTGCGTATGTGACAAGAGCACAAGTGTGTAAATGTGTGTCTGTTTTTTTTAAAAGAGGTTGTGCACTAACCTGTCTGTGTGTGCGTGAGCCCCCATCCCCCCCACACTCAACTCTCTCGTCTCTTTCCAGCCTCAGTAATTACCCAGCAGGCTTTGCAACAGCAAGCTATAAATCTGGAGCTTGTGTTGATCAATAGAGGAGAGGAGGAAGGTAATAAAAGAAGCCCAGCGCCGGGCTTTATCTCCTCCCTCTGCCCACCCTCCTGCTGGTGGATTTACAATCAATCGATTTTTCTTACAAATTTTTTGCTGCAGTTTAATATGAGTTCTAATGAAACACGACATTAACTCAACAGGACGAGCTCAAATTGCTTGTTTTGTCTGACCAACAGTCCAAAGCATAATATTATAGATAAATTATAATTAAATCCATGGGACGCTGGGGCTCAATAACTCTATTATTATTTAACTATATGACATGTTATTTATTCTACAATATCAGTGGATAAGCTGCCTCTCTCTTTAAAAATTAAATGCGAACCTCATCATGAAAAACTAGTAAAGCTCTCTTTCCCACGCGAGGGACACGCGAGGAGGCCGACCGACCTTCCGTCACACACAGACACAGCGGCAAAGGGCAAAAGAAACAAAAAGCAGAGGGAAGCCTCGGCAGCGTCGCGAAGCAGCAAAGCAGAGAGCATCCTCGCTTCCTCGCTTCCTCTCTCCTCGTCCTCGACGGCTACACAAAGCCGAGCGAAGCCGGCCTTTTTCGTTTTTTTACCGCACTGCAACATACACACAAACACGGAGGGCAAAAGAAGTTGCTGTACACAGTCAAATGTGTTTTTTGAGAAAGCGCACACACACACACACACACACACACACACTGTGACTGAGGCGCAAACACACAACGGGGGGGGGGGTTGTGCAGCGCTTCCGGGCAGCCATGAGCTGAAGACACAAACATGAGGGTGTTGAGGTGTTTTTTTTTTTTTTTTAGACAGCCAGTACCCAGAGGACACACACACACACACACACACAGGGGGGTCCCGGGTTTAAGGACAGCTCTCGAGCCGAGGACACACACCCAGTGAGGGAGGGAGGAGGCAGGGGGGGTCTGAGGAGGTTTTGAGACAGGCACCGCTGCGGACACACAAAGGGGGGTTGGGACAGTGGTGGTACCTGCGAGGCCCCTGTGGGCGGGTGCTTCCTGTCTCCCGTTCCGTTTCCTGTTCCTGCCTGCGTTTGATTGGGCCCCCAGTGCTCCTCATGCACGCAGCTACAACCAATCCGCTATGAGCGTTAGCCTCATGCAGGGGTCTGAGCACAGCTGAGGATGTTAACCACAGAGTGGGAGAGAAAAAAGAGAAAAAAGACAGGAAGATATAAGGACAGAGCGGCAGAGAGGAGGAGAGAGCGAGGGGGGACGCAAGAGGAGGGAAAACCCCAACGAGAGTACCAGAGGGAGACGGAGACAAAGGATAAGGATGGAGGAGACAAGAGGAGAGACGGTAGAAGCAGGGCAGAAGGAGTGGTTATGTTATGAGGGGGCCGGCATGCTTACGCTCCTCTACTGTAAGTCAATGGGTGTGTAATTTACACATGTTTGTATGGAGCCAAATCCAGGTCGAAAAGTTTTGATCATTTGAAAAGACAAACGTGAACCTGAAAGTTCAACTTTTGGTCGTGAGCGTTGAAAAACACAACAATGTATTCAAAATAAAAATAAGTGGACCAAAAGTATTTTGGGGTTGAATAAAGTTTCTTTTTTCATCCAGGTCTACTTTTGACCTGGACTTGGCTCCATATGTTTGGAGTTGCAGAGTGGGGGGATTGATTTTATTTATTTAACGCTGTGCCAATGTTATCTGACAGTTGGGGAACTTCTTAGGATCCATAATATTGCTTCGTTAAAGATAGACTCCAACTTCCCGGGATGGGAATGATTCCCAATCCTAGCGGCTCTTCCCACTCTGCAGCTCTGTGGTAAACACTTCAATCTGTCAACACTGATAAGTCAAAAAGTCAAGATCAGACGAATGAGGAGTAAAGCCTACGTTCATGAAGCCACAGACACCAGACGGAGAAGTACAAAGCTTCACATGGTGCGTAACCTTTTCAATGGTGTTAGTTTGGTGTGAAAAAAAAAAAAACGATGCAGAGGAGGACAATAAAAGAGCAGCCATCATCCCTCCTGCCTTGAGTTTACAGACCCTGGTTTGATAGAGACGGGATGAAGGAAGGTTAACGGCAGCACTGTTGTTGTCGTTGGCTGTAACATCCTCTAAAACCCCGAGGCAGATTGTTTGGAGTCCGGGTTTAGACCATCGATACGGATGTGGGAAACCAAATTCAGTTACGCAACCGCACTGATAGCGACGCCATCTGTTCGCTTGCGAGTCGTCCTTTCACTTCATCAAGGTTGAGTGTGCTCACAGGAGTGTGTGTGTGTGTGTGTGTGTGTGTGTGTGTGTGTGTCAGGTACATGAGGCTGAACACACTAAAGCACACGCAGTAGGACGGACAGGACACAACACGATAATCCCTGATATAAATTTAGTAAGTGCTGAGCTGGAAGGGGAAAACCTGCACACCTGCAGTTCAGACGAGGCTCTCTCACATACGAGCATTTATAAAAAATATCAACACAGGCACAAAGAAATATAATGTGTGAAAACACACATAGGGGAATGTGGACGTCACCACGGCGTTTTTTTCAAGTGTCTCAGAGTGAGTCACAGTCATGCCACCAATCTGCAAATTGCAAGATATAGATGTTTAAAGTGTCTAAATGTGTATCATAATGTTTTCCCTTTTAGTCTGAAATAAGATGCCTCACAGGACTCAAGCCTCAAGTCCTGGTTGTGTATTTAGTAGTGCAAATCCACAAAGTGGCAGGACTTGCCAGAGACCGATTAAACAGGACTAAGAGTCTACAACCATGCTGGCGTCTCTGTGACTATCTGTACTCAGGCACAGCTGCTCTTTGAGCTAAATGCTAATGTCAGCGTGCTGAAAAGATTTACCAGGTATATGTTCGGCCTTTTAGTTTAGCCTTTTGGCACGTTAGCACATGGTAATCATGAGCTGAGGTTGTCGGGAAGCTCATTAGTTTGGGCAAATTATATTGTTGAGGCATTGCAGGAAAAGTCAGGGAGGATTTCAACCACAATCCACAAATCTGCCTGTACAAAATATCCGAGCAATCCAACCAAAGCTGTTGAGGTACTTCGGTCTAGACCAGATTAGGGCCCCAACAGAACCGATAGCGGGGCTGAAGTAGAAATGAAATGCAACTACCTAGTATGAGCCAAACTCCAACAGCAAGCCTACACTTCCCATCATGCATCGCTCCATTGCTGGTATATTAATATTAATGTTTCATGTAACGTAAACCAGCAGCGAGATGAACACGATGAACATTGATTAATTATATCAGAAGCTCCTCCAGAGCAACGGAAGACACTGCACTAAATATTTTTAGTAAATTTACTTTGACACGTAGTCTCACATCTACAGCTCTGTAACACGTGAAGATACACAGACACACACATGAAGAACATGAAGAACTGAGAAACTGAGGCACGTTGTGAACTCCTTAAAGATCGACTCCCAACAGTAGCTTCCTACTCCCATTGTTGGTCAGCAAACGTTCTACAGGAGTCGTGTTGCTAAAACCTGATCCGACTGGGATTTGCTTTCTGAACTTTGCTGTCAAACACACACACACACACACACACTTATTCTGACATAAAACACTCACGGATGACACACAAAATATTTAAATATAAACAGCACAAACGGAACCGATAAAACATTCCGACGGAGGGAGACAGATGGAGAGGCAGACGAACAGATGGGACTGAGGACGTAGAGGAGGTCACACAGAAAGTATAAGTCACTGTGACTGCTAAACTACACTAAACAGGTGATAATGTCACCTTAAAGCTGCACCAGGAAACATACACACATATATATATATATTAATTATTTTTTTCCCTTTCCTTAATTAACTTCTAACCTCCCACGTCTCCTTTCTCCTTCCACCTCTCTCCCTCCCACTTGTCTCTTTCGGTCTCTCCCTCCAACCCTCTTTTCGTCAGCATACCCTGGTGTTGGAGCTGGTCCAGGTCCATGTATTTGCTGGGTTTGGGGTTGAATCCCATGGCAGCCTCCCGCTCTGCCTCCCTCCGCTTCTGCTGCTCTTGCTGGCGGGCTCTCCTCGCCACCTCCTCCTGCAGCTCGTCCAGCTCACTGCGCCCTGGTCCGCCTGAGCAAACACAAAAAACGAAGATGGAAACGATCAACCCGGGTCGAATCCGAGCCGCGGCGGAGATGCGGGATACATCGTGCGGCCGCCACACACCGGTGGCGGTGTTGGAGCCGCCGCCCCAGCTGGGTGAGGGCAGCTCCTGCAGGATGGCACCGCTGCTCTTTGACTTGGGCACCGAGCGCCATGAAGGTCCTGACATCAGCACCCGTTTCTGTTGGCCCACCTCCCTGGGGAGGGAAAGAAACCAAACAATGAGAGCAAAGAAAAAGAGACAAAAGAGGAAGAAATGTTGAGAGTGCAGATCATATGTCTCTTGACAAATTGGTCGATCAATTGATTTGTTGTTGTGGACTGTTGGACATTTTGTTGTTATTCATTTTCACATTTCTATTTCAAGCTGGCGAAGTGAAATTCAATATGACAGAGAAACCCTGGGAGGGAAAGACAATGAAGGACGGAGACGGAAAGGAAGGGACAGTAATGGTTATTTGTGAGTCTCCTACCGGTCGGGGCTGCTGCTGTTCCGCTCACTGCTCTCGTAGCCACTTTCCATCCTCTGAATCAGACGTGGCTGGTGCTCCACCCCTCTCAGAGGTGGAGGGGCAGGGGGACCCATTGTCCGCCCGCTGCCCAGAGACCTGGGCTGTCCGACCGGCCCAAACCCCGCCTCCAACTCCCCAGCCTCCCTCGCTTCCACCTCCTGCAGCCCTGGCTCTGAAGGCGGAGCGGGTCCCGCCGAGGCAACGGTTTCCTGGGTCTCCGGAGGGAGGGAGGGAGCAGGCAGGGTGTTGTAGCCCAGAGAGGAGCCTCTCGGTTGGGTGAAGATGCTGTCGATGTTCAGGGCCTCTCTTCTGGGCCTCCAGGTTGGCCTGTAGCGACCTCCAGAGGAACTACGAAGCCAGGGAGGACGATGTTACACAACCCCATTTAACAGTGCAGGACTCTTACATCTGTTGCTTAAGGTAGAGCACTTAGCACTTGTCATCCGCAGGGTGCAGGGATCTTAGCACAGGCAAATAGTCACAAAATGACATCATAAAAATAACATGAAATGCAACTTCACACGATGAATGGGACTGAATGGGGATTCCGAGGCAGGGAGCCTAAAGTTGATGCGTGTCCTGGTGGCCAGTACCTGGACTTGCTCTCACTGCTGGTGCTTTCATCCTCCCACTGAGGCCCCCCGGCCCCGCCCTCACAGCCCCCAACCCCTGACGAAGACGAGGAGGACAGGGGGCGAGAGGAGGAGGAGGAGGAGGTGAGTGGCCGGCGGGAGGAGAGGAGGAAGACGGCCGTCTCCTTGTACTCCTGCAGAGGAGGAGAGGGAGGGCGGGGAGGACCCTCCACTGCTGACTCTGAATGTTGGAGAGAGAAAGACGGAAAAAAAAAACGTAAACCCAATAACACTTTTATTTATACCACAGGGGCCAATTATGTAGGCAGCAGTGCAAGTAAACATAAGAATAACCAGCCACGAGGCGGATAACCTAAAGAGTCTGCAGGGATGAAGCACAAACAACTCACTTCATTACCACTGTTTGCTCTCACTTATTCCTGGGACAAATTCCGCAGTCGAGTACTTTCTCGCAAAAACACTGCAGTCACTTGTGTACTTCAAAGTAGTCGAAGCTGTTCTTCTGTGAGCGCTGGCTTTGTCCCCGGACTCGGATGTAGAATTACCTCCAGCGTCAGCCCCGTGCGGCGGCGCGACGATGTCGTGGTTGCAGACCACGGTGGTCTGGGACTCGCTGGAGAGGTGGCTGCCCGTCGACTGATGCAGGGATCGGCTGCGGGAGGCTCGGTGACCCGAGCTCTCCGTCGACGAGTCGGTGCGGGTATCGCTGGATATGGACGGCTCCCGGCCTGAGAGGGAAGGAGAGAAAAGGGGGATGATCTTCCTGTTAATCCGGCATCCCCGTATGCGTACAGTTAAAAAAGGCAGGAAAACATGTTCAGCCGCTGCAATGTGCTGAAGGCAGAAGTCGGATTACAGGGTTGAAGGTCAGAGCTTTAAAGCTGAAATCTCGCTTGCCCCCCCCTCGATGATAAACACCGAATAATCTGATTTGTGGCAGAGTGTGCCATCTTTGGCGTACCAGAGTCTTCGCTGTCGTAACCGGCCTTGCTGCTGGCGTGCTGGAGCTCCAGTTGTGGGTTGGAGCTGGTACAGGGGTTGGGGCTCTCCTGCAGTATCACCGGCGTCCCACGGGGGTCAGCGTAGAGCAGCAGCAGGGGCTGATAGTGGCCTTTGATACAGCGGGACACCACGTCCTTCCACTTGGGCCCGATCTGGGGGTGCAAGCAGGGCAACGCACACACATGAAGACTCTGGTGAATTTAAATATGACAGCACACGTCCCACACACACACACACACACACACACACACACAAAGAGAAACTCATCTATCCATGTTAAGATATAAAATATCCCACTGAAACTAGAAGGTCAAACACGCATTGTGCTGCTGTGTGTCGTTATTGATATCAGCTCAATAATACCGTATATGTCCGATAGTGTGAAATGTGTCAAGGACACACTTTTGAGACAAACACACCCCTCTCCCCCTCTGGTCAGTCACAGCGGATTGTGCATCCTTTTCCCCCAGCCGTACGGCGGGATACCCTCGCGTTTGAATCATGAGACCGGCTGCAGCGGCAAAAACCCGCGCTACGATCAATCGACGACGGGGATTAAACCGTCAGCAACTCACGCACGGCGTAGTTCCTGCGACTGCTGCTCCCGCAGGCACAAGTGGAGGTGCAGCGGACGCCGCACAGCACTGCACAGCACAGCCTCGCGGCATGCAGACTCCCACAACCGCGTCTCACCTCTTTGACGTGGGCGTCGTCGAAGTACATCCACTTGCGTATCTTGGTCTGGAAGAAGAAGGTGGAGTAGTGCTTGCCGTAGTAGCACACCATGCCCACCAAGTAGAGCTCCGCCTGGCGAGCCCTCTCCTCTGTCACGCGGTAGAACAATTACAGGGGGAGAGAGAGGGTGAGAGGGGGGGGGGGAGGAGGGATGCAGGGAAGAGAGGCAGGGAGGGGAGGGAGATAGAGATACGGGGGAGTTAATGTTAATACACCTAAATTCACCTATACGGTGTGCTGCATGCAGTGATCCTTCACATACTGTGCAGCGATGCAGATGTGATGCACAGATAACACAGCAGATATTTGCCCCCGTTACACAGATGAGGTACTGGGGCTGTTGGTTTAAGAACGTAACGGCTGTCCACGGTAATCCCGCTCTGCTGTAGTTTTCCCCAAGGACCTCTCGGTTGCACTGACTCGCACTTTTTGAAGAACATACCACTATTTCACCTTATTGTTATCGGCAGCTGACTGCACATTCCTCATAGTGAGTAACAACTGCTTCGGTTTGGACTAGGTGTCACAAAGTACCTGTATTTACATAAACCTTGATTTTTCAATATGATATATCGATTCCTACACACGTATTTTGAGTGGGATTCTTTTGCCAAACAAAGGGCCGAAATGCACAATATATTAATTCAGATGAATTTGATAAATCGCATCATTGTTTGTTTTTTAATTGATTTTAGGATAATATCGTTGGTCACTAATTACAAACAAGCCTGCATTTTTAATTGTGAGCAGCTGGCGTCCTACAGCGTGTTTGTCTGACAGAGCTAACGGCTAACGGGGGTAATGCTCGCGAACTCCAGCTCCGCTGCACAGACAGCCGGATTAAATGAAGAGTGAATCTGTTGCGTGAGAAACACATTATTCAATTGACATTCCAGCCGTGGTCTTTGCAGACACACCTGGCAGAGATCTGCAACTCTAATTTACTTCCACCCAAGTTGATGACCAGATATTCAAAAAAGATATTCAGCTGGTTTCCAGCATATAATAATAAATGCCATGATGTCATCGATCAATTGCGTCTGTCAGCGCTAAAAAGGACCCAATCCATGCAGAGAAATCAACATAAAAGAGTAACGGGGAAGCAAACAGTAGAGAAAGCAGATGCAGAGGACAGACAAAGAGAGACGGGGAAAGCCGTGGCAGAGGAGGAGGGATACACGAGGCAGATGGATTCATTTTGTCTGATTCCAACGACTAAACAAAAGAATGCGATGGATTGTGCCTCCAGTTCGTATCTGACAACCAGCATCATCTCCCGAGAGCAGGATGTAAAGGAGGGGAAACGGCAGCAGGCACAGACAGAAGATAACTTGACTCACGGTAACGCATAATCCCTTCTATCCATTATTCATAGATATCGGGAGATGTTACAGTAGCATATAAATGCATCAACATTGCTCGGTGGTGACGCCGGGGTGTGAGGGGGCGCACACGCCTGAGGCCCGGCAGCTACACGACAGCAACGGAGGCCAGGTGGTCGTGTGTGTGTGTGTGTGTGTGTGTGTGTGTGTGTGTGTGTGTGTGTGTGTGTGTGTGTGTGTGTGTGTGTGTGTGTGTGTGTGTGTGTGCGTGCGTCATTTCTTGTTTTTCACAGTGAGCCGGAAGGAGGTTGGTTGTTTAGCGGACTGTACAGCGTGCACGTTTTGTGTCCCTAATCTGTTGTCATGTGTGTATTTGAGCGTGCGCACTTTACACGTGTGACTTTCTGTTACCCAGGACGAGGGGTCACATGAGTAGAGGTCACAGGTTTAACTCTAGGAGAGTTTTGCACGTATTCTGTCATGAACTGTTTTTTATTTTACGTGATGATGCCGAACTAAAAGTCACAGGCTCACCACTGGGATCCATCCTCTTGAAACATTATTTTATATAACACATTTAATGGCAATCCATCTATGCGTTGAAGCATTTCAATCTGGAAGTGTCGGAATGTGTATGTGTGTGTGTGTGTGTGTGTGTTGTGTGTGATCCCCTTACATCTCCCAGACGCAGGCAGGTCCCCAGGCTGTGTATGACGTCCTCCGCCAGGTCGGAGTGGTCCGAGTCCCACACCAGCCCGATGGACACGATCTCCGGCGAGTTCATCAGCACCCGGCGGATGCGCAACACCTCCCCACAGTTACTCTGGGGCGGCGGGAGGGGGAGAGGAGGGAGGAGGAGAAAAAGGAACGGGAGAGAGTGTGATCATCCCGCGCCACCATCGCTAACACCGTCCCTTTATTTGGCGGTGACGGACGAACACGCAGGGATAAACTGCACGGCAGGAGAAGGAGATAAAAGGCCGGCGAGAGAGAGAGATGATGGGGGACGAGGGGGTTCGACAGAGGAAGAAGTGCTGTGCTGGGTTCTATTTGTCTCTCGAGCCTTCTGTTGAGTTTAGAAGCGCCTGTTCCGAATCCTTCCTTTGAGTCATGACCCACCGCAGAGAACACACATGCACACGCCGTGCACGCAGCGCTGGCAGAGCGGGCTCGGAAACAGCCCGAGAACACCCCGGCAAGCGGACCCTTTGCCAAACAACACAAAACACACACACACACACAGAGCGCTCTCCCTCGCGCTGGCACCAGAGACGGCAGGGTGGTATTTTGCCAGGGTCTGCTTTTGAATTCTCAGGTGGGGACACAAAACGCCAGCCGGGCAGCAGCAGCGGCCGGGAACACGCGTGTTTAGCGTGGGACACACGTGGACGGGACACACGGACCCGCTTGGCTCACTGTGGCACCTCGCGACATCATCCAGAAGAACGCACAAGCGTGTTCGCTGTGCTCCACGATGCCACGTTGATCGGGGGAAGTCTCATCTCTGAAAGCCGTGTGCACGGATGTCTTCTTGTTTTCCTGCTGTGGCCATGCAGCCCTTTCTAGGAGAGGGGGAGTTATATAATAGTGCTGCTGGTCAAAGGACACTGTTCGCAGAATGCTGATTGAGGCATTCTTGGGGAACAAAATGAAACAACTTTGGGGAGAAACTCTTGTGCTTCCTCTTAAGACTCAATACTGCGCCGAAAGATAAAATCTTTGTTTTAAAGATTTAATCTTTGCTTCGGGCACCACTTTTAGCAGTGGAATGGCAGCTAAGGATGTGGGATTGGTGAAAAATAAAACTATCATAGATCTACATATTCACAACACAACGCCTGGGATGATGCCAACATGGCGACGGCAGAGTCTCATTGGTGAAGAAACAAGCAGTTAGTGAGTCAGGCTGGAAACAAGCCAGCGATCCAACACAATTACTATTACAAATTTAGTTGGAATAAGAAAGGTTGGGTAAATGAAACATGATGCAGTTCTGCATAACCCTAAATTACTTGATGATAATGATCGAAATGAGAGGATTCATGGCCTTTTTTCATGTTTGAATTTAAAACTTTCTCTATATTCAATTAATTTGAGCCAAAAGGTTTTTCTATTGAGGCTTCAGCACAAAGCAAACATCCGCTCCTGGCTTCAATCTGGCCTCTACGGTGTCCTGCAGCAGCCTCGCTCCCGTCCAGAGAGCATCACTTTTGTTTGAGCAAAGCCCGGCGCGTTGCTAACAAAAGATCAGCGCCGGAGTGGTGGAAGATAAACAGGAGTCCCACCGGACGGCGCGCGCAACAACGCCTCCGCCGGGGCCGACGATAAGCTGACGGTGTGCGTGTGCGTATAGGCGACGGAGGCTGTGGTGATGGTGCTGTGTGAAGCGAGGGGCAGCCGAGGAGGCTCTATGTGGGGGCACTTGGGGCACACAGAGAGAGACGGGCCAAGCCGGATCGACTCGGCAGCGGCAGCGTTCTCCCGTGTGGCAGCAAGACACACAAACCTGCAGGACAAAGGCACCGTACACAACATCGCTCGCTCTCTGTAATCGCTCTTCAATGCAGCGGGCAATGCATTTGAGGACAGGGAAACAAAATTGTTCTCTTGCTTTCTACTGCGAGACAATGCTGATCATTAGTTTTTACTGTAAAGGAGGTCATGAGGAGGGGTAATGAAATGCCTTCGGTTTCACAAAGTGAAGATGGGATGGGATGAAAATGCAAATGATGCACGCTGGTTATGTAACGTGGAAAAACAAGCGAGAAGTGATGAAACTAACAGAGTGGTTACGTTGCAAAACCCATCTATCCCCCCCCCCTCTGCTTTTCTACTTTTCACACTGTTATTTGGAACAGAATGAACTTACTGAGGTTACTGTGTGTGCATTGATGTGTGTGTGTGTGTGTGTGTGTGTGTGTGTGTGCTCTCACAGGGCAGTTGCGCAGGTCTCCCATGTTGCTGGCGTTGCGGAGCAGTTCTCCGAACATGTCCGGTGTGGGTTTCTCTCTGCACTCCAGCATCCTCACTGCCTGGTTACTGCAGCGTTGGATCACACACAACAACAGAAATAATGAACGCAGAGAATGCGCATGCTTCCTCGGGAGGGGGAGCTTTTTTTTTGTCTATTGTGAGGCCCAAATGTGACGCGTGTTCAGTCCGTGTGCTTTGTGGTTCTGTAGGCAAAAAATAAATAAATAAATAAAAAATTGCAGGCAATTGTTTAATTCCTTCTGTTGATTTTGGCAGCAAACCACAGGCACACATACACATAAAAACACACACACACACATCTTCAGTCAGTCCCAAAGGGTTTTTCCCATCTGCTATAATAAGGAGAAGAAAATATAATTGTGGAGTAAACAGTCATTAAGGCTGCGAGAGAGATTCATTCTGAATCCCTTGTGAAGGATTATGATCTTTGACCTTCCTAAAGTGGTCGTACTAAAAGTTAATTTCCCTACAGGGGGCCATAACATTACCGAACCATTATCATATAGTTCATCTACAACTCGCATAATAACTTTCACACTGAGCTGCATTCATCCCTTTAAACTGTGATCGCCCGCTGAAGGAGAAACCCAAATATACATTATTATCATCCTTGTGCCCGTGTGCAGCTTGGTAGCACCTACCAGGATTATGTGTGCCATGAAGCCTGGGGAAGTATTCCTCTAAGAATAAAGATTCTCCTCCCATCCTCTCACCCCGTCCATTACCCTCAAGTGAACTCAACCTCAACTCAAACACCCGTCCGCCCACATTTAGATGCTAGACACTAGACATTTTTGTCTGTCTTTTTTCGCTCGCCCTCTTACTCACGTCGGCTTTCGCCGTGTTTGTCCACCTCGGCTGTAAACAACGGGCTCCACTGAGGGTAAAAATAGCTTGGCAGTGCTAACAGGCACAAACACAGAGCGCTGGCACCACCGCGCCCCACAACTACCTCTCCACACAGGGTGTTTGTTTGTTCCCTTGCCCCCCCCCCCCCCGATGAGCCGTCCATCTCCTCTGCCGCGTCCCATTTCCAAATGGCACGTGGAATGATACGTCCCCTTATTTCCTCTCTCGTTCGCCTCTTCCGACCCACTGTTCCACTCATGGATTTATGTGGTCCCCGTGGGTCTACTGAATCAAATAGCTGATTAATCACCCCCCCCCTCTCTACCCTACCCCACTCCTCCCCTCCCTCATTTCATTGACTCGGAGTGCGTGGGAGTTTTGTGCAACAGCTCGGAGGATGCTTCCCCTTTGTGTTGATTCACCTGCGCTGACATCACATGAACGCGGGAGAGACATCAGTCACCGGCTCACCTGCGCCTTCATATGTGTGAACATGCACGTAAGTGTGTGTGCATAACGTGTGTGTGCACGTGTGTGTGCTCACAGTTCAGTGTTCAGCAGGGACCCGTGAGAGGAAAGGAGAACACGTGTGTACCTTCCTTTACTGCCACCCAGCCTCAGCTTGCTGCCACATTTACTGCAGTGTGTGTGTGTGTGTGTGTGTGGCCATGTGTGTGGGTGTGTGTCTGGTCTTACCAGAGGGACGTAGTGGAGATGTAATGAACCATCTGAATGAAGGGCAGGGGGTCCGACGTGGCGCCACAGCTGTTGCACACACACTGCAAACGCAAATACGTCCTCAGCTTTAGTAAATTATTTATTAAATTAAAGGCCCAAAAGCGAACCATCTGTCAGCTCTTTAAAGGGAAGGCGAGGCCAAACAATGTCGCACCTGTTCGAACAGAGTCATGGCAAACTTCTGGTGTGGGATGCAGTGCTTGGCGGTGCAGATGTCCTCTCTACTCTCCGCGCTGATGTGGAAGTGGATACGCATCAGGAGATTCTCCTGAGACACACAGAAAAAACAATCAACATCAATTACTGTGTGCGTGTGTGGGAGGTTATGTGGTTTGTTGGCATACGTGCTTGTTTGTATTGTATCCATATGTACAGTGTGTGTGTGTGTGTGTGTGTGTGTTTGGTTGGTCGCTCCTGTTAATCTGGCCGCGGGAGCAGCATCTATGTTTCATAAGAAGCAGACGGATTCCCTGACTGAACACATTTACCAGCAATCGATCAGACGTGTGCACACAAATCAAACACACCCACACACTTTCGCAAAGACACACATACACATACACACACATACACACACGGGTCTTTGAGGTGTGAAGCAAGAGGCAGAGAGAGTGGAGAGAGAAAGCAAACTGAAGTGCAGAGAAATAATACAATAATAGAATTGTGACTAATGGATTTTTATTTTCTAGATGTTCCTCTTCTATAAACAAGAATAATAATTCTAAAATGAGATATCCGCAATTCAAAAAATGCAACCATCGGTGTTGGATAAAACTAACTCATTTCAGAGAGAAACGTCCACATATTAGTTACTATCAGTAAAAACACAGATGTTCTGCTGTGTAAACAAATGAATTCTTCAATTGTTACATTTTGTTTTTACAATCCAAAGATGCTTTTGTTCAAAGCAAATAAAAATCCAAAGCAGCAAACTTTTAATTCCTCTTGTCTGTGAAGGCACCATGAGGAAACGATCACTGAACCCATTTTCTCCTCCACCTTATTTTCTCGATCAAATGCTTTTCGCAGCGAAACGCATCAAACCTCGGTCAGTCTTGTGGCTTCAATCAAAACACCAAAGCAATTAATTAGCTGATTGTTTCGTTGATTAATTAGATTAATTGTCTGGTCTACAAAGCAGTGAAAATCCCAATATCTAAGCAAGAGTGAGTAGGAGTCAACCAACGGAGTTAAGTCGTGGACTAGTTAGTGTGCTTTGATACGTCAGCGTATTGCACAGGTCACTGTAGACGTATGGTTTAAGGTTTCTATGGAAACTTTTAACAGTTCACTACTGGCAGTATTTGAATGATTACTGTCATAGGAATTGAATGTATTGTACATCTTTTACATTTGTTCATTCTGTACACGTGACGTCCCTTGTGGCCCATCCCGGGAGAGGGATCCCTCCTCCGACGCTCTCCCTAAGGTTTCTTCCCTTTTTCCCCATTGAAGGGTTTTTCATATCTGGGGAGTTTTTCTTGTGCCGATGTGACGGTTCCGGGACGGAGGATGTCGCATGTGTACAGACTGTACAAAATAAATGAATTGAACCTGTTGCATTAAAATGAGAGGTTTCTGGTGGATGGATTTTTAAAAGTTCCTAGTCGTCAAGAACAACGCCTGTGTTCTCCGCCACATCAGAGGAGCAATGGGAGGACAAAGAAACAGCGAACGCCTCCCACCACAGGACGGTGGAATAAACCGACAAACATCAATAGGAGATTATACGCCTGGCAGTCTGCAGAGCTCGGTGTCCCCTGAAAGACACTCACTCAGAAGAGCCCTTGGCAACCCCTCACCTGTCCCGCATGTGCGTGGGCGCGCGCGCGTGTGTGTGTGTGCGTGCGTGCGTGCGTTCGTGTGTGTTGTTTCAGACTCACGAAGCACTCAGCGGCGTCGTCCATGATACCGAGCTGGAAGCGCTGTTCGTCTTGGAAAGTCTTGGCCAGAGCGCTGCGCAGTGCGTCTGATGGCAGCACGCGCTCACTGCTGAACTGGAACTGAGCAAAGATACTCTGCGGAAACCACACACAAACACACACACATATAGAAGCATATTCATTCTTTAGTTCCCTTACAAAAATAAACGCTGTTCCACAAATGCGTTTCCTGAAAGGAATTGTTAGTGTGTCCACTGGTGTATAGAGATCTACGTGTATTTACTTCTCTCAGACTGACGCGAATCCCTCTTAGCACATTCCTCCTGGTACTCAGCTCAACTGACCCATAAAGCACAACCAGCGGTGCCAGTCGTCGACTCGTCGGGACCCACAAGTGCCGCACAACAAACCCCCGACCGGACCGACACAGACAACGCAGCTGGCCTCAATATCAGGCCGCGTCAATAATAGATAGGCGTTTGTGGTGCACTTTGTGCTTTGTAGCAGCAAAGTGGAAGAGCGAGTCAAACGGCTGCAGGGGCCTCGGAGAGAAAGCTGGGCCACCGAATTGTGTTTCCAGGGCAGAGCCGTGACGAATTGGATCAGTCGGCCTGGAGAGGACAGGGCCGCTTCACGCAGGTCCAGGTGACTGACAGCAGCACAGCGAGCGTTGTTGGAGTGACACCCGGTCCTTTTCGTAATATCCTATTGGTGAGCGGGACGTCTTTAAAAACCTCATGGCTCACATTCGTCAAAATCTGGGCTTCCCTGTGACTTAAAGAGGCCGACAAAACGAAAAGCAGGCATCCGGCGCTCCAGCGTGACGATGTACTTCTCCACGGTGAACTCAGACGAGGTGGAAGCTGTCGTGGCTGCCGAGACAGAATTCCTCCCAGTTTGAGCTTCAATAACTGGAGCTGGGTGTATTTCCCCCCTTTAGGTCTTTAGTTATTATTTTAGAGAGCTGTGATCTGATGGGAATGAAATGTTATAAAACAATAGAATGAGAGTGTGTCCAAGCCAGGACTTGGCAATGGGTGAGGTAATGCAGTCGTACTGCCAGGGAGAGTGTATATGTGTGTGTGTGTGTGTGTGTGTGTGTGTGTGTGTGTGTGTGTGTGTCTGGGAGAGAGGGAGGGAGAAAGGGAAAGAGCGAAGAGGAAAAAGGTACCATACAAGCAACCCGGGTTTGTGTGTCTGGTGGTGTGTGTGTGTGTGTGTGTGTGTGTGTAAGTTATGGTGGCTGTGCTGACTGCAGCAATGCGCCAAGGAGAATGGAGGGGGAATATACCCTACAGAGGGAGGGAGGAAGGGAGGGTGAGGGAGGGAGGGAGGGATGTGTGAGTGTGTGCGCATGCACCGGTCCAAGTGTAAAGACAAGAACAATCTACACCAACTCCCACGTTCATTCATCTTTCTCTTTTCTTCGCTCCCACTTCCTCCTCTCTTCCTTTTTCTTTTGTGTGTGTGTGCGTGTGTGTGTGTGTGTTCAGGTATCTGCGTCTGTGCATGTGTGTGTGTGCCTGCTCTGCTGTTGAGAGAGATAAAGTGTTGCAGTGATTTCGAGAGGGATATCCGCAGGCAGCCTCTGAACTTCTGTTTACTACAAAGGGGGGGCGTCTTCATCTGCCGCAGATAAAACCCGAATTCACACACTTTACCCCCGAAATAAAACGGCCCGTGATCTCCATTCATCTCTTTATTTAAAACGCAACGAGCCGTTAAAGTTAATTTTGGTGCTTGTCCCGCCGAGTTCTCCAGAGGCTTTAATCTGGGAGCCGACTGGGAGGACGACCTGACGACGGAGAGACGCTGGCAGGGCGCTTAATGGAGACCGACAGGACGGTGTGAACACGGGGACCATACCTTTTGATTTGCACAAACATGGCCGACGCACACACAAAACCTCTGGGCGTGTGTGTGTGTGTGTGTGGTGAGCATCCTAGAGATTTGTGTGCACCTCAAGGCGCACGTGTGCAGCAGCCGAACATGTGCAGCATTCAAGTGAGATGTATGTGCACGCTTAGGGGTGTGTGTGTGTGTGTGTGTGTGTGTAGCATACCAGCGTGGGCTGTGCTAGCTCAGCGCTTTCAGTCAGCCAATTAATTACAGAAAAGCGCTAGAGACAGAAGAGCGTGTAGAACACACACACACTGACGCTGCTACACCCACACACGCACACACACACTGCTACTACACCGCAGCACATTACACACAACACTTCCCTTCACTCAGACACATATTTGTCATCATTGATGCAACAAATGGCTGAAACGGAGCCACATGCGGCTGGTTCATTACGAGGGATTCACGATGCTCATCTTCTGTGTGGTTGCTTTCCATCAGCAGCCGCCGGAACACAACAGCGATTCAGCCGGAATGTACGTTATAAAATCTATAATCTGCATCGTAAGGCAGCTCTTTACTGGGGAAACGTGTCCGGTACAAAGTACGTGATGTGTTTTAAACAATGGAGGAAGACGATGGAGAAGCAACACTGCAGAGAAACGCGACGGTGTTACGGGTAGAAGTTCTGCATTCAAAGTGTTGGAAAAAAGAGTACTTCCTGTGAAGAAGAGAAGAGTTGTTTGTCAAAGGAAAAGAAAGAATACGGTGAGGGGAAAGAAGGGGAAAGGAAGGAAACAACGACGGAAGGACCCGAAACGGGAAAAGGAGAAGAGCAGATGTTAATAAATAATGAAAAAAGCACAAAACAAAAGGAGGGAGTGAAAATGTAAAAAAAAAATGTAGAGATCATGCAGACGGGTACCATTATATGCCGTTGGTCATCATTTTGTGTGTCTCCTTTTTTAAATTTAGTGTTTGGTTACATGAGCTGAGGATCTCCAGTGTTGGTCAGGTCAGCTCTCTCTCTATCAGGTAAAACCACAGAATAATATAGAAAGTCTCCGAGAGGGGAAACACTCATGCAAAGTCCTTTATGTGGGTACTACCTCACACAAATATACATCCCCTCAGTTCTTCAGCCCTGACCTCCGGTTTACATCTCAAACAACAATGTGTATCAAGCACATTGTTGCACAAGCCAGCAGCCATCAACTTGCACAAGCCAGCAGAGCGGTTTTACCTTCAGAGCGCAGAAGATGCACGAGTCCTCCATGCACTTGTGTGTGGTCAGCTGGCGAAAGCTTCTGCGAAAGATGTCGAGATGCCACAGGACCTGTCAGGCAGGATAACACACAGAGGGAAAGGACGTAAAGCAAGTGGACCATTTGGAATGAGGTTTCATCTTGTGTCTTTCACAGACGAAAGGCACGGCTCTACTTCAATGTTAATATTCTAACTTTCCTCATAGCTTCGCAGGAGGATGCTGTTTTTTCAGCTCCTGCTTGAGTTATTAGTATCTTTTTTTAGCCCACTGGCAAATGAATCAAAAAGTCTCATTCACGCATGAGAAAATACATCTGTATCTAGATCACAGGCTCTTAAAATGGGTGTTGCAGCACCGTGGGATGCCTTAAATAAGGGTCAAGGGGGCCACAAGATTGCTGGTTACTTCTGTCTTTTTATAATACCGTTGAAATAGCTAAAGAAACCGTCAAATATTAAGTTATGCCGGAGCTGAGGTTATTGACATGGCAGGTCGTGGCTGCCTGTTGCCATAGTGACGGGACATGCTTTCTGGGTGCTCGGCGTCAGGAATAGCCACTGACAGAGCGAGTGATGGAACCATTTGAAAGGAAAAGTTATTTTAGCCGCGGTTTAAATGACAGTCTGTGAGCCACTACTACTTCATCTGGATGTCGGATGTCACACGTTACCATTAAAGTAATGTTTTCACTTAAGCTTTTGATCTATTTAATTTGCATAAGTGATAAATTAAGTGCAGAGAAGAAACAAGGAAGAACACATCTCGGGAGGTAGTCGGAAGTAGGGAAGCTTCAGGTCTCCTCATGCCCTTGTCTCTCTCTCTCTCTCTCTATGTGTCTCTGTTGTGCACAATCAGAGGAAAGACCTCATTCAGCATCCTGAAAGGCAATATTGACACAACACTGTCCCTCAGGCTTTGACTGCAGCGCACACACACTCACAGTTGTGCACACAAAAACTATAGCAATACAAGTCTGCACTGTGTGTGTGCGTTAAGGAGAGAGCGATAGGTGGAGGAAAAGACTGGATGCTGACGCTACTGTACGCGTTCTACCTTTTTCCTCCCCTCTCTGTTTCTCTGTGGTTTATTTGGTCGTGATGGATCGGCTCCCTGCACAGCACTGCAGCAGCCACAAGGAGGGCACACTACTGGCCGCCGGCCTCTCTCCATCTGTATCTGCCTGTCCCACTGTTTTTTTTTTAAACACATCCGTCCCCCTCTTCCTCTGTTCTTCTTCCATTTGTGTCATTTCAGCTACAACTGGTCCCTCGGATAACTTCTCTCGGTTTTATCTGCAGAAGCGTTTCAGACAAAAGAGGCTATAGTAGAACTTACAAACACAGTGATGGGAGAGCACAGGGAATAGAGATTAGCCTCATCAGCTGCTTGTTGACGAGTGTTTTAATGTAATACTGCACCTTGATTGCTGTTACCACGGTAACCACGCGTAACACCAAATGAAGCGGTCTAACTTTAAACTCCTTGGATGAGTTTAAAGGAAATAACCTTTTCCCACACAAAACACAGTGAAAGGTGTTAAATGACACAGAATTTGTTAATTGAGTCTCACTTTAAAGTTCTTTTAAAATATATTACAACAGTATTATTGAGTGTGTTGTATGATTGTTTTTAGGATATTAAAATAGTAAAGCTTAAACAGCATGTAGCCTCAGTGTTGTTCAATAAAGTAACTGATAATTTCATTCTTTACATTTATTGGTTTCAAAATGCATCCATTAGAGTTTTGTTAACAAATGGATTTTGTACCTCGTAACCTTATAAACGTGTATTTTAACATCTAAGTTATTACACCTAAAAAATCAATTAGTTATGACTTATAAACCCTGTATTGTTTAGCTTGATTAAACTGCCATTTATTATTTAATAGCTACTGTTACAAAAACATATCAATGCACCACAAAACCGCAATACTGACACACTGAATGCATGACTCTGGCTTTGTTGGAGGATTCCTGCCCTGCTCCTCCTGCCCCTGTTCCAGTCCCCCATTACCTTCTTTCCCTGTGCATTTTGTGCATCACATGACCCTGCTGCCATGGCGACAATCCGGTTCCATATTTTGCGGCACTTTTGACCTGAGTCATCTTGTCAGCCCGTGGGTTGTTTTTTACGGCAGACATGTTGGCTCGCCATAGTAGGAAATGAGTTAATATCCCTGCCCCTCATCCTCGTGTCACACCGACCTTTGAACCTGGTCCCAAACACGTCAGCCGCTGAGAAGAGACACAATGCGCAGGTTCCCTTCATCACATTCTCACTAAATCCTGCGCTGCTTGCTGGTGGTCATTGGAAGGCCTAACAGGAAAGGGAATAATCCCAGCTGCGCGTGGTCCTGTATCCTCTGATATAAGTGTCTCTGTAACAGAACACCATCTGCAGAAGCACTAAGTCACATATTTGGTTGGAAAATGTCAATCCGTATTTTATGGGCATTTGTCAAGCTGCAGCACAACCCCCGCTGCTGCAAAGTACGTTTCTATATTAGTCAATAGTTTCTCTAATTACACTGTGATATAAACGTAATAGCTGACTGGATTATTCTCAAGGGGACGGCTTTTTTTTAACTGATTAAATAAGCGCTAAATTTATGAAGCAGGCTGACGAAAAAGGAGGGTTTGGGTTGCAAAGTTTAGGCGAAAAAAGCACTTTGAAGAAATACTTTTAACCTCAAACAGAGCATCTGTATACGGTGTCTGAATATAAACATGAGAAGTTAAGATTGTGATGATAAGACTTTTTATTGCATAACCGGACCATGGAAAACATTTTAGTGACTTTAGATACTTTATGTGAAGCCTTATCGGTTAGTTACATGTATCATCATGAGTGTATATCACAGTCTCTTTTGCTTTGGAAAATAATTGTTTTACTTTAGTTTACTTGTTTATCAATGGTTTTCCTCACAACGAGACATTGCAGCTTTGTCCAACCAAGAACCAGTTTTATTTGATCAACATTTGTATTATAAAACAAAAAATATATATATGGCAGTTAAACTTACATTTTGTTAATCCTTTGGGATGTCAAAATGTGAGTTAAAATGGAAAATAATTCATGCCGATTTCCATGCTTCTTAATGATTACGTATTTTCTATTTTTGGTTTATGACAAACACACACACACACGCACACACACACACACGCACACTGCTGGTTTAGTGAACCCATGTGTTTGTGCCTCATCGAAGCCTACACCTCCTTTAGCTATTTTATTCTTACCCCGCGTTTGAGAGAAGTTGCTGAGCGTGTTCGTACACTTTACCTCACAGCGCCTTTTTTCTCGCTCATTAAACTTCACACTTGCTTCACACAAAACAACCACCGCTGCTTTCGCTGCTGCTGCTGCGGCGTCACCCCAGCAGCTCCACTGCAGCAGCGGGGGGTTAAGTGCCTTGCCCAAGGGGCCCTTGGGAGCATTGAGGCCACAAAAAGTATTTCACTTCACCAACTATTAATGAGACATTCATTCAGAGCAATTTTAAATTGATTAATGAGGCATTTTGAAATTGTTTAGCTTTCGGACTGTTGGGAAAATGTGAATTTTTCATTAAATCTTTTTTTTTTTTACAAACCAATGGAATGAAAGTCATTTAAAAAGCGGACCACCAATCGTTTCTAGTTGTGCCTGAACTGCCACTGGAGTCCGTTGCCAAACTCAACTTTGACCCTTTGGTCTTCACCCACGCACTCCCCGCTTCAGTCCATTAGGATCATGTGACGTGAACACACACACACACGCGCAAACACAGAAATACACAGTGAAACAGCAACGAGCATCAAAACACTTTAACATCCATTTTATCCCCACTCATCTGTATCCTGTTAAACATCCTCTCCCCTCCTTGGGGGTGAGCGTGTGTGTGCTTGCGTGTGCGTGTCCTTGAAATGGCCCACTTCTCTCCCCATTGAAGCCGCTTTGTTGAGGCGTTCGCTCACAGTAACAGACCCTGTGTCCTTCACGGAGTCCTTTCATCCACCTCTTCTCCTTTCACCACAAAACCCGTCTCTTCCCCCTCTTTTGCCCCCTACCTTATCAGACTCTTTAGTTCCACTCTTTCTCTCGACAGTATCCCCTTTAGTCTTCTCTGTTATTTCGCACTGCATGCTCCTCTATTCCTCTTTCTTCTCTTCTCGTCCTTCAGCAACTTTCCTTTTTCTAGTCTATCCCTGTGCTCTCTTCAACTCTCCCTAAGCTTCTGCCCCATCATCCCCCTCCCGCTCCCCCTCCAGCTTACTGCTGCCTCTCTCTCTCTCGCTTTCTTTCAAGCCGGTAGTCAAGAGACACTTTGGTGTGTGTGTGTGTGTGTGTGTACAGAAGGTGAGTTTGTGCCAGCTGGAGGTCTCGGGAGGAGGGAAGAGAGGTGTTTGTGTGTAGAGAGGGAGGGGGAGAGGAGATGCAGCAGCAGCGCAGCGTAAGCATCTCCACGCACAGACCGGATGTCCACGCTGAAGCCAGACTGGCAGCGCTGCCAAAACCGGCCGACACACACGCAAACAACCCGTTAATGTGGCCCATGATCTCATCCCTGACAGGCTTAAATATCAATTTACTGCCTGAAAAAATTCCACATTGAGAAGATGAAGTAACAACTTTTTAAATCTTCTTAGTGTGAAAGTGGGAAGAGTATCAAGGACACAGCTTCTGTCATTAATGCCATTTCACAGGGAACGTTACTGCCGCGCCTGTAAAGCTCAATAATTCTGGCAGAGAACTGAAATCATCCGGAAAAGCCAGCATTTGTTTGTGTAACTTGCATTCCCGGATGTTTAACATAAACTACAGTTACAAATTTTAGTTTAAATCAGATAATCAGAAGTTGTGCCCCTTTTAACACACTTCGGCCTTGATTAAAGTGTGATCGAATGTGATATTACATTTCTATAAAAAACGGATTGGCTTCTACATCTTTTTATTATTTTATTTTGTGTTTGCTGTGTTTTCAGTGTGATTGGTTTCACTGGTGTCTGGTGTGTGTGTTCGTCCGACTGACCTGCAGAGCGCTGTTGAGGAAGCAGCTGTTCTGTCCCGGCTCGTTGCTTAGGCCTTTGCTCGGTGCGATGGAGGTCATGGTTCTCGGGGTCACCAGCCCCTGCGCCCCGCCTACTGCTCCGCCACCCGACGCAAAGTAGTTCCGCTTCCACGACATCACTACCTGGGCCCCCCCGTTTCCACGGCGAGGCGGGGGGGGAAGGGGCAGCAGACCAAGCCAAGGGCTCTATGTCACTCCCATGAGAGAGGACGAGGGAGAACAGGAGGAAAACAGAGGAGGAGGAGAAAGAGGAGGGAGGACGAAGAGGGAGGAAGAGTAGGGAGGCCGCGGCTGTAGGTGGTGGAGGAGATGCGTTGTGTGTCGGATGGGGATCTGGCACCCATGCAACCCTCCCCTCTCCAGACGTGTTTTCACTTCAGATACTTCCCACCCTCTGGAGCCGGGTGGCAGGCTTTTTCTTCTTTTTAGCTCCTTGGATTTAGCAGTTTGTGTTTGAGGACATGAGAGTTTGTCCGAGCGGTCAGATCCTGACAGATAAATGTTGTGGGTCGCCCTTCAATGCCTTGTTCACTTTACCTGCAAGACACAAGGAGCAACCTGTTGGTCCTTCTCCCACAAAACAGCTGGCAACATACAATCATAAAGTGATTTTTTTTAATACTGCATAATATAAACTACTGTGTGTGGAAAGTTCCATCAGTAGTGTAGACATTGTCAGCAAAACTCACAAAAACTGAAAAGATCAATACTGTTTTGGGGTCTAGACTCCCGCTGCTGGTTCGAAAACGTAACCTCTGCAGCAAAGCGTATCTCGTCACATTAGTGCTAGCTAGCTAGCTTACTGTTAAACTAGCAAAGCCCAAAAAGGTTTTAGTGCACATGGTCCTTACAGTTTAGTTACATTGTTCTCATCATGTTGAATAAACACACTTAATAAAACCTTCTCAGCAGGTGGACAAGGCAAGCTAGCTCTTGAAAACAACGGCAAACATCGACGATTTACAAAGACGTTTCTCAGAGGTATGTTGAGACCAAAACAGATAATTGACATTTGTCAATTATATAGAAAGAACACTTTAGAAACACAAAGGTTTCTCCCTGGCAAATAACTGCAAAACCATAACCATGAAATGATTCAAATTAAATTAAAGCTAATGAAGAGGCTATGTGTTTGTCCGCGTGATTCGATGTTCTTCTGCCCCCTCGTGGCTATACATTTTACGCACCATGAGTCATGAAAATCACCACATGGAAGAGTGAAGCTCTGCCTCGCTGATATGACACACTGCTTGGAGAAACCTGTTATGTCATTTCGTAATCGGTTCTTAGGGACATTATCTGCAGCTTATACTGGTTCCAGCATCGCTATCCACAGTTTCCAAATGCGTTGATCAGAGGGGGCGAAATAGGCACCGTGTGCGTGTTTTTCACCGTACAGTAAGGATGTGTGTGTGTGTGTGTGTGTACATGAAGTTGCATAACACCACAGGGCAGTATAACAGATCCGCAGTGCCCCCCCTCTCTCCCCCCTCCTATTTCCCCTATAGCTTCCCCACTTTTGGCAAAGCTCCCTCCTCGCCTGGTTGCCGCCACACAGCGCCCCCTTGGCTGGAGGCCAGAGGGCGCGGGGATGCTGAGGTGAGCAGCGTGGGCTGTCGCTGTGGAGATGGCCACGTGGGATTTGGGTGGCGTAGCGGGGCGATGAGGGGGGGCGGGAAAGAGGCAGCGGGGGGGGGGGGTTGATGTCGTGACACGGAGGGCAAGTGAAATGCATCAGAGCAAATACGGAAGGAAATCATTATGCAACATTACAATGTCACACAGTCCTACAGCACAACGCATTCTCACAAATCCGTTTACCCATCCGTCTATTTAACTATCCGTCTCCACAGAAATATACAGAAATTAAAATTACATACTTTCAACCATTAACAAATGAATGTAAATTAAGACAGGATTTCTAAAGGGTCTTTTTTTGCACAGCATCCTGAGCTTCTGTCACAGCATACAGTTTTGTGTACACGTGTCTGTCTGCGCGCGCACGGGTGTGTGTCCCCCGCTGTGCCTGTGCGGAGTGTGTGATCACACGTCCAATCTCTGACTGCACCCTACAGCCACACACAACCAAGATTGCTCCGCCAAGCCCTGCACTGTTTATGTGGCCTGTGTGTGTGTGTGTGTGTGCGTGTGTTTGTCCCCACATCTTCGGCTAGTTACCATGGAAATAGGCCAAGCAGCAGGCACACGGGGGGAAAAGCCGAACCATGTGATTTCATTGAGAGACACACTGTGCTGCACTGGTTGAGAAAGCACACACAGACACACACAAACGCACACTGAGACACACGGGGCTGGCTAGTGATGATGATGTGTATCGATGGTGGAGAGTTCCTGGAAGCCAAAGTGAGTCAAGGCACGAGTCAATCACTCCCTGACCCGGCGCGGGCGAGCATACGGAAACGCGGACCTGCGGTCGCAGCAGAGACGGGGGCCACGCAGGGAGGACGCTCTCCATGTGAGATGAAGAGGTGGCGGTTAACCGAGACACGGGCGTGCGTGTGTGTTGTCAGTGAAGCGTCATCTGCGGCGCTTAACGAGCGCACATTTGAGCAGGGGGGCTTCTGGTGGGGTCAGCGTGTGGATTTAGGGTCAGGTGTTTAATCAGGACCACGTTTAGGTTTGATTTAAAAGGTTTGGCAAATGAAAAGGTTCATTTAATTAGCTTAAGTGTTAAGAATCCCTTTCCAAGATTTCGGCCGCCACCCTAATACAATTAACGTGAATTGAATTCGGTTTGGGGTGACACAGCATTGAAAAATGACCTTTGAAGGGACTTTCCAATAGCACTCTGCATTGGAATGGAGGCAGATTCATAAGAGCGAGATATGATGATTCTGAAGTGGAACTTTGAGATGTTGCTGCTTTGGAAGGCATTTTATTGGATGGCGTTTCCATTATTTTGTCCACTTTTCTTTCTCTCAAACAAGCGAGTAACAATGTCATTTAGTGACATTTTCTTAACCCTAAAAAAATGTCTTGCTTTCTAACCCAGCGTCAACCTTCAGTGTCGATAAACTACGAACAGAAGCCGCCCCCACGGCGTCGTTACATTCTTACAACCGGTAGGGGTGGAATCCCTTTAGTGCCATACAGCCCCAATTCTTGACCAAAACGCTACTAAAAACAATCTCTGCGGTGCTCCTTCATTCTGATAAACTCAGTGACTCTTCAGGTTGACGACCCTCCACGTTGTCCCCACCCAGTCCTCACACCGGCCTGCTGCTGTAGATATTCACCAGCGGCCCAAAAGCGATATTTACCCCTTCTTGAGCAGTGTTTGGTAGAGACCAGACAACATGTTTTAGTCTCTTTCCTGTCTGGTCACACAGGTGTGACTTTGCTTTGCTTCCAATAATGTTGATTCCACAAATCGCAGGAACGAGCAGATGCTGAATGAACAACGCTTTGACCGCCTCATATCCTGTCGATGACCAGGAGCAAACAAAGGTTGTGTTCAACGGCGACTCAAACGTCAAGTGCATGTGTGTTTCAGTGTGACAGCACATGATTGCTGGCGGATTGATAGGAGCCAGCGACGGCACAGCTGGGAGTATTGAGGACAGACAGATGTTTGCATGGATCCACTTAGCTGTCATTACTTCTACTAAAGGGTGACTGGATGACCTGTTGATCAAATCAACATTCATGAGGAGCGGCATGTCATATGACACAAGGATCAAGCTTTCTTCTATCGTTCTCTCCATGACTTATTGTTAATGCTGTTAACTCTCTTTTGTGGCCTCCCTCTAAATATCTTCCACCCCCCCCCCCATCTGTCCGTGCTTTGGAAAGAACACAGAAAGAGTGTTTTGGGTGAAATTCCTCGGTAAATGTGAGGTCATTTCACTGTGGTTTGTACAGGAACAGCTGGGTTTTCATCCAAGAATGTAGAGTGATGAATGATATCCAAAAAGCCCAAAGGAAACGTCTCCTCCGCGTCAACAAGTGATATGCTTACTCATACTAATATTCATCCAGACGTCAGGATGATAGAAACACACAGCAGTGTCTAATTACGACCCCCTCAAACCTTGTTGCATACGAGTGGTTTTACTTTGAAAGCTGAAACTGGTGTTTCACAATACGGCGACGCTGGTGTCATGCAACCTGAACAAAGGGCTCATGCTGTCCCAGAGGACAATGGCCTGTCCCTCACATCGTCTCCCTCTCACCAGAGAACATTTTTTTAAAAAGGCAAAGAAGTGTATTTATACATCCCCGTAGGAGAGAGCAGTCTGGATGTTTTCTTTCACAAACATATGCTCTCTCTCTCTCTCTCTCTCTCTCTCTCTCTCTTCCCTTCTCCTTCGGCGGCACTTTCCTCTCTGCCGTCCACTCCATCCCTGCTCTCTGTCCCTCACCCCCTCCTGCTGACCTCCATGTCCCACTTTCTCATTCACTCTCTCATCCACTTCTTCCTCCATTCATCTCTTCCTCTTTACTTTCCCCAAAAACCACACACGCACACACACACACACACACACACACACACTCAGAGTGGTTTCCCTAACTGGGTTATGTGTAACTTCAAATAGCCTTGGTTGACAATAGGGGGGCCCAGAGTCCATCATCCCCCCCTGTGTGTGTGTGTGTGTGTGTGTGTGTGGGAACATACTGTGGGCTCACGTGTCGCTCAATGTGTTACATTAGCAAGACAGCTTTTTTTTTGCAAGCGTCAAGGTCATTTTCCCACTCAGACCGTGTAACATTAAAGTATGCATGTGGAAACGCACACGTTTATCACACGCACAAGACACTCACTCACACACATCCACGCACGCACGCCATAACCTAGATGCAACCCATTATCGCTGTGGCACACATACACACCCAATCCTATTAGTGCACTGTGAAGAGGGGTGAATATTTTCTTAATATTTAGCCTATTGCATAACCGTTCTTATTTATGATGCATGCTGGGAGTCATGTGGGGGTTTCACAGTTCAAATCAGAAAGGAGAGGAGAGGAAAGGAGGAGGGCAAAGGAGAGGAGGAGAAGAAAAGGAAGGGAGAAAGTGGCGAGGAGAAGATTAGAAAGCAAGTGAATACGGAAAAGGAGAGGAAAAGAAAAGAAAGTAAAACAGGCAAATAAGAGATTTTAGAAAAGTAGAAAACAATAGAAAAGCGGGTAAACAAGGGAACGACAGGTAAGGAAAGAAAAAGGAGACAAGGAGATAAAAGACGAGAGAAAGACAGAGACAAGTCGATGCCAGAAAGAGAGAGAAAGACATCTCTGTCAGTGAGACATATGAGCCTGCGCTTCTTCGTCCCCCCCACATGACGCCTGCAAGCACACCCAACAAGGATGGAGTCGCTGTGTTTGGATCGTGTCCCGTCCAAACACACGTGCACCGAGAACTTATTCTGTCTTGTTTTCACCCCGAGGACTGCCGCTTCCTTTCTAAACCTCCTTTTGTTTCAATGAACAAGTTTGGTGTTTTAAAAGTGCGGCCCTCGATCAGCGAGAGACTTTTATTTTGTCGCAGTGAGGGATTCAAACCGATTAAAAAAAAAAAAAAAGGATCATTAAAGTATAAACAGAACCAAGAGATTTTAAATCCTGTGTCCTTTTCCACCCTCGGCTCGAAGGATTGTTGTCCCTCGCCGTGGGTACTTCAATAACGCCGGTGGAACCCCCCCCCCCACACACACACACACAGACACACACAAGTTAAAGCGCTCTGAGAGACGGAGGGAAGCCAGGCTTTTCTGGCAGCGCGGTCAGTTGGACGGAGGACAAACTCATTTGTGGATGAAAGGTATAAAGTGAGCTTCCCTTCCAGGACTTCCCCACTATTGACTCGGTATAAAAGGCTGCGAGACCGGGACACTGTACCACAGCTACAGAGACAGCCCGTCAAATATGGAAACATATCTAAAGGACACGTCCTATTGAACTATTGAATAAAGCACAGACACACTGAGACGTGTTTTTTTTCTTCAAAATGGCAGAGGACAAATACACACACACACACACTAAACAAAACACTGAACTAAAAAGCAAAGCAAAACTTCCCCAAAAGTTACAACAACGGGTCGGGTCCCAGAAAGAGTACAAGTGGTTATTGTTAGAGTAAGTTAGACAAGTAGCCCAAACAAAAGTTTGTGCTCCTGATTAATGATGGAGGGGGGGTGGGGGTAGGATGAGGGAGGGGGGGGGGGGGGGGGTGTATGCCCAATCTAGTGTCACCATCGCTAAGGTGGGGCCACTGTAGGTAGCGATGATCTGATACCCCCCCGAAGTGGAGCGTGGATCCGCCTCAGTAAAAGGCTGCTCCACACGGCGCTGTGTTGCTGCTGCGTAGGGGAGGGGGGGGGGGGGGGGCAACGACCCCCAAGTCCCGCTGATAAAATAATACAACTGACCCGGCACGAGGAAACACAGCTGGGCTGCTGATGAGAGAGTCAAGACGGTGATGATGGAGAAGGATGACTGTCACGAGGACACATCTGTTGAGGATCACATCTGGCTGACATGCTGACTCCCTCCGTACACGCGCACGCACACTCACGCAAACACTTACTAGTGGTGTGTTCTGCCCGGTCACGTGCACGTCCCCTCCCAGCCTCTCTTGCGGTGCGCAGTGTGCAGATTTTTTTCCCCTCTTCCCTTTGTTTCGTTACTCACCCTCGGGTGCCGTCGGTGCCGGTCCTGCTCGCGTGTCCTACCGTGTGATTTTAACGTGAGAGAGAGGGCGAGCCGTGGGCGCGAGCAGCCCCCACCTGCGCCATCCAGCGCCGCTGCGGTCGCGCGCGCCGCTCTCGCGATACCGTGCCCATCTTCCAGCTCTCCTCCTGCCGGAGTGTGTGACGTAGCGTTTTTATTTCATCATTGTCCTCGGTCGGTTTGCTCAGCCCGATGCCGCCGTCCTCTGGGCACGAGGCGAAAGGAGGCAGGAGGAAGGTGATGACGTCATTCTGGAGCTGTTCGCGGGTAGGGGGAGGGGGGCTCGCCTTATGATGCCTGCTGTCAGTGATGTGCAGAACATCTGTAGAATCACATCCTGAACACACCACAGAACAGAGGAGGGGGCCGGCGGGGGGGGTCTTAGGGTTTTGGGTAGAGCATCTTGTTTGACTTTAAAAAAAAAAAAATTAAACCCTAAGTGCGTGTAGCAAGTGCACACCACATTCCCAGGAAATATGGATGTTTTATCATTATTACTAATAATAATGAATTTGATTCCTAACGCCAGAAGGAATAAAAACATAGTTAAAACAAAAGAAAAACTGGTAAAACATAGTAAAAACTTGAAATAGAGTTTAAAAAAAAAAAAACGCCTCCCTAAATAAAAAGGTTTTTAAGCTAGTCTTTAAATATTCCAGTGTCTGTGTTGCCCTTAGATGACCAGGGAGACTGTTTCATTGCACATTGCTTATTGTCCTCGTGTTGAGAAACAATCTGATGCATTATGTAAATATGTGCCACTGTGTGGTCAGTTTGTGTCACAGTCAGTCTAGTTTCTTCAGTCTTGTATGTATTTTGCATGTATTTTGTCAATTGTTTGCTTCGTTTTTGTAAAAAAGAAAAATTGCTTGCACATGCAGTGTTAACAGAAGCACACAGACATTCTGCAAAGAGGAACTTTATTGAATAAATACATTGTCTTCAGAGTGCAGACTGCTCATCTACTCACACAGGCCTCACAATAGCTTGCAGTTTCCAAAATCGTAGCAAGATTCAGATACATCGGGGATGAAAAGACTAGAAAGCACACGAGGAGACGATCTCCTCAAGTCATGTTTTAAATTTATGTTTTGCTCAATTTCCTCATGTGTTCCTGGGAGCCTCAGCAGCGCTAATGTCGTCAGTGCATGTGGTCTGAATGATTAACTTTGCCCAATGCTTGCATGTCTCCACTCCTGCGAGGGTGTATTATTGTGTGCGTGTTCACAGGTCGTCGGTCTCTCCGTCGAAGGGGATGTTGTCCAGGTCCATGTGGATGTTCGGGTTGTCTTCGCTGCAGACCCATCCGATGGGCGTGCGGTTGAACGAGGGGCGCGAGCGGATGTCGGCCTGCGGGCCGGCCGTCGCATCCGGATCCTCGGAGGCCACCTGGAGCTCTTCGAGCTCGAAGGTCAGCGCCCTGGGCACCTTCTCGACGCCGCCGAATGGCAGCGCCGTCCTGCGTGGAGAGAGGAGGAGAAAAAGGGAACTTAACAAGGGAAATAGTGCTGATTTTTGTCGCTCCTTAAATTTAGATTAATACGAATTACTGACCTGTTGAAGCTCTTGTACAGAGGCAGTTCTTGGTGCTGCTGGATGGGGCCCGGCATGGCGGCCTTCAGGGTGGCTGTCAGCTCCTCGTTGCCCTTCATGGCCCGTTCCCATGGCGATATGTAGGTGCCCGCATACTCCTTCCTCCTCTTCTCCTTCTCCGCTTCCTCATCCATCGTCACATCCACCACTGAGACGAGACACGAGGAGATGAAATGCCAACTTTAAACACAGAGCAAGTCAAAATCTGCGACCCCACCTTCTTCCTTTGCCTTCTCAGGCTTCGGTGCAACAGGTGGAGGGCACGTGAGCAGGTTCTGGAAGTTCTGCTGGAGGAGAAATGAAGGACGAAAAAGTCTGATCAGTAGACTCATATGAAGAAAACTCACACACTCGCCCGCTCTTACCTTGTTCTCGTTGGTCACGATGAACTTCTCCACCCTCTGCTGCCTCTTCTTGAACATCTTGGAGCCCTTGTTCGAGTTCAGGGAGAGCTCCTCCAGCATGGTGTCCTTTGGAGTCTTGATCTTGGTGCCCAGGTCAAGCTCAGAGGCTTCGGGGTCTGACTCGTTATCTAAATACGGAGAGGGGGAAGGACGAAATGGAGGGAGTGAATGTGGAAGGGTTTATACTGAAAGGGTCCATGTTGAGAGAAATGAAATGTGGTAAAGTGAATTGCACAGAAAGCTTTAATCTGATTGTTTTTATTGAAATGCTTTGCGTTCCTGCGTCGCATGGGAAGGGTTTTTGTCTGATATGATTGCCTGTAAAAACAGTTTTTTATTAAAATTGCCTTTAACAACATTTTCGTGAATATTCATATTTGCTTGGTCTTCTGAGAGTTGAGGCCTTTCACAGGCGCATGAGGAATGAACAACATGAAATATGGATTCTCCACGTTGGCCTACTTCTGACAAAGTGATTGGTTGTTGCCATTGCTCACAGTGTGGAAGCCCCCCGAAAAACGTGTCGTCTCATATTTTCTAAAATGTCAAACTATTCTTTTAATGAATATGTGTTATTTGGTAACATTAGAATATTCTTAAAATATATTCCCATCAATTAATGCATGAACTGAAAGAAACGTGGCTATAATTCAAGCATTCCTTCGATGTTAAAGCCTCGCAGCGGGTAGACTCTCGGAGCTGGGCTCTGTCTTATCAGCTAAACCCATTATGAAAATGAAAAGGCCGGTTTACCTTCCACCATATATCAGACATTAGCTGATGGGGAATTTATATCCTGCGGCTTCCATGCTGTCCTTGTTGAGATGAATTACGAAATGAAACCTGGTTAGGGGGTTGTGTGTGTGTGGTTGTGTGTGTGTGGTTGTGTGTGTGTGGTTGTGTGTGTGTGTTGTAGGGGTTACTAGGCCAAAGCAATGGGGAAGAAAAGGGCACCGGGAATTGTCACGACTGTTTATGGAGGGAATCCTTATAACACCTCTCCCTCTCTCTCCCTCTCTCTCTCTCTCTCCCTCTCTCTCTCGCTCTCTCCCCCGCCCTCCCTCTCTCTTTCAGTGATGGAGAGATGTGATGGATTTTACTGCTCCACAGAGCTCCTAATAAAACACTCTCCTCATCCCCCACATACACTCTGATATCACTCATAACACCTGCAGTCAAACCCATAAACCAACACACACACGTACACTTCTATAAAGTAGGGAGAGCTGTTAGCAGTACCTCATAAATCAGACTCGTTCAAGTGTGTGTGTGTGTGCGTGTGTGTGCGTGTCTGTGCGTGAGAGAGAGAGAGAGAGTAATTGAGGCTGCTGAGCAGAGCGAACTCTCCCATGGGGATATTGATTAGATTGTTAATTCGGAAGAATGTGAAACTGAAGCTGGCTGCTGCTGACTGGGAGGAAATTGGACAGACTGACAGAAGCAGGGAGTGAACACACTGACAGCACACGGGACAACTGTCAGTGGCAGGGATGATGGACAGATGAGTGGGCATTAACTGGGGGGGCGGGGGGTAAGCAGTGTAAGCTCCTGACTGACTGAGAACCAACTGGTGGAAAGACACAGATGTGGCTGCAGATGTGACGGCAGAGGGAGGGGTGTGAAAAACAGCACAAGGACAGAAATGGGGGAAGACATCAACAGATTATTGAATGGGCGACACGAACTGATGCACGGACACAGATTAAAGGACAGCACGCTTGTCAGAGAATGTGTGGTGGTTGGTAATATGTGCAGCCGGTAAATGACAGAGAACAAGTGTCGACATCTTCTGAGGCAGTCTGTTAATTCAGGTTTTTTTTTTGGTTCACTGGTGAAACAAATGTCTACCTCCGAGAACATAAATGTGTGACATTCAACATTGTACTCATGCCACAAGCCACATGTGAGAGTTATCTTTCATCTGATTCTTATTGCGCATTCACTCATGAGCGGTATTTACTTAACCGGCCGATACGACGATATTAAAGCATTTGCCACTTTAGACGCCTCAAACCAACCTGCCGGGAGCAGAATCACCGGCTGGTATCTCCTGTTGCCTCCAATGGTGACAGACTTGTGGCTGCTCTGCTGTCTGATAACGACCCACATCCCTCCAGGAGATGCCACTTGCATGTTAGATATTTTGTTACTGCTTGGAAGAAGTGCGCGTGTATGTGTCTGTGGGTGCGCGTGTGCATGCATTTAATTGTGGTATCATAAGACCGCATGCAACGAATTACACCGAGGCAGCTCAATTTAGACACGTGTGCAACGCGACTGTGCAGATAGCGGACGCCTACGAATGGATTCGACCTTTACTGGACGCGATAATCAGATCACAAGGGAGATAGAGGAAGGTCTTCAAGGGGTGAAGGGGAACTGGAAGATGTTTCATGTTCAAATGTCATGTTTGAATTTGTGTTTGGTATGCTGTGTGTGTGTGTGTGTGTGTGTGTGTGTGTGTGTGTGTGTGTGTGTGTGTGTGTGTGTGTGTGTGTGTGTGTGTGTGTGTGTGTGTGTGTGTGTGTGTGTGTTTTACCATTCTGGCTGACACTGGACAGGTCGGTGATGATCTTGATGGCCTTCTTCCTCTTGTTAGAAGGGGCAGGAGTGGGGAGAGGCATGACTACAGGACTGAAAAGAGAAATTACAACTGTTTAATCAAAAATAATTATCATTTACTTGTTTTTACCAAAATAATTAGTTGATTTAGAGCAAAGGAAAAAGTACACCTACTCCAAAAAGTCTTAGGCTCCCTATTTCTGTATATTTGTTGTACATATCACATCAAAGGATTAAGTGTGGTACTACAAAACCTCCATTTGGAGAGAAGGATCTTTTTGTCAAATCGCAACTGTGAGTTTAAAAAATTGATTTATTTTCAGTTGAAAAGCCTACAAAGATTTATCCCCCCAACTGCAGTTTTCCATCAGCTCTGCAAAGCGGTTTAGTCTTTCAGGACAGGGTTTGGGTTTTTACGGCCAACAATGCTGAAGCTCACTGCTACCTGCTCATCACCAATCGGCGGTCAGACCGAGTTAGCAACGAAGTGGTGAGAAAAGTTGTGCTTTGGGTGGAATTGGTGGAGAACAAAAAGAGAGGTAAAAGATTCAGCAACATGAATGTTACTCTGTATATCTATTGCCGCCGTTAGCACCTATAAATGTTAGCACCTATAGCTGTTAGCACCTATCAGACCTCGCCGTGTTGAAGGTATTACTCGAACAAGAGGCGTGTTCTGACTTTTCAACGTGGTCCCTTTAAGTGGAACTTTCCACCAATGAATATTAACACAATCAGCAGGTGCCCCAAAACAACGCGGGTTATCGGTAAAATGACAAAACTGCAAACATAGTGTGGGGTTTGTGGCCGAGATGGATGGGTGGATCTGGAAGTATTGGCCTTTAATGCAGGAAACTGCCGACTGTTCTCCAAACGACAGTCTGTGTTGTTTTCATGACCAGGATTGTTTCCCAATCATCATTTATCTAACCACAATAATGAGTCCCAATCCTAACCCTAACGCAAGCTGTAAAATGGACTTGAACAAACTTTAAGAATGTTTCCCCCAAACCCTTGAATGTATTCGGCCTCTCAGCAGCTCAGCAGAAAGCATGACAAAATTAGCCGCAGTGCAATGTGATACAAACAAAACTCTCCCATAAATATTTCACGAAAACAACTAAAGGGATTTTAAAGATATTTGTCTGTCTGAAAGAGTTGCACATCACCGCCAGAATTGTAGCAAGCTCCAGCAGGAACCTTGCTGGGTTCCCTAATTAACTTAAGTACACTTTAAACATCTTGTATAGCCCCCCCCCCCACAACCCCCTCGCGTGCCCTTAAGGACACTAATTCCCGTTGGCAGCTCGTGTCTCTCTTGACGAAGCGCTCAAATGGGGCTGCTGCCTATTGCACAGGTCCAAAGCAATTATGCAAGGCTTGAGGTGAGTCCCAGTACAAAGGAGAAAGCTGCAGGGCCCGTCTACAGGGAGACAGTTAATGTAATTGCTTTTCATCCGCTGTAATTGAAGCCCATTTCCTAGCCAGGGATTCAGTCCTGTGCAAGCTATTTTTATGTTTTCCTATATCCCTGCAGTGCCTGGGACTGCACAAACGAGTGCCCCAGCGCACAAAACCACAGATTTGCACTCAAATTGCTTTTTATCTTGTGATTAATGGGAGTCAGTGGCGGTGGATTAAAGAACCGCAGGTTACAGGTGTTTTTGCGGTGTTCTGGGAAAACGGCAAGATGGAGGCAAACTGCTGTGCCGATGTTCCACCGCGGGCCTGGGTCCTGTTACCGCCTCTGTGGGCGACGAGGCGCTCCCGTCCCCCCTGCGACCAGCCTGTTATAGCTCCTGATAAATCTCGAGAGGACAGCTGGGGAGGAAGGGCATCGGCAAGCACATTCCCAAATACACACATACATCCATACTGGCCGACTAAAAACTCCACTGCAGAGGGCCACATTCCTCACCTACCACAGCGAGAACGGAGAAGTCATTTACCAGCTGGCTCTTATGATCCACGTTTACTTTAAGTGACTTTTAATGAATTCATGAAATTGTAAAATCGGCAATATATCTGTTGAACTACGTGCAATGCAAAGCCTTTGTTAAGCGAGCTCTGTGACTCCTAGTGAAACAAACGGTTGGATATATCAAATGAAGTTGAGAATCTGCTTTTGATTCCCTCATTCATTCATTCATTAAGTTATAGAGGCCTGCACAGGCTACGGATGGGGGGGGGGGGGCTTCTCTAACAGCCAGAATCCACTCCCCACAGGGCCTAAATTAAACTGCAACCGTCTCCTTGAAATATTTGACAAGTCCGTGTCCAACGGATAGATAATCCACAAACACTCAAGGCACGTGAGAGAGAGAGAGACTTCTTTATTGATGCCGTCACACATGATCACTTCTCTCATACATGTCTTACCTAAGACCAGGTATCCACAGGAAGACACGGGTCCCAGAAGGTCCCAGAAAAGGCGCGGCTCACAGGAAGAGAAATATAGATTTCCAGGTAGGTTTATGTCCCAGAGCTTGTATTGTACTGCTTGCTCTCCTCTTCGCCTTGGAGTGAGTGAAACCCTATCAGCAGGGCTGCTCTGGTGCTACAGACTTGGCTTTGGGGTGAGGGGGAGGGGGGGTAGAATTGAGTAGGGGTAAAGAGGGTGGTGGGTGTGGTGTTAAACGGGAGTTCATCAGGAAACTGATGCAAAACAAATATTTGGACTTTGAAAGAAAGTGGGGGGGAAACGTGAACAACGATTAATGAGAAACTACTAAAAAAGTGCAACATGGCGTATTTAAAAATGAATGACGTTATCATATTTGATCCTCATGCAAACATGCAGATGAATGGAGAAGAATCAGCAGGATGATATAAGTAAATCCCTCCAGGCTGTAAACACCAAAATGTTTTCACCTCTTCCAACAACAGGTGAGAACAGAAAGCATCTTTCCAGCAGAACTGTCTCCCCCCCCATCACTCGGTTGCACCTGCCTGAGGGCATTTATGCTTTTGTTGATGTATTTTCCCCTCTCAAACTCTCTTTATACGTCCTCCTACAACTAACAAATGTTCGCAACTTCCCACCTTGTTTGTGCCTTCCAGCTGTATCGTTGTGTCAGTCACAGTTCCTCGTCAGACTCCTGCTTCTTTGATTCAACACCATTTTTAAATTTTGCAACATTTGCAAATATCCATCTAGTAATATTTCATTAAACCAAACAGGTTATTGATAAATTAAAAAGCAAGAAACTCCTTTTATACCCTTTTAAAGTAATCAATGCACATGGGTGAGAACGACCATTGTGTGTCCATTTTTCTGACCTGTCTCCAAACCCTGACCCTTGACCCCAAACACTCCACTCTGTTGACCCAGAAACGCGATGTGAGACTGTGAGCAAAGAGCCTCTTTGGCAGAGCAGCGGGAGGAGACGCGATGTACGAGGTTACGCTTCCGCTCCACTCGCGATAAAAAAATACATCAGAATTAAGAGTTTAGCATCAGGCCAAATAGGTGGAGATTAACTCTGAAAATAGGGGAAATGGTGTGATGTGTGCGTGTGCGTGTGTGTGTGTGTGTGTGTGTGTGTGGCGCGTGAGTGCAATTGATTAAGAGAGGAATTAACAGAGAGGGGGAGAGAGGGAGGATTCTGGAACTAATTTGGTAAATTTGGCCTAAAGTTGAAATGAGCCACTTTAGTTATTACTATAAGTGCAGCTCCCTCTTTTATGTATTTTGTAAACCCGGTGACCTAGTTTGCAGAAAAATGAATCTGAATGTGAGTTTTGTGTATTTTCTGCTAGCTGAACAGGACTCAAGATAGCAGTTAAAGTTAGCCCTGTCTGTCACCTGAACCCACCCGAGGGTCAGAGGTCAGATCCGTCTCCATAGCTGTGGTTGGGTTTCACAGCTCTAAGGCCGTCAGGTGGCTGTCATGTAACTGCTCTGAAATGGAGGCCAATAATCCTGCGAGGACGTTTTCAACAGCAAATAGTATTGGAGACGGGATGCATATATAAATATATATATATATATTTCTTTTGTTATTGTTAGATTGTTATATTTCTTTTGTTATTATATATTATTGAGGTGGATTATTTATTATACAATATGTAAACCGTTAACAGATCTCGAACATTTTCGTTGGGATTATGAAAAAAATCATATGAAATACTTTTTTAAAAACTCGAAACGGTATTTTTTTTTGTTTTACCTTACATTCTTATTATGTAAAATCTTTTATCAAAGGCGGAGACCATAAACCAGAGGTCCAGCATGTCTGGATGGTAAATCCTACAGTGCCCCCATGTGGTGAAAGTTGACATTTTCTTGAAGCCTAAACTACACTCAATATATGAGAGAGCAATTAGAACGAGAGATCATGTTAAAAACATGTGGGAGGAGGCGATACTGGAGCGGCGTGGGAGCATGTGACACAGGGAGAAACAAAGTGACAGCTGAGGTGACTCGTGTCTATTTTTATTCAGCCACATGCCTCTGTGGAAAACAGCTAAACAGACATGTTATACATCTCTTGTTTCATATCAACAAATCAGAAATCAAAGCTACGGCAAAAGGCTTCCACTCATCCTGGCAGCTGTGCTCTTCAACCGGTGAAAAACTACAGAAACCAAAGCACACACTGCAACGGAAATAAATGCAATCATCAAACACAAAAAGGTAGAATAAATATAACAGGAAATTACAGTAAAAGCAGCTACTTAAAATGTGTTAGTAAATCAACTTGATAAGATATTGCTGGATGCAACAGAATGTGAAGTTTTGAGTCAAATCTGCACCTTTTTCTCATCAGACGTTTCTATTTTGTCACTTCATCCGTGCTTTACTCTTCGTCTTTTTCTCATTCACGACCACCGTCTTGTTTTTTCACATCCTTCTTCTTTTTCTAAGTTTGAACTTAATTCTTAATCATTACATATGATATCTACAGAACTTCATTTCAGTTTCCCCAACATCTCTTTCTGTCCTTTCAATCTGCTGTGGATTTCAATTTCGTTCCACATATTTGGGAATTCCACACATTTCCTTTGCAAAACATGGTGTTTTCTCTAACTACAGCCAAATGCATTGTATAAATCAGTCAGAGATTAAATGTAAGTGATCAAATGTGCTACATGGGTGGTCGGTTAAAACAGATTTTGTGAAAAAACGTGGCTGGTAAAAAAAAAAAAAAAGCTGCAGCCCTGAATAACAACGTTACACTAAAAACACATGGACCGAGCCGTGGTTCATTATGTCCACACCAGGGTCGGATCAGTGCGCGGTGGAACCAGGGCGCCACACACAAGGCTGCAGACCAAGGTTGGAGGTGCTGAACCTGGGCCTGGGGACCCGGTTAGGTAGACTGCTGCTGGGCGGCCCAGAGGGACTCAGATCCGGAGCACTCTTGAACTGCCTGCTGGCCGGCGCCGTGTCGCAGGGCGGAAGGTGGGAGAAAGTCGGGGACTGGACCGGAATCGAAGCATGAGTGGCGGAGAAGTTGGGGAGCTGAGGGAGTGGAGCGGTTGGGGCAGGTGGGGGCGACAGCGGGGAGGTGGCCCACTGAGGTTGGAAGTGTTGCGGTTGAGGATGATAGGCTTGGCGGGGGGCGTGGCCTGCCGCAGGTGGAGGAGATTGGAGGTCGGAGCGCCGCAGCGGCTCACCGAGTGTCGTCGCTGATCGAGGGACAATAACTTTGAGCGCGGGCCCCGTGGATGTCGGTGGGGGTGTGGAGAAGCGCTTCACCTCATATACTCTCGTTGTCTTCTGAGGACCACTTGTCATTCCTTTCTGCTGCTGATAGGTGGAGGTGTCCATAGGGACGCCACCCCCATAGCTGAACAAAGAAGAATTGAGCTGGTAGGGCTGGTGGCTCATAATGTCCACAGACTTCAGGCCCTTTTTCTGCCCTTTAGATCCAGCTGGCCCCGACTTTGCCACCACGGGCTTCTTCTGGACCTTCAGAGGGCAGGAAGGAGAGAGAAGGGGGTTGTAGCTGATGGGAGGAGGAGCACGGATGCTGGATGAGTACTTCCAGGTGGAAGGGAGAGAAGGCGTGGGTGATGACTCTCTAGGCCGGGCAGGAGAGTAAGGCACCGCAGCAACAGAGGGAGACCGCTCCACAGTGTACCGATCCATCCTGTTCTGCCGGCGGGCAAACAGCTCGCCTCCCTTCCCTTCCATCTGTGGCACCTGAGGGGTTTGAGGTTTAGGAGCTACAGGAGGTGGCCTGGTTTTCCGCTGGGCCTGCATGAAGTTGCAGGCCTCCGCCCCCAGCCTCAGCCAGTCCTCCTCCGGCCCTGACTCGTGTCCAGTCTCCCCACTCGGTGCAGCTCCAGTTGCAACAATCGGAGTCCCCGGGAGGCCCCCGGGGCCACTCCCAAAGTGAACGTCCATGTTCTGGACCATCGACAGCAGGTCCGGGTTCGGAGAAACATCTTTGTTCTGGACTGAGCAGAACATCGGCTTCTTGCCGCTACGCCGACGGGCATCGTGCAGAATGCCGGTGCGTCCGGCGGGGACCGAGATGCGCTCCTCCCGAGTTGCCAGAGAAGCCTGGGGCGGCGGTGCAGTTGCTGTGGCAGCGGGTGGGCCAGGAGTCACGTCGCCCGTCACGTTGCTGTAAGTGTGAACTGATGGAGATGGAAAAGGCTGGGTGGGCGGAGGAGGGGTGGGGTGGGCATGGAAGGAGACCTGAGCCAGATTAGGGGGATGTGGCGGGGTGATGGGAGAGGCAGAAAAGTAGGTTGAGGGAGTTAAATAAGGAGCAGGAGGAGAGGAAAATGCCTGTGGAGATGAAGGGGAGAAGCCCTGAGCAGGAGACGGACAGAAAGAGGTACCTTGAGGTGAAACAGGAGAGAACGGGACGGAGGGGGAAGCATACAGTGCGGGCTGAGGGGAAAAAGTGGATGGATTGGTGGCGGGCTGGGAGAAAGGTGCAGAAGACAGAGAGGAGGGGGGAGAAAGAGCTGAAGGGGGAGAGTAAAGGGAGGGGGGAATGTTGCTGTTGTTTCTGGGAGGGATGTACAGTGAGGTGCTAGACACAGCTCTCCTTGTATCTCCCCCTGATGGATGAAGAGTAGGTTGGAGAGTCACCATGGAGACGGCCGCTACTGGTCTGGACGGCGTGGTCGCGGCCGTGGGTTTGGGTTGCGGAGGTCGGAACATCACAGAGGTTACGGATGCACGAGAGGAGGACCCTGCAGTGAAGGGACGTGCAGTGCGGTTCAGAACATTTGGATTCAGGGGATGATCGGAGTCTGTGAATGGGATGGGACCAGGATTAGGGTGCTTCCCGTGTTGACTTGGAGGGGGCATCTGAGAGGGCGGGTTCAGAACTACACTGGCCCGACTGACAGCCAGCGACCCGTTGGTCAGAGCCACGGCTGGCGGAGACATTTGTGCAGGCTGGCTACCGGTTGGCTGCTTCCTGATGCTGCTCTCCAGCCTTAGGCCCTGATAGGCTGAGCTCTCCAGCCCTGAGACCTCCAACCCTGGGCTCTGATTCACAGAAGTCCACAGTCCCGGTGTCTGATGGCTCGAGATGTCCAGCCCTGCGCTGTGATTGGTTGTTGGCGTTGTCGGAGTCGTCGCCGGTGTGCTTGATGGGCAGGCAGAGCTTTTCCTGTCCAGCAGGTCTAGATAACCGGTGTCCCACGTGGGGTCAAACGAGGCTGAGAATCCCTCTTCATCGACTTCTGAACCACTCAGGACGGAGCCTCCTCCTTCCTCCTCCGTCTCCCCTCCTGTGTCTCCTTCTGTCTCCCCTCCTCTATCTCCCTCTGCCTTGCCAAAGCAGGTCAGCGTGTACTTCTTGGCCCTCTGCCGGCGTTTCTTGAACATAAGCACCCCCTTGGAGTTGGGATTGGGAGCATCAGTCAGCAAAGAGGCAATAGAGCGGCATTTGGTACGAGCTTCTTTCACCTGTTTTTCCACCACGCTCTCCCCCCGCTGCAGCTCTGCAAGACAGGAGGAGGAAAGAGAGAGACCGCTATGAACAAAGGAGAGAGCCGAGCATAGGATATTTTGATACAACCATTACACAGACACAGGCGACAAACAGCGGAAACAACAGCGCGACGGCCCTCAGTGACTGCAGGCGGAGGCTGATTGATACAGTGAATCATAGAGGAGCTGCAGTGAGGAGTTCGGTGACAGACAGGAGAGTGTGTTGTGGATTTATAACAAAGAATTCCTGCTGCTCTCCGGAGTTGAGTCACACTCAACGGGATGTTCAGATCAGACTCTCTGTCCTGTATAAAAGCATGAAGTGTGTGCGTGTGTGAAAGGCTATTTGTGTCTTTTTAATATCTTGGCTCCCCTCGCATGAATATCCTCACTACATAACTATCTGATGCAGCTTCCATATTCTGCATCACTTTCATACAGTCAAGCTAACAGGGGCATAACAAACACACACAGATACACAATCAGTCTAAAAGTTTAGATATTTGTGCAAAGACATAAAAAGGTCTGTGGGATCTGTTCATTATAGGGGTGCAGGGAGCTAAACGCTAACATGTCTTTGTTTGGCGTATTGGCATTTGCTAATTGACACAAACAAAGCGAGGTTGTGTCCTTAATTCAAGGAACAAATTGCTTAGTTTAGTCTTAAACAATTAGTGGACAAACGCTCAAGAGGAGGGCAGGAGTTGGTTTTTTTTATTCTATTTATTTAGTGAGTTTCCTTAAGAGCTCATTTTCATCCATTCCGATGGCGGGTTATTGCAATTTCGTGGCATAATAATATCAGTACCAACAGCGAACACTATAGTACGACAATGTACAGCCTAGAACAACATTAAACAATATAATTTTTTCTAATCGTTTTTTTTTAACAGCAGAAAAATACATGAATTGAGAACAATGATATTAGGCAGAGAAACGGCTCAAAACAAGGAACGAGAGTCAGGTCCATTCCAGTAAAATGATAAACAATAATTTAGGAATGAAACGTTAACACTAAGCTTCTGACACAGAATCGAGATTAAGTTAATCCTATTACTAAAAATAAATCAAAATTAAAACTATGAAACCAATATGCATGACTTCTTAAGTGAATGCTTGTAATACAAAAGAGTTTTAATGTGCCTTACCTGCGTACACAGTGTGTGGGACTGTGTGTCCACCTACGTCCGTACCTGAAGGAGATGTGAGGTCCCTCATCCCACAAGTGTGAGTGCCAGTGTGTGTCCTTAACCCTCCCTCGGACCCTCCCACACACCCCCCATCACAGTCCGCTCCGGCTCCCGGTCGGGCCCCGCTGACCCTCTGTCTCCCAGCTCTTCTCTCAGGACGCGCGGCCCATGTAAAGACCTTTGTCTGTGGCCAGCAACCCGAACCAACGCATGATGTCAACCCACTATTCCTGTCCGAGTGACGGCCAGCAAACACCTGTCTAGTATCTGTGTCACATACGCAGGGACAGAGGGACGCAACGACGGGAAGACCCATCCCCGGAGTGTGTGTGTGTGTGTGTGTGTGTGTGTGTGTGTGATTCCACAAAGCAGATCATAGTTTATAGAGGGAAGCTCGGTCAGAACTGTTCACTGATGTGCTGCTCTGTGCTGTCGACACTTCAACCCTAACAACCACTGCACACAGACACACACAACGATAAAGCAGCAGAGCTAGCCCTCCTGCGTCCAAATGTGTGTGTGTGCGTAACGTGAGAAAGGGCAGGTCCCTGAACACCTCAGTCGTCATTCGCTCTACAGTGAAGCCCGACCTAAAGTCATTCCGCCTCTTGGTCGATCCTGACTACAACATCCGCTCGCATGACATCAGAGAGAAGTCACTGCTCTTCACTTTGATCAGCGCCGGTCATCATGAGAGGTTAGCCAGACAATATAAAACTGATTCTTTGAAGTACCCCTAATTGACTTTGATTAATTGAGCCTCAGAACTGTCTTTAAAATGAGGGTTTCTGCTCTTATTTCTTATTACAGTAATCATCTCACCCAGATTTGTGTCGCCACAGTTTTTAGTTAAGTAAATTAATCGTCTACTGTGCACACATGTGGACAGAAAACACACACACACACTCATTTAAACACACCACATTTTCAGCTGTGCGGCTTGTGAGTCCTACTCACGTCCAGCCTGTCGATCAGAGGCTTCAACACCCATAAATACAGCCAGTGAAGCAAATGCTCCGAATACCGACAGAAAAGATGGACTGCTGTGTTAGGGGGGAGGAGAGGGGAGGTGAGGGGAGGAGAGGGGGGAGGTGGAATACCTCTGCGGGTATCTGGTATACCTCACCCCATCACCACCAGCCTGTAAATGTAACTGGATACTCCAGTTGTGGGAAACAACCACTAGATGGTGATCTAGCTGTTGGTAAGCTTCAAGAGGGCACAGCTGATGAAAATCTTTGGTATTAATATTAAAAGGCAAGCAAGACTGACAGAGGTGCATTAACAACCGCAATGGCTTCTGTTTTATGTCAACAGTGTGTTTCCTAAAACTAAAACTAAAAAAGTTTGAACCATCTCACATGCAAGATCCAAATTGCATTTAGTGGGTGGACATCACGGCAGGGGCCTAAGTTTGCAGTATTAGAGTTTTATTTTCATAATTACTATGGAAATGCAATATATTTACCAAGATTATTGAAGCCTCTATTCTATCAGAATGGTGCCTTTTTCTAAATGGGACCATCTTTTTTTTTAATGGACCATTTTTTTCCATAGAAATTGTCATCTTTCTAGTGTTGCATGATGATTCATGTGTACACGTTTCGCGTGAGGATGCACACTCACTAGCTTGCCGTGCTTTGTCCACGTAGGTGTTGGAGAGCTCGTCGCTGACCGGGCCCCGCTGGGGTCCCACCATGGGCACCAGTTGTTTACCCGAGGCCGAAAGCAGAGCCTCCTTGGCCCGCTCGGGGGACACAAGCGGTGGGCAGGTGAGCCTGACGCAGCCCCCAGCCTCCTGGAAGCCGCTGTCCCCTTCTCCCTCCGCCTCCACTAACCCCTGATCGGGGGTCGGCGTGAGCGTGTGAGGGGTCAGAGTGTGTGGGGTGTGTGCTGGAGTTGTCCACTCGTTCTGGAAGGGCTGGTAGATGAGTTCTCTGCGGGGGACGCCTGGAAGACACGGAACCTCCCACTGGCCCTGCATGGAAACAACTCCCTCGGTGGCGCTCTCATACCTCAGAGGAAAGACAGCGCACCCCAAAGATTAAACACTGCAGACGACGGACTGCATGGAGTACAGGAGGTATATGTCCCTTACCCACTCATCTCTGAGGTCTCCTCCTCCTCTTGCTTGTCATAGCGCGCCGGTGAGCGCGCGTGCGGAGGGGTGCGGCGCTGCCGGCGGTGCGTGAGCGACTGCGTGTCCGCGTCACTGTCCGTCTCGCCGTAGTAGGCCTCGCTGTCCGGAGGGGATGTGATGCCCCGGGGCACCCCGGTGGGGGAGAGGATGGAGGAGCGGTGGGAGAGCAAGGGGGCCGCGGGGGGAGACAGGGTCCTCACGGAAGAGCGGGGCGATGCGGGGGAACCAGAGTAGGATGAGGAGTGGAATCCAGGAGGTCCTCTGGGAACATGAAGGGGACGAGTTGTGAAAATGTGCAGGTTTGAAATGGGTTTTATGTAAGAAAGCCCGTACGTGCTCTGACCTTTTGACCCTCAGGTTGAGGGTATGGCTCTCCATATCTATGAGGCTCATGGCCTGAGCATGGCTGAGCTCTGCACACATATGGTTGCCAATGGCAACGAGCTCATCGTCCTCCTTCAGACCAGCTCTGCAGGCTTTGCTGCGTCGACGAACCTGAGAAGAACAAGGATCTCGTAACCGTGCGACTTAACCTCATGCTTGTGGCTGAGGAAAAAGCACAGTCAGCTTTGTCTGCTTTCCTAACTTGACCCGTCGTAGTATTCAACCCCAACACCAGCCCAACATTGAGAACTTGTGGTCTGAAAGCAAAAACTGAGCCGGTTTCACTTTGGTTTGTCCGACAAACAAAAGTTTACAATTAAACTCATTTAAATAATTCACAAATGAGTCACAGAAAAATCTAGACATAGTGACTTTAAAGGCCCTTCCTTCTTCTTAACTACTCACTTTGACTTTTATATTTCTGCATGAAACAACCAGATGCTGCCAAAGTTTGAATAGTTTCTTTAATGGATTGCGTGGAGCAATTTGGGATTCGAAGTAACACCTAAGGGCATGTGGACACTTGGAAAGGAGGAGCTGGGGATCAAATCGCCGACCTTGTGGCTAAAGGTAGATCCACTCCAACCCCCGAAGCACAGTCATCCCAGATCATCGTGCGTCATGATAAGAAAGTTGTGGGGTTGTTTGCTCATGATGGCTGCCCACTGTCAATTAACCTGCAGTCCTAAAGAAGCATCGTTACACTTTTTTGTGTTAAACTTTTATTTCATATAAAATAACCTTTTTTTCTAAAAATTTTGCAATCATGAAAATTGAATAAATGTTTATTAATGTTTATTAATGCATGAATATTTTCTCACTTTTTAGAATATTTTACCTGCTGCACAGCAGTTTCCCTCAGGACAAATTTTATAGATAATAAAATAAACGTATCAAAATAAATGTCCCTTTCAGGGGCTTTAGACCATCTCAGTGGCCGTATTGTTACTTCAGTGTGCTTCCTACAAATGTCTGATAGTTCGTTAGTTGGCGAGAGCATTATTTATATGAAACAGCCCAAAGCCTCTGATGTCCAGAGTTCAGCGACAGCCGTCCCTCGGCCATCTTTGTCCCTGTATCAGAATAACTTGTGAAGTCGGGCAGCTGTTCCTGGAGGTCGCCAAGAGATGATGTCATGGGACCCTTCAGGAAGTCGGTGAGGGGGGGCTGGGTGATGGATGGGAAAGCAAGTATTCTGGTCCGCCAGATTGCAGTTTCCTCTACAAGAAGAAGATAAGGCCCTCAACTCTATCTCAACTTTATCACTGTTAAAATGTCGAGGGGAGAGAAGTGCGTCCCCGCACCTACTTGGCGTCTCAAGTATTTGCCTTTATCCGTATCTTTTGATGTGGCTTCCACACCAACACGTGCAAGGACAAGCTGTCCCATCCAGACACATGTACACATCACACATTTACACACGTAGCACGTGGGAACATTGTGAACGAGGTGGAGGGTGGGGAGGGTGGGGGGGGGGGGGTTGAACAGCTGCATCGCCTGTCTGGACCAGGAGGGATGGCTGTCATTCACCATTTCTCCCCCACATACCCAAAATAAAACCTTGCAGGAAATTCCCCCACGTTCCTAGACAGATGAAGAAAAACTGGCCGCTAATATGAAGCGAGGAATAAAATGGTAGAACTTTATGAGACAGGAAGGCGTATCAGAGTGTTTTTTCCGTGCTCGGCTTCCAGGCCCTTCTTAAATGAGCTATTCTGATCCCCTACTTTGTGCTCTGTTCCCAACCGGGCTTATCTGAGGTATGCTCAACCACACAAACGACCGGTCGCACACATGCAGCAACATTCGGAAGCCCCCCGATGATCAGACTCTCATCGAAGGTGACATTATCAGCTCGATAACCCTGGACGAAGAGAGGCCTTCGGTGCCAGATTCCCTCTGCAGTTTAAGGGTGAACGTCGGTGGGAGTGAGTTCACATACCTCCTCTCCAGAATAGACTTTCTTATTAGAGGCAACATTCCGGACTGTCAACAAATATAAACAGAGACACCAAAAGCTTTTGGAGAAAGCAAACTGAAATAAAAGAGAATAAGCCAGGAGCTTTAAATTGTTATTTTTATGTCCAGTAAATTTGTGTCAAAAATGTATGACAAATATAAAATGAATTTATGGTCGGCCAATACACAGAGATGTAATGTGTGTGTGTGTGTGTGTGTGTGTGTGTGTGTGTGTCATTGTCCACCCAGAGAAAAGTAATAATATAGATTGTATGCACTGTAGACTAACCCACTAGTCTCTGTACGAGTGCCATCATGAAGCCTTGATGGAAACCCAGTCAAGATTAACCCTTTATAACATGTTCCACTGTTCTCTGACCCACAACACACAATCACTGTAGGGGGGGATTTCAATTCCCTCTGTCCAAATGAGCATGGGGTGAAATGTGGTATATGATGGGGGCACTGTGGTAGAGCGAAGATTAAGCCAAAGTAACAGTAGAAAAGTAGCAGTTATTTTGAGCAACAATACTTTGAAGCTTAATGCGAGGAGACTTCCTGATTAATACCTTAATTATAAGCCTGTTTAATATGACATTGTCCATCTAACTCATTCGCATCCAATTCAGTAATGCTCGACAAAGTAAACTGAGATGACTTTTACCGTGTATGAAACACTGAGACGGACAAAAACTGACAAAAGTACTAGTTTTAAGTTGCTATTTATACCCTTGTGAATACCAGAAATACCTATCAGCCCCAGAATTACAAACATAGCAAACTTACAAGACAATACATCAAAGGCTTAGACCGCTATTAACAGCTGTTGTCTCTATTAAACCCGTCTACTCGTGTTACCACCTTGGCGGTAAGTCTTTCTGATACATGCTGTGTGCACACACACACACTTATAGGTTCCACATTACCTTGGCCACCTGTAGAGGTTTTTGTTGCTCCGCTCCACCCTGCAGTCTGAAGCCCCACGGCGAACCTCCCGAGAGGGAGACCACGATCTCCTCGGCTACCATCCCCGCTCACAGCTCACAGCCCGCTGTGTGTGTGTGTGTGTGTGTGTGTGTGTGACTGACTGTGTATGAGTCGCTCTCCCCTTCTTGTGTTCCTCACACTGTGAGTATCAATGAGAGCGAGTGAGGCTCTTGCCTCCCCGCTCCACTCGGTGACCCACGACACATCACTCCACCCACGGGGGAGACGGGGCTGGCTTTCATCTGCTTACAGTGGAATGCTGTGATGGAGGGGTGGGCGAGGGGAAAGGCGTATGTGTGTGTGTGTGTGTGTGTGTGTGTGTGTGTGTGTGTGTGTGTGTGTGTGTGTGTGTGTGTGTGTGTGTGTGTGTGTGTGTGTGTGTGTGTTCATTATCCCTAGCATTCAACACTTGCCATGTCACTCTCAAGCACCCTTCAGGACGGGATGCTTGCTGATATACTCTCCCAGAATAGCCACAACTGCCCCTCCCTTTCTTGTAACCGCAGCTCAGCCGACCCGCGAGCAGCCACTGCTGTATTCATCTACCCACAGAACCCCAACCCTTAACGGAAAGAATGGTTTTCTGTCAACAGAACTCATCGTCATTACAGTGGTCGCTAGAGGGAGTTGACTTAGATTTCATTTTGGAGCTGTCAAGAAACTGTTAAGTACAAATGTTCAGGAAAACAAGCCGTCATGCTGCTGTTCATCAGCTTCAACATCTCTGACTGGCAAAATGCGTAATTTATATATATATATATATATATATTGGACCAGATTGCATAAAGTGAGAGAGTTTGGGGTCCGAAAAGGTAGCCGAACCCATAAGATACTTTCTCATATTTAGATCTTGTCACATTATAATAAATGATGATGATGACTGAGAGGATCACCAAAGTGATATTGGCTCTTCGCTTCATGGAAAATTTAACAGCATGTGTAAATTTAGTTGCCTGCCTTCAGTGACATTAAACCAGCTGCACAATTAATTCAAACAAAAGCTAGTTGTATTAGTTATTACTGTTATTCTAAACATGATTACCTGAGCCTTCTAGTAACCACACACACACACACACACACACACCCACACACACACACACACACACACACACACACACACACACACACACACACACACAGGTGAGGTGCTCTCGGCGCGGTGGAGGAGGTGAGTGGGTGGAGGAGGGGGGGAGTCGCTCTGCGGGGCCCGGATGTGGACGTGGCACCGCGCTGCAGCAGTTCCGCTGGATGTCCGCTTCTGATACCGACGAGGGATTAGTGAGAAACACCTCGGCTCCAGCTTGTCGACCACCGGGTATCACAGTTCGCCCCGAGCAGCGAATAGCCGTTTACAAGACATCGGAGGTGGGTTTCGATTGGAAACTAGTTCACGTGTGATATCGCCGCCCGGCTTGAAAGCAGAGTTTGGGTGTTTTGCTACGTTGGCTAACGCTAGCTACGGCTAGCGCTCTGCTAGCGGCGCTCTGCGAAATAGCTGTAGGTTGATAGCTTAGCTAAGCTAGTGTGCTAACATTATCTAAGCCCCCCCCCCCGGTTGTGGCGATTTGGTCACAGCTGATTCAGCCACTGCTGCTGTCAACCATGATTCAAGATGTCTGGTTGCTAACGTTAGCAATACAACCTCACTTTAGCTCTCGCTCATGGGAAGTTTTTTTTTAAAATAAAACATTAAAAGATTGGCGTCGTCCTTCTGCGTCTCGCAACTCTTAGCCACACCACGATAACCAAACGCTGTCTTTTGGGTGGTATTCGTAACATCTTAACGTAAGCTGAGCTAGCGAGCTAGCCATCTGTAATGCGGCACAGAGGTTGGTCTCGCTAGCACGCCGCTAGGCTCCACGGCTTGCCTCGACATTGCAACTCTTAATTCTTCACCTCGACGAGGCTGGCGTTGACTTCTCCGACACACTGTTGTTATTCTCGGGTATAAAATGTCCCATTCCCGGGTTCGGGGTTGCTGTCTAAAGTTGTTTTGACTGAAATTGCTGACCCGGTTCCCTTAACCCAGCTAAGGGGAGCAGACGTGGGTCCCTCACTAGGCCTCACGCACCAAAGAGCTGTGCGGCTCCAGCGATTGTGTTTCTCGTTGTGCCACCTACACCGTTGAATAATTCAAGGCCCTGCTCGTACGTGTGTGCGTGTGTGTGTAGATACACATCTCTCTGTCATAAAAGTGGTAAATAATCAAAGCCAGTGTCCTGACTGCCCCATTGAGGTCCCCTCTGGGTTCTCCTCAGTCCTCATGGCCTGTAAACATTGTGGCACACAGTCACTTGTCACCCTCACAGCTGATCATACCAACATCTGTTACTGGTTTTATTTCTTCTTTCTAAGCAGTCTATGTGACCCATTGTTTGCCCTGTGTGTGTAAACTGAATGGTCAGAAGGTAACGTAGACCGTAGGTGTGGCCGGGTCAAACATCAAAGCCAAGATGGGTGTTGTCACTGAACCAGGACATATTAACGGAACTAGGCAGCTTTTTTCGTGACTGTTTGAACTTGAGGACTTAAGGACCTTTAAAGTGTTTCGCATTGATCCTCCTGCTCGTTGTTTCCGGTGCAATGGGACAGCACCCCCGGTTTCTTCGGGCCGGGGTCATGTTTTTGTGGGACTGCCTTTTGATTTATTTAGCATAACAGAAATGATATGAGCACATTAAAATTCAGACAACAATGATGCAGTGATGAAATCTATTTTTGTAGCCTAGAAACGGGCTAAACTAGAATTTCTTTATTGTTTATGTTTGTGTCTTCACTTCCTCCAGATTCAGGGATGATCTGAGGATGAATGTAAACCAGCACTCTCCGATGCCCTCTCCGTACGGCCAGACCCAGCCCGGCTACGGCCAGCCCGGCTACGCGCCCCTCGACGGGGGCTACGCCGCGCCCTACGGCCCCTACAATGGCCCCGCCTCGGCCTTCCAGCCCGGGGCTCCGCCGCAGGGTAAGACGCTGCTTCCGAGTGTGTTTGCGTACGGTGAAAGCGCGAGGCGCCACGTGAGTTTTCCCGCCGCGGGGACGCAACCCTGGAGTGTCCTACTGTCTCTCACCCTGTGGGATTGGTCACACCTGGGGCAGAGCAGCACTCGGCCTGTGCACCCTGTCAGAATCTTCTTCCTGTTGCTTCAAGCATTTTCCTACATCTTCACTGTATTTGCCCTCCTTCCCTCTCTTCTTGTATTTCAGGTTATTCTCCTTTCACAAGTTTTCCCTCTAAGGCTGTGGCCGCCAGCCCAGTCTCTGACCTCTCCTCTCCTGTCGACCTAGGTAACTGCCTCCTCTCTCTTTCCAACTCATTCATCTCACCCTCCACGTGCTCTCTGCTGACATTGAATCCTTTGTACTTGCGGGCATTGCTCCTCCTTCCGTGTCATTTCCATAAAACACAATAGAGGAAGCTCATTTGAGTCCACCCGATGCCTGTGACTGTAAATACTATAAGCCAAGCTGTTGTTCTTAGTAATTACCACACACGTGTATCTATTTCAGTATCTGCCTATCATATTTTTTTTTCATTTGTTTACATTGCATTTTTATCAATTTCTAATATTTCGGTGTCCATTAGGGTAGGTCAAAGGATTTATTATGCCGTCCCCCTCCCTTTTTTATCCACCAACTCCTAGGCTGACAGGTTCTCATGACTAGAGTCTTAAAATAGTAAAACTAAGCCCAGCTGACAGTTGTTTTGCTAAGTTTTGCATCCTAAAATTATCCCCCCGGTGTTTATTTCCAGCCTTCATCAGAGAATCGGCCTGGTTTCAGGATAGAGCAGAGAGGAAAAAACCTGGAAATGTAATCAGTGAGTTCTAAAAATGTATTTGGGCACCGCGCTGGCCCGTAGCCGCGCTTAGCTCGCCGTGCTAATCTCATCGCACTAGAAAGTTGAATGAATTCAGGACGGTTGTCAGCGGTGCCAAATTTCCCGTTTTTGCGTCTATGTGTGTGATGTTCTGTCCCTTCCTTTCAGGTCCCGTCCGGGGTCCTCCTGCCTCCGGAGCCCCTCCGGTCTCAGCACCCCAAGTATACAATCAGTATGGCCACGGTCAAGGGGACATGCAGAATGGACCCCCGCCTATGACACAGGCCCCGCCCAGGTAACTAGGGGTTGATTGTTATTCCCTAAAGTATATTTAGACCTTTTGATTGTAGAAAACATTGTTTTTATAGTAAATTGCACACACTCTATAAAGTATTTAATGAAGCCTAGAATTACTTATTTGTACAAACATAGACAATTCATTTCCTACTTGAGGTTTGCTTGGAGCAGGTTACTCAGATTTTGCAGGTTTTGCAAATTCATCGAATTTGATCAGAATCAATCCAAGACTGTGTAAAAACTCTGGACTCGGTGCTCCTCCAGGAAGACCACCATGTGATTTAGTTATTTATCCAAAACAAAACACTCGATACGATGGTCGCGTGAAGATACTTTGCAAAACAGGCTTGGCTTACAAAAAAAAACAGCTTTTAGCATTTACATGACATCCAATCGGCTCACTGTCCTTGAGTGCATGTAGATGCACACGTTGATGTGTACGAATGTGTTTCCAGGCCTGCTGCGTCTCAGCCGTACCAGCAGGGAGCCGTGAACTTGTCCGGGCCACAAGCCTCCTATCCCCAGCACTACGGGCCCCAACCCTCAATGCAGCACGTCACTAACCAGATGACCGGGATGCAGATCACCTCTGCACCGCCAACACCTGCGGGGCCGGGATATGGTACATTTTGGATGATTTCTAATTTTAGCCGTGCGTTATTGACTTGATTTACCGACGTGGACGCAACAATAAGATAATCCCTCTGTCTGACGGTCTCTCCTCAGCACCGCCGCACGGCTCCCAGCCTCCCGTCAACACCGCCTACTCAGGGGCGCCTCCACACGCTTACACCCAGGCCCCTCCGCCGGCGTCCTCGGCCCCAACCCAGCCGCCGCCCCCGAGTGGCCCTGCAGCTCCTCAGCAATACTACAGAGGCCCGCCGGCTCCTTCTCAACAGCCGTTCAACTCGTCTCTCCCCCCTACCTCCCAACAGCAGTTTTCCTCTCCCGCGGCGCCACCCCCTTCCTCCCAGCCTACCTTTCCTCCCTCCTCCTACTCGGGTCCTGCGTCGACGCCGGGCCACGCTCCTGCTCCCCTGGTGTCCCAGCCACAGCAGTCCTTCGCGCCAGCCCAGCAGCCCCCCTTCTCCTCAGCACCTCCACCTGCCAGCCATCAGTCTTTTGTCTCCGGCCCGCCTCCCCCCGCCCAGGGCTCCTTCCCACCTCAAGCACCCCCTCCCGCCTCTCAGCCGGGCTCTTTTCCGTCTCCTCAGCCGATCTCGATGCCTTCCGGGCCGTACCCAGGCCCCATGCCGCCCCAACAGCAGCACCCTGCGTCCCAGCCATCCCCCTACCACTCGGGTCCCCCTCCTCCAAGGGCTCAGATGCCTCCCACTTCCATGGCCCAGAGCAACCACCTGCCGCCAGGGCCTCAGGGCCCGCCGGGGCCTCCCGGGCCCATGCAGCAGCCTCCCCCTCAGTCTGGCATGCAGGGAGGATACCCCCCTCAGCAGAATGGTGAGCACACTGCCATGGAGTGAAAGAAGACACACGTGCGTGTTTCCCTCCATCACTAAGCCGTTATCTTGTTGTGTTCAGGTGCGTTCGGGCAGGTGAGAGGCCCCCAGCCCGGCTACGCAGGCCCGTATCCCGGTCAACAAAACTACGGGGCCCCTGCACCAGCACCGCCTCCGGCTCCCCCTGCGCAGAAGAGACTGGACCCGGATTCCATTCCCAGCCCGGTAAGCAGACGCAGGACCCCAAACATGTATCTCTGTACGTAACGTCACTGGTAAGCATGCTGGGAAATAAGTGGTGATGACATTGAATTGGATTTCTTATCAAATGATCACATTATTGTGTCTTGGTAACTGGTTCTGTCATTTAGCGTTCAGTATATTTGAAATAATCATATGACGTCACCGTTTCTTTTTATAATAATTAATAATCTACGTTTAGTCTCTAGTCTGATGAGAATTCATATGTCTCATAATTTCTATCCTCTCGTGCGGTTTGGGCAATTTTTTGTGGCTTTTATTTTGTATTTATTGTCATAATGCTGTCATATTGATTTTGATCTATTGTCTATATACATATTACATCTAAAGGCTTGTATTCTTGATATTCAGACAAAAAAAAGTTAGTGAATCCGTCCTGGGCTTCACATTCACAACTGGATATAGCGATACATATTGTTAAATAGATTTTGGAGAATGCCCAAATGATTTTATAAATGAATAATGACTGCAGCGGTCATACCTTGTCGGCCGCACATAACCCACGCGTGAATAACTCGCGTCTCATGTGTTTGAACCTTGTAACCTTCTCTTGGGGTCTTTACGTTTACAGCTGCTCAGCATGTGTGTGTCCAACGGGCTAATAGTATATTAGTCAATATCTACTAATCCATAATCCAATCTGCTGATCAGTTTCTGTCTGAATAACAACAACGCTGCCTGCTACTCGGCAAAGACATGCCGAGGTTTCTCTTCTCACGCTCTTTTAACAATTATTCATTTATATCTATTCACTCCTTTTGTATTGATTTATTTTGTCCTGTTTTGCACAATTTGCTGGACAAACTTTTGAATGTAAAGCAAGCGTCTGACATGCCGGCTGTGCAGAAATCAAGACATAGAATAGACCCAGACGCTATTCCCAGCCCAGTAAGTCTCCCGTGTGTCTGCCTTTTCCTCCTGCTTTATCCTGTCCGCTCCGCCCGCTTGCACCAACCCACAGCTTCACCTTCTCACCCCCTCAAGTCCGTAGTAGTCCCAGCGCACGGGCTGTGGAGAAGATACAAAGTTAGACTTGTATTGCATGTTTATGTTAATTAGCCGGTCGTCGAGTGTCCTATCCACCAATATGATACCCACTCCGGATGGAAATACACACTGACTTGTTTAAAGAAATAGAAGTAGTTAAACATTGAGAATAAGACGAAAAGATAGCGGATACCGCTCATGTGTATGTTATTTAAATGCAACTTTAAACACAAACTGGAAACGGGTGGAAAGTGTAGAAATGGCAAACGTTTCTGAGCTGGAAAGAAAGCAATTAATCCCAAATGTTCCTATCGATAAGCACGTTTGTCTTAGATATTCAGATTATTTAACATGTATAACTACTGTTGCTTTTCTCAGACTATTTAAGACTCCTTTTAAGGCCGTTAACTGTCGCTATATGCACTGCATCATAACCGCGTGTTGGTCATTCCTGCTACCGCACACACCCGTCTCACTGGTTCAGGGGTTAATCGGGACTTAGAGTAGCCTTAAACCTCCCTGTGCCTTGCATGCTGGCTTCTGATGTTTTGACTTACCCACAATTCCTTGCATTAATGGCATGCCTAAATAAATCCTGCCTTTTCCAAGGAGAACGTCCCCGTAGTCATGACGATGACTGATTTCCTCTTGGCCTCAGATGTTGATGGGTTTTCAGTGTGAGATTATTAGCGGCTGGGGGTCGTGTGAAAGTGATCTCCTGCATGTCTGTTCAGTGTTCCTCTTTTTGACAATTTGGGACAATGTCTTGTGACGTGTCTGTATTTATGGTGGGAACCTGTGCTAATGATTTCCTCCTCTTTTAGATCCAGGTAATAGAGGATGACAAGGCCAAGAGCACCGAGCCATTCAGCACAGGAGTCCGAGGTCAGGCGCCGCCGCTCGTTACCACCAGCTTCCAGGTCAAAGACCAAGGTATGTCCTGCTTCCTGTGAGCACACCTCGCACGCACCTTCGGAACCTGCAAATGTGAATTTTTGCAGATCTGTTTTTTTCTTGGCACAAACATCTGTCCCAACTTTTTTCAAGTGAATGTGGGTATTAATGTACAATCTGTGTTTTAGGGAATGCCAGTCCCAGGTTTGTGCGCTGCACCGCTTACAACATGCCTTGCACGGCCGACATGGCCAAGCAGTCTCAGGTGCCCCTGGCCGCCGTCATCAAGCCCCTCGCCACGCTGCCACCAGACGAGGTTAGGCCTACCCCCACTCCCAAAACCCTCAAGCCCCACCCTCTCCTGCTCCGTGGATGCTGTGATTTGCAGAGATTTGCAATAGTACATCACCTAAGTGATTCAATAACTGTTTGGATAATTGATTTAATGTTTTAATCATTTTGCAAGCAAACATTTTCTCCTAGCATTGAAAATATAATAAGAAATGAAAGCAGCCCCGTTTCACTGTTTATGATATATTATTTTTTTCTTAAAAAAAAAAGATTAATTTCCCTGCAGCGCCTGGTATGTAGTAACTAAAACAGGATGACTGATACGTCGGGTGGGATAATCTGTCTGATAAACAAAAATGTGGGAGGGGCTGCATGACCTTGTTTCATGCACTCGCCACATGTGCAACCAATATCCATCTGGACTAGGTTTACGTTACATCATTTTGGCTTAAAAAAACCCCGTTGCGTCACATCAGCTCCATGTGAGGCTTGCAGATGAAGTCTCCCTTGTTGCTAAAATATGAATCGAATCAGTCTCGGGTATTCCGATTATGGAATGAGACTACTCACCCCTTTCATCCCATCTCTGGTCAGACGCCTCCGTACCTGGTGGACCACGGCGAGGGCGGTCCGATCCGCTGCAACCGCTGCAAGGCCTACATGTGTCCATACATGCAGTTCATAGAGGGAGGTCGCCGCTTCCAGTGTGGCTTTTGCAGCTGCGTCACAGAGGGTACGAGTTTCCCAGTTGCTTTGTGTTATAAAACAATTTTTTTTTTGTGTGTGTGCGTTTTTTGTTTTTTACTATCAAATTCCCAGTTGTGATGCTCCTGCTCCTTCTCCTTAGTGCCTCCACATTATTTCCAGCATCTGGACCACACTGGTAAGCGGGTGGACTGCTATGACCGGCCCGAGCTCTCGCTGGGCAGCTACGAGTTCATGGCCACTGTCGACTACTGTAAGGTGAGTCCTCTTTTAAGGAATCGCACCCTTTGTGCTCACTGGACTCGTGGATTCATCCTCCACGGTTATTGTTGTTCTAAGAGCTTTGGTATTGTCATGGAATTCACAGTATTTGCCTCTACTTGTCTCTAACAGAACAACAAGATTCCTCAGCCTCCAGCCTTCATCTTCCTCATCGACGTGTCCTACAATGCTGTGAAGAGCGGCATGGTCAACATTGTCTGCCAGGAACTCAAGAGCCTCCTCGACTACCTGCCCAGGTACACACACACACACACACGCACACACACACACACACACACACACACACGGGCAGTAGTGGAAAAGGGAGAACACTAGAGGCACTAAATGATTAGAAAGGGAAGAAGCTGAGAGAATCTTGAGTGGGAAAGGAAGTCGGAACATTTCCTCTTAAAAGTGAGGTTTTTAAACAATTTGTTTTTCATTTCATTTCATCCTATGCAAATGTTTTACATGGATTTTTGTTTCATTAAAGCTTGAAAGCAATGATGAATGAGGACAGCATTTGCAATTGACATGGAAGTACAAATGTCAACTTTACTTTCCACTATCATGCTGACAGGGAGAACCCAGAGATGGACTCCGTGGTTCGGGTGGGCTTCGTCACCTACAACAAGGTTTTGCACTTCTATAACGTCAAGGCGAGCCTGGCCCAGCCCCAGATGCTGGTGGTGTCCGATGTGTCCGACATGTTCGTACCTCTGCTCGACGGCTTCCTGGTCGACGTAAACGAGAGCCGGCTAGTTATCGAGAGGTGAGAGGACAAAAAAAAAAACAAATACATGAGGTGTGCGAGTCCAGAAAAAAATGACCCGTTTTAATGACTCATCGTTTGTGTTTTCCAGTTTGCTGGATCAGATCCCAGAGATGTTTGCAGAAACCAGGGAGACGGAGACGGTGTTTGGACCGGTCATCCAGGCCGGACTAGAGGCCCTCAAGGTTTCATTTCAAGTTACATCCAGCGTTACTAACCAAAGTATCTTTGAGGCCGAATGAATTGCCTCCCCAGTAAAACACTTGACTTTAAAGGGGATATTTCTTGTTGTAAAGACGCCTGAGGTGACAAGTTTACTTCAGCTGAGGTAAACAAGAAATGGGCAGCCTGGTGATCTGCATGTCGCTGTGTGCCACTTCCTCAGGCCGCAGACTGCTCAGGGAAGCTGTTTGTGTTTCACACCTCTCTGCCCATCGCGGAGGCTCCTGGAAAACTAAAGAACCGGGAAGACAAGAAGCTGATTGGGACGGATAAGGAGAAGGTAGACACCAGTGTAGCAAGATCTGTGTGGCATTTTTAGCCTCTTGTTTATTTGGGAAAAGAAATCTCGGATCAGCTGCCGACTGAATCTGCGTCCTCTTCAGTCTCTGTTTCAGCCCCAGGTGGCTTTCTACAACACCCTGGCTAAGGAGTGTGTAGCACAGGGCTGCTGTGTGGATCTCTTCCTCTTCCCCAACCAGTATGTGGACGTCACCACGTTAGGGGTGGTCCCCGTCTCCACCGGAGGGTCCGTCTACAAATACACCTACTTCCAGGTGAGAGAGCGAGTCACTCTTTCTTTAGGCCCTCCTGAGTTTTAGCGAATTTCTCTACATATTTGCTCTGCTGAAATACCAGCTGTGTCGTTCTCTATCGGATAACATGGTGTGTGTGTGTGTGTGACGTCTTAATCCCAGGCTCAGTCGGACAGGGAGCGGTTCCTCAACGACCTCAGACGGGACGTTCAGAAACTCGTGGGCTTTGATGCCGTCATGAGGGTGCGAACCAGCACAGGTGAGACCGGAAAAACATTCAAAATGCCCGGAGATAAGCGCTGAATAGCTTCATGAGCCCTCTTCCCCCCCCCTCAGGTATCCGGGCGACGGACTTCTATGGCTCCTTCTTCATGAGTAACACCACAGACGTGGAGCTGGCGGGCTTGGACTGCGACAAGGCCGTCACCGTCGAGTTCAAACACGACGACAAGCTCAGCGAGGAGACGGGGGCCCTCATGCAGGTCTGTGTTCTTTCAGGAGGGGAGACGCATTTTATTTGTAGTTTCCAAATCGGTCACGACCCGGGCCACATCTTCTAGCTCTCCCAAACAGCAGTGGTTCACGTGATTCGCGGTGCTACAAACGCTAACTGTGGCGTCCCGTCTGTTTGCCCCGTAGTGCGCCGTGCTGTACACCAGCTGCAGCGGCCAGAGGCGCCTCCGCGTGCACAACATGGCGGTCAACTGCTGCTCCCAGCTGGCCGACCTCTACCGCAATTGCGAGACCGACACGATCATCAACTTCTTCTCCAAATACGGTGAGGGCCGGCTCGCGCGGCAGAAGATTGTCCTCGCTCTTACGTTACGGACGTGCTACACATTCAGCATTGTACTTTAAAAGTCTGTATGAGGCCGAAAAGAGTCACGCCTTCTAAAAATAGCCTCACGCGAAGCCCAGCGGCTCCAGTAGAAAGCTGCACCTGTTCTTGATGACTCCCCTGCAGGCTGTGACGGGTAGACTTCCCGAGCTCGGAGTAATGCGGCGCGTAATCCCATGTTGTTGTTTTTTTGTGTGTGTCGCAGCTTTCCGAGGTCTCCTGAACAGCCCCACCAAGGCGGTGAGGGACACTCTGGTCAACCAGTGCGCTCAGATTCTAGCCTGCTACCGGAAGAACTGTGCAAGCCCCTCATCGGCCGGTCAGGTGAGGAGAACCCAGCCGGCACCACATCCTTCATAGTCATATGTTTTATTGATGTTATGCTACATTCAGGCTCACGTTTGGCACCTATAAATAACATCAACACCTCTGCACGCGTTTCTAAGGACCCAGCAGGTGTTCTCCTTAACCGTACCTGTGTGTGTTCTCCAGCTGATCCTCCCAGAGTGCATGAAGCTGCTACCGGTGTATTTGAACTGCGTGCTGAAGAGTGACGTCCTGATGCCGGGGGCCGACGCCTCGCTGGACGACCGGGCTTACCTGAGGCAGCTGATCAGCTGCATGGACGTGTCAGAGAGCCACGTGTTCTTCTACCCGCGCCTGCTGCCGCTGGTGAGGCCACACAAAGCCCGACGTGTTGACACACACACACACACACTCCCAGTGGCGAGAGAATGTGTCAAATCCCAATTCAAACGGGGCAGCCATGTCTGTGTTGATCCAACAGACCCTCAGATGTGAAAAAAAGACTTTCAGCTCTCTGTCATCCTACTCGGGATGATGATCACCTGTGTGTTGTTCATAATACAGTATTAAGACCAGATCAAAATAGGTTTGCATAATTATGCTGTCATAGAACAAAGAACCAGACACAGGGCTTCTTTTCTTTTTTTTCTTTTGAACATTAGAACAAAATCTGGAAGAGCGCGGAGGCCACTGAATATTTGAAAATGTTTATCAGGCGCTAAATTACTTTACTAATTGTATATTTCTTCATATTTTGCTATGTCGTCTGTTTAATTGTGAGCAAAACAAAAAGAAATAGTAATCTTTTAGGAATATGGGCTTGCTCTGGCCAACGCTGTGCCTCCAATTTTGATCATGATTTCACACAATTGTTCCTCTTAACATGTGGACTATGAGATGAAGATCAAGAGGCTGGATCTAATGAAGAACAGGATGCTCTTCTGAGCAATCTAGTTAGCTCTCTAGTAAGAAATGTTGCAACGTGCTGCTGCAGCGCTGAACTCCTCTTCATACTCGGCCTGCTTCTGACTCCACAGTCGAGCTGACCGTCGCGGCGTCGTCAGCTAAGAAAGCGGCTCCCTTTGCAAAAAGAGGCGATCGAATTAACGCGTCACGTTTCTATATTTACCGGGGGGGGGGCAGCGGGAGAAGACGCTGCCGTTGCGCTTCGCTCCCTCAAGTCTCTATTCAGGGTTCCTGTAACGTTGTAACTTTCAGACCAAGATTGAGAGCGGCTCGCTGCCCGTGGCGGTGAGGGACTCGGAGGAGAGGCTGTCTAAAGGCGGGGTTTACATCCTGGAGACGGGGCTCCACCTCTTCCTGTGGGTGGGAGCCAGCGCTCAGCAGGAGCTGCTGCTCAACATCTTCGGCACGCCGAGCTTCAGCCAGATCGACCCGAGCTTGGTGAGAGGAAGCGCCGCCCCCGATGTCGCCATTCGCCTTTTCTCCGATGTGTTTTCCCGATTACCTCGGCGGTACATGAGGTTAGATCATGTGATGAATTGGAAACACACAACTCATGACGTTTCTGTTTCAGACAAGCCTGCCGGTGCTGGACAACCCGTTCTCTCAGAGACTGCGAGAAATCATCGAGTCGTTCAGAGCGCAGAGATCACGATACATGAAGGTAAGCTCCTCCTTCTTTAATCCCTCCTGTGATGTGTTTAAGTCCCCTTTGCTGCCCTAAGCAACACGTCTCCACCAATAGGATGTGAGTTTCTATCAATTATTTTTCTTATACTTGATGTGACTTTCTACAGATCACTTTTGAGATGCAACATTATTTTATTTGTTATTATAAGCGGAACATTTTCGGAGAAAATAAGTGATTAATCAATGATGGAATGAATTGTTCGTACACGATTGTACGGACACATCAGGTCGGATTGCCTCCCCCTGCGCCAGCTCGCTCTCACACTTGTCTCCCCCACTGTTTGCAGCTGATGGTGGTGAAACAGGAAGACAAATCCGAGCTGATATTCAGGCACTTCCTGGTTGAGGACAAGAGCGCCAGCGGGGGAGCGTCATACGTGGACTTCTTGTGTCACATGCACAAGGAGATCCGCCAGCTTCTCAGCTAGGCCTACAGAGCCCACCTTCACCTGTATGACCTCCTCCCACTCAGTTCACCCTTCCGTGTGAAAGAAAGCGCTTTATCTTTTTTCTTTTTTACCTAATAAACTAAAGCTGTCTGATAAACCAGCTGGCAGATCTTGCGTGTGTGTGTGTGTGTGTGTGTGTGTGTGTGTGTGTGTGTGTGTGTGTGTGTGTGTGTGTGTGTGTGTGTGTGTGTGTGTGTGTGTGTGTGTGTGTGTGTGTGTGTGTGTGTGTGTGTGTGTGTGAGTGAGTGAGTGAGACAGGTAGTCTGATGTTAATAGAGCTTTACTCTGCCTCAAATCTACCGCTCCAGTACAGCAGGAGCGAGGAAGGGTAATGTACATACCGCAGTGAGCGATTGTGAGTGAGAGGCGGCTGATGCTGACCGTAGTCTGTGGACTGTCTGTATTACAAGCACTGAAAGTCTGTTTTGAGTCCATGAATGACCCTCAGATAGCAAACGTTTTTTATATGATTGAATCCCATTAGAGTGAAGGAGATTGACTTAGTAAGGCATGAATGGAATTAAATATATGCTGGTTGTTCTGCCTCTTCTCCCCTTTATTTATGGCCTTAGTACTCCTCCCTCTCCCCATGCTGCTCCAATCATCCATGATGTGTGTTTGTGTGCGTGCGTGTGCGTTTCCAGATGTTAGAGGATTAGTCGCCTACTGACCAATTCTCATTTTCTGGTGTCTCCACATGCGAGCATTGATTTATGGCAAGATGTGACAGCTCAAACTGAGGTCTGATGATCATTGAAATCTGGTTTCAGCGTCCACGAGTGGACCGAAAATAAAACTACCAACCTGGCCGCTGTGTTATCACAGTAATCGGTTAAAACAAGATTTGATTCAAATCGGCTTCGGGTTGAGTTTCTGTCAAGGACGCGGACATCTGGCTCAGGTGGTCGCAGATGAAGTTGCTCTGTCGTGACATGAAGCTTTCATTAGTTCTATGCAGCCGGGAGGAAAGAGGCCTGAGACAAAAAGAAATGAAGGACAGGTGTCGACTTGATGGCAACTTCTTCCATGGCTCGTTGTGGACGGTTCTGCCTGTTGATCATGTGCAGTGCCGCAGAATTTGTATGAATCAGAAAATTCCAGCAGACAGAAATGATCACAGAACGATGGCAGATTAATGGACATCCGTTAAGGTTTGAGTCGTCTTGGCACTGACTTCAGTGTGTGAATAAATACAATATATAATCTGTACAGAATTATTAGAAAATAACCATTTTAAAGAGCCGCCTGAACGTGTGTGTGTGTGTGTGTGTGTGTGTGTGTGTGTGAGAGAGAGAGAGAATGGGGGGTCGGTCCTGGTGAATTTCTGCTGAGGAACAGAGGGATCAGCCAACACACGCATACCTTCACACACTACCCGGGAGATTCCATTCTCTTCTTCATTTATCACTTTCCCTTCCTTATTTTTCTTTTCTAACGATGTGACTTTTGTTTTTCTGGTGTGTGTGTGTTTAGCCCTCTGTTCCGTCTTTACGTTCACTGACTTTAATTGGTCCACGTCTCTTATGTAATCTCAGTTTCTCTTCCTTTTTTGTTTTTTTTTCATTGCCTCTTGGGACTGCTAATAAAAATGATTGTTTAAAGTGAAACTCCACACGTTTTCAACCTTTTTCTGGTGGTTCTTGTGTCTTTAATACAAAACATATAGCTGCATTGTTTACATTCTTTTGATATTTGTGTACAAAGCGACTTCTGGGATGTTCATGGGAATGTGGATGTTTCAGATTATTTTCAGGGGTTTCGTAGAAATAACGTTCTCGGCAGGGAACCTCTAGCACAGGTACACCGTGGAGTCCACCCAGCCGAGTCTAAACGCCGGGTAGACGGGGTCAGTGAAGGTCGCGTGGAAGGTGTGGAGCGGCGTCAGTGCGCCACAGGACACCGCGAAGAAGGACAGTGTCCCCGCTGACCAGTCCAGATAGACCCCCACCTTGCTGGAGCTGGGTGCGACGGTCACAGCAGTGCTCGTGTCGTTGTGCCAGGCCCTGTAGGCGTCCTTGGTGCAGCTTAGTCCCCAGGAGCAGTCGTTCTTTCCTAACCAGCTGTCCTGACCCTCTCCCGTCCTGCGCATCCTTTTGTAGGCTACTCCCGCGACGGCTCTCCCGCTCCATTCCGTCTCCCAGTAGCAGCGGCCGGTCAGCTCCTCCCTGCACAGCACCTGAGTCCAATATTCAAACCTTTCCGGGTGATCAGGATACGGCTGCTTGGTCCAACGCCTCGCTTTCCTGTCTCCCTCGGACAGGGTGAGGTCCCTGTGTGCCGTGTTCGGGTCCAGGGTGAGTTTGGTGATGTCTGATGAAGGAGCAGATGCAGGATGTCAGTCAGTATTTTACTCAGTTATTTGATAAACTACAGCAGTTACTCACATTTCCTTGGAGCCGGCTGAACCCTGGATTCACCACATTGCTCCAAGCTGGAAGAGGATGGAAGACACGTTTTCTGACACTTGTATTGTTAATGGGGTGAAAACGATGATCCACCAATTCAGCGTTTCCATCCAATAACATTGAGAGACTGGTGGTGGAGAGTTTCTTTTTAAATGATCAAAGTCAAAGCAGCAGAGATAACGAATATTTTATTGCATTACTTTAGCTCTGACTTCATCACACTTCTGGGAGCTGTGGAGCTATAAAGAGCTCTTTATCTCTTCTTTTCAGATATGCAGCGGTACTCCCCGAGAACTGGAGACAGACTTCCCGTTAAGTTCCCCTTTTATACTGAGAAAGATGTGGAGTAGATCATCATCATTGGGAGATTTCTATAAAATATAGCTTGAACTAAATTTTGAGGTGGTTACAATTTAAAGATTAAAGGTAATCTGAGATTTAGAATTTCCTAAATTTAGCATTAAGCAATCCACATACAGTCTGCAGTGCAACTCAGATGGACGGACTATCATAGATACAGTATATTTTATTGTCATTTGTCGATAACGATTGATCTGTGCTGCCGCTACCTGAGCTTCTGCAGGCTGCATTGTGGGTCGGCCTCCAGAGCAGACAGAAGCTGCACGCCCAACGCTCCCGGGTGGTTGTAGCTCAAGTCCAGCTCCCTCAGACGGGACGAGTTCAAAGCTGATGCCAGGAAAGTGCAGCCTTCCTCTGTCACTCTGCACAGGGACACACTTAAAAAAACACCCCCACACACACCATGACATTTCATTCTATTAATCACCGTACATACTAACCGCACAGACTAATACATTATTCATTCATCTGGAACTCACGAGAGTATCTCCAGTTTACAGTGAGGACTCTCCAGCCCACCAGAGAGCCTTTTGACTCCTACGTCCTGGAAGTCATTGTCGGATAGGTCCAATTCTCTCAGCTGGCAGGAGGCTGAGCTGATAACGGCGGCCAGGTCTTTGGAGCTGTGCTGCGTTAGGTTGCAGCTCCTCAGTCTGAACGAACAAAAAATACAGAACGATTTTTAAAAAACGCTTGATTTCAAATTCTATTCAAACTGGGAAGGTGGTTGTCGGGGTTTTGACCTGAGTTTCTCCACTTTGCTGTTCTTCAGTTCCTTGGAGAGCAGTGCTATTCCTGCATCGGTCAGGTTGTTGTTGGACAGGTCCAGCTCTCTGACTTGTGACGGGTTGATGCTCTTCGCCAGGTTCTCACAGCAGATCCCAGTGAGATTGCACGATTGCAGACTGGAAGTATGAGAAACGTAAACCTTAAAGACTGCTTACTTGCCATATGAGCAGAGAAGTATCTCAACTGTCCCAATGTTCATTAATATCCGCTCATTTAATGTTTTATCAAAGTACTTGATGTTTAAAGTAAAACACTAAAACCCTTATACATTAATAACAATTTTCTACTTGAGGCAGAAATCACCTCACCTCTGTTTTGTTCTCCACCAAGTCCCGAAGGAAAATAAGTGTTCCTTTGGTTGTTAAATGCTCCACATTCACCAGCAAGTTCCCCGTTTTATCTATCGGCTGTTGAGTGCCAGGCAGGTGGTGTGCGGGGAAAGCGATGCGAGTGCATAAACGTAAAAGCTAAACCCAAAACAATGACTTCATGCACGCTGCTCTTTAAGCTGAGAGGCACCTGAGTCAGGTGATCATTTTTCTGAGGATTTGTCACGATGAGCAAAACCTGCTCACAGACATTTCCTAAATCTCAGCTCAGTCTGGACAACTGCAATGGATTTGTTCCTCGTTACCTACAGAACATTCCCCATCATAATGTATATTAACAGCAGGGAGACTAACAATATTTAAACCCATTGCAAGCGGTCTCAGATACGCAAACGCCACAACTTTTCTTTGATTACTTATTCTTCACGCCAAAAATAATCCCAGCACTGAAGCGGAGTATCTTTAGCAGAGAAGGAAAAAGCTTCAGAGGTTCTGTTTTTAGAAATCACTCACTTTGCCACTCTGGCTGTTTTAATGACCGGCAGCAGCCTAAGGAGACCTTCCTCTGACCGCGTGTACTTGCTCAGTTTGAACACGCTCAGCTCCTCTTCTGATGTCAGTAGTACAAAGACCAGGGTGGCCCACTGGGCAGCCGTGAGCTTGGTTTGGTGGAGGCTGTCCAGTTGGAGGTAGAGCTGGATCTCCTCCACCAGCGAGTGGTCGTTCAGCTCATTGAGGCAGTGAAAGAGGTTGAGGCATCGGTCAGGGGACGGGCTTTCCCGGATCTTCCCCTTTATGTGTTTAATGACCTCCGTTCTTGTTCTTGGTTGTGTTCTGCCGCCCGTCAGCAGATGCTTCAACAGAGTCTGATTTGATTCCATGGACAGGCCAAGGAGGAAGCGAAGGAAGATGTCAAAATGTCCATTTTCGCACCGCAAAGCCTTTTCCACCGCTTCTTTGTAGAGGATGACCTCTGACGGCTTTCTGAACGCGAAAAGTCTGGAAGCAGACGACTTTTTGATCAAGATGTTATCGTTCTCGTTGTAGAAAGTGAGGTACACGTACAGCGCGGCAAAGAACTCCTGGACGCTCAGGTGCACGAAGCAGAACATCTTCTCCTCACACAGTGTCAGCTCCTCGCTGAAGATCTGCGTGTAGACTCCCGAGAAGATGGACGCCTGCTCCACCTTTATACCGTTGAGGATGAGGTCTTTCTCGTAGAAGATCGGGTGGCCCTTCTCGAGCTCCCTGAAGGCCAGTTTACCCAGCGAGATGAGGTTCTCTCTCATGCACTCGGCGTTGGACTCTCTCCTCCCGGAGAGCTTCTCCTTCATGTTCTTCTCGCACAAGGATAAGAAGTGTATGTACATTTGAGTGAGGGTCTTTGGTGTCTCTTTGCTGTCTGCCGTGGACAACTTCCTCTCAAGGACACTCGCCGCCATGCGGCAGAAGACCGGTATGTGGCACATGATGTGAAGGCTCCTGTAGGATTTCACATGCGCGATCACCCTGTTTGCTAAGCTCTGGTCGCTGATTTTCCTCCTGAAGTACTCGTCTTTCTGGAGGTTGTTGAATCCGCGCACTTCTGTCACAAGATCAACTAAATCTAGAGGGATCAGATTGGAAGCTACCGGACGAGACGTTATCCAAACGAGAGCAAGCGGAAGCAACCTTCCCCTGATGAGGTTGATTATGAGCATCGCGATGGTGGTCGTCTGCGTCGCATCCGACACTATTTCACTCCCGGGGAAGTCCAAGGACAGGCGGCTCTCGTCCAGCCCGTCCAGGATGAAGAGCATTTTGTTTTCACCATGCGTGAAGATCCCCGTGTTTCTCGTTTCGGGGAAAAGTTGACCGAGGAGCTCCACCAGACTGTAGGTGTTGTTCCTCATCATGTTCAACTCCCGGAAAGAGAGCGGAAACACAAACGCCAGGTTGGCGTTTGCCCGCCCTTCGGCCCAGTCCAGACTGAATTTATTGATGGACACGGTTTTTCCGATGCCAGCGACTCCCCTTGTGACCACAGTTCTGATGGGGGAGTCTCGTCCAGGTGGAGGATCGAAGAGCTGATTGCAGTGGATGGATTTCTCGCGGGCCGCAGGTATCCTGGACGCCTTCTCGATCTGTCTCACCTCGTGCTCCTTGTTGACCTCCCCAATTCCTCCCTCAGTGATGTAGAGCTCTGTGTAGATCTTATTGAGCAGTATCTTGCTCGCTTCCTTTGTCATCCCCTCGCACAAGTGGCTGAACTTCCTCTTCAGAGTGGCTTTTAGTGTTTCTTGACATTGAGCAATCCCATCGTCTGGAAGAGCAAATGCATTCACAGGTTATTCCAAGGTTTTTTATTTTTTATTTTAAAGAATCAGAAAAATGAAACGAGTCATTACTCACAGCTGTCGACAATATTCCGGTTCAACGCTTCTTTGGATGAAACAATTGACCCTGCAGAGGAAGTAAAAATATGAGCAGAGCCCAAAACCCCGGGATCAGATAGCATCGCATGTTGTAAATCTACCTTGGCTATTTGAGACGATGGTTATGTGGTCGACGATGCAACCGATGAAGGAGGGAGCGACCACGTTTCCTCCACTCTGAGCGGTGTAGCTGGGTTGGAAATGATCAACCTTGGCCTGGATGGAGGGAACTAAGAGAAAACACAAAGATTCAGTAGCTGGTCACGAAAATACATCGCAGCGAAAACGTATTCATTAAAGCTAGATTTTAGGAAGTTACTGCTGTATTTTTTTAAGTTATCAACAAATATTTAATTCATGGTTTTGTAACTGAACTCTTTTACTCCCGTTTACTCTCATGACTTGCTTAAAATCATAGTCATATTATTAATTTCACATCCTTACTCAGAGGAACTTTGTCAGTTTTATCAGCAAAACTCTCTTGCTCCATTTTATTCATCTCCCCCTCGTAGCCGTGGGGATTTCTGTCGGTCGATATCGTTCATCGATGCTCTTTGTCTTGGTAGACTTTCCTGCACGTTTCCTTTGATTTACTTCCAGTGGATCAAATGAGATTCAATAAAAAAAAACATTATTTCAGATGCAGAATGACAATGTTCAGTCAAGGCTTTTTGTCTAAAATCCAGTAGATTCAAAGCTGAATAAAATGCTTACCTGCTTGTCTGCCATCTGATTCACACACTGCCAGCGGAGTCTTGTACTTGCAAATGTTTTTTTTTTTTTTCTTGCTTCCTGCCTGGGTGAAAACAGGAAACGGGTGTCTGTCTGCAGAATGTGTAAAGTGTCTTTAACCGCAGCTGTTCCTTCAGATAACTATGTATGAATTTGACCATTCGTTACTTTTAATAACCAGTATGAGTGAGTCTTCAGCCCTCAAGTCTTCCATACTGTATCTCTTGAAGTGCCGGAGGGCGAGAAGGGGTCCGTGCTGATCTCCTGCATCATACAAAGATTCCTCTTCTGGTGCTGCAATTCTGGTTGCATGTTGAGGAAGAACTGCTTTTTTTTCTGTTTCTACATGCTGCATCTTTGCCTGTTGAACAGATGGTGGAAGCAAAGTCCAAGTTGTGGTGTTTTACTTGCTCCGTAAACAGAACATGCTGTGACTTACGAGTTTATGAGCCCGATAGTGGCGTCAATATTTGTTTGTTGTTTGGCCTGAAGCTGTTTTGTGAATCCTCCCAAATAATTAAATAGATGTATCTATGTACCTTACCTCTGGTGAATTAGTTCATAGAGCAACTGTTTGAAGGATACAACAATTGAAGGATGAATTCAGTTTTTCAAGTCTGTTTTCAAGAATGTCAAAATGTCATGTTTTTTTTTTGTTTCAACTTGACCTCCTGTTATCAAAGAAACTCTTCACTACTAAAAACTAGCTTCTTCAATTCACTTGTCTAACTTGCTAAATCCTCATATTTATATAGTAGAATACATGTTTGACCGAACGAGGACAGCAGAGCAAACTATTAAGAGCTGGTATTTTCCATTTGCCTCTCCTTTGTTCTTTGGGCGACATCCAACATTTTCACATATATTTAGCTATTAAAAGCTGGTCCTTTCTTTTTACAGCCTTGTGAAGGTGTTATACAAACAATGACTGAAAATAGCTGCATTTTTTCTGGTCTCGCTTGCTATTGACCAGCGGTAGAGGCCTTGCTATGTCATTAAGTTCTCTGATGTTAATATGCAGCATTGTGATGAAGTTACTGTGATTACAGTGCGAAATAAGGTTTACTTGTAACAAGGTTTAAAAGGAGACCCTTTGAATAAGTACTGTGGCACTTTATTAGCACTCACGATGGCACTTATTTAAAGCACTTTGTAGTCCTAAAGAAATGGTACTTTCGTGTTGTTCTGGTTCTGTACCCTCATGGTTGAAAGTAACCTTTAATTGCTGTGGATAAAAGTGTCAGCTAAATACAAAATGTAAATTCTGTAATCATTAGACATTTACATTTTAACTACTACTATTTTTTTGTTTGTCATGTCTGTGTTACAAATGGGCCACAACTGTATTCTTCTCATGTTGCATTATGACAATAAATTACCCTTGAATCATTGAATCCTGGAATCCTTGAACCCTTGAGTCGGAAACAGGACCTGACTACATGTGACCTCTGATCTTTGCTGTGATGCTCAGAGATGTACCGTTATTTATTCATACCGACAGAGCTGACTGTGCACTCTGGCGTTTCCTCGGCAACACCGTCCTTCTCAACCGGACAGCCACGCACACTGACGGCGAGGAGCTCTCCAACACGCCCGTCGACCACTGAGCCTGTTTGAGGTCAGCAGCTTCGTGCTCCGGGGCGTCACGACGCCGTCTATTGAAGCGCTACTCAAACAACCCCCCCCCCCCCCCCCGTTCTTCCCAGCCCTCCCAAGAAAATATCTCCCCAAGCGGGGGGGAAAAAGAGTGTTTTTGAATCAACCCTGGGGCCCGGCACCCTCTCAGATGTGTGATAGTACAAAGGGATATTTCCCCCTCTTTAGGGGAACAAGGGAAAGACTCGCCCCAATGTTTTACACCTTCGAGAGGGTCGGGTGCGCACAATTAGCTATTTCGGATTTAAACGACCTTCGTCTAACCCGAGGAATCGCGCCCAAAACAGAACGGATAATTTGACCCGCGGATCACACCACGGGACTGTGATCCGAGAAAGCACGACACGTGAGCAGAAAATCCTGAATGGGTGTAAGGCTTCAAATGGCCCCATGCAAAAAGAAAAGGGAGTTGAAGGTGGATGGAGAACATGCACAATGCAAGTTGTCTCCATTTAAGCACTACTGAGCTTCTAAATATTGCTGAAAACGTCACTCTGCAGCCTCCCCGAGACGCCTTTTCTCTGACCCCGTGTGCATCCACGTGGCACGGCGCGAGAGCGTCATCGTCGTCCTGCCGATTTCAAAAGTGCAGAGTCTGTTTTTTTGGAGCAGCGTTTGGATGAGAACGCAAAGTGATGTCCGCTGGCCATTAGCTGTCATCGTCACGTGACCTTTTCCAGAGCAAAATGAAGTGGGAGGTTTGACATAAAGGGGGCAGGACATCTTTCCCGTGTCCCGGGAAAAGTCAGAGTCAGCTGGTGTTCTCCAGCTCTCATGAGCGAGTACTGGAGTAACACACGCGTGATGAGCACAGTGGAGAATGGGCCTGCTGGCGATGAGAACGGCAAGAGGTCTGCCTGCTACGATACTACAATATGGAAAACGGCTCACAGACTGACTTTCTTTCCCTCGCCGAGTGCCAGTTTCTGCTGCAATCGTCCTACTTTCTCTTCTCTCGGCCTGCCGCGCTCTCACTCCTCTTCCCTCCTCTGCTCCTGTGTCTCTCATCAGGCGGGCCAGGCATGGTGTGTGGTTGGTGTGAGATAACAAAGGCTGAGGAGTTCACCATTATATAACGTCTGTGGAGGTGGAGGACGAGGAGGAGAGGCGGCAGGGTTAGCGAGTAGGAAAAGGAGGGCAGGAGAGGGCCAGTAGCCTATGTTGCAGTGCTCATCTGTCTTCCACATAACACACACAAACCCACACACACACACACACACACACACACACCGTCCTGCTCTTCATCGCGTATTAGCCAGGCTACACATATTGCCTCACAGTATTTGAACTTTTTTTTATAGCTTTTCTGTTCCCACCCACATAAAGATATTGGAGTGAAATCCCCAAATGTTTCTCTTTTTTTTTCTTCTCCCTGACGGTGTCTAAGTGGTGGTTGCCGTCAGAGCGCAGAGCAGGATATAGCGCACATACAATTACGCACACACTCACAGGGCCTCTCAAGCCCCACCCGCCTGTCCTCCGATGGCCTCCCACTCATGCCACATTAAACATTTAGTGAGCCACTCTGGATCTGTGTGACACTATCTTTTAGCACCGCCAAGCTGACGGCCCTTCACACCGGGCAAAGAACGTTGGGCGCACACACACACACACGTTGGTGGAAACCTGCCGCAGCCCGCCGCTCTCTTATGCACATGCACGAACGCATAGGCGAAACCAGTGGATCAGAAAGGCCCCGTGTGTTCGGAACAAGACCAGAATTAATCAATATTGATCCCCGGAGAGAGAGTGTTTGTCTGTGCATGTGCACGCACTTATGCAATGCGTGTGTGTGTCATAGTTTGCCTCTCTGCTGCAGTGAGGTGTGACCCAGGGTAGGGTGTATCCCAACCGTTGCGGTAAAACGCTGCCTGCAATTATTTGATGATATGGGAAGGAACAGGGGACCAGACGTCAACGGTGTTAGTTCATTTCTGCCAGTCACTCAGGCAGCATTTGCGATATTCATCGACAGCGTATCTCCAAAATGACGACACGCTGCCCCGTAAATACGTTCAGTCTCGACAATTCGTGTGACTTCATCGCACTAGAGGCCCCGGTCTCATGCCGCACGAGTCTAATCTCGCGAGGATTCCTCCCTTGACTACACGCGCACACACGCACACACTCTCATCACTCCTCCTCCTCCTCTCCCCGGCCCCTCCCTTTCCGTCCCCCCCGCTCGCCTCTATCCTCCTCAGCCTCGCCTGCCTGTTAGATCGGTACTCCAGTGTTGGAGGCTAGGCTACCCTCCTCCCCGGACCGCGTACGAGACCCAGCCAGTCAGCCGCCGTCGTACCCCAAGGCTCGGGCTCGACCACTCACGGATTCAACCATGGCAGTCCCCGCAACCTCCACCCGGTTCACCGACGAGTACCAGCTGTACGAGGAGCTCGGGAAGTAAGCGGCGTTACAGTGTGCATCGTGTGTGTGTGTGTGTGTGTGGCCGTCCGTCAGTCTGTCTCCGTGTGTGTGTGTGTTGTCTTCTTGTCGCCCACCCCCGCAACCTCGCCTCACGTTATTTCTGGTTAACCAGCTAGCCGGTGATAGCCAGCCAGCCGAAATGGCTGAAGTCCCGTTGTGAGGGTTGGGGTGGTCGGTCGGCGGGTATCAACCGGAGCCCCGCTGCTGTCGTGGTGCAGACGGGCTAAATAACCGTTGCTCTCGGCTAAGCTAGCCGCTCCCGCGGCACTAGCCGACCGGCTACCACGCTGACGCCGATGAACTAGCCCAGTTAGCCCCGCTAGCGCTGCGTCTTTTTTAGTCGCCGTTTAACGGTCTCGAACACACCGCACGAGAGGCCGGGCGCCCTGGCCAAAGTATTACACCCCCGCTCCTCCTCCTTTCCGTGTTAGTTGCCGGTTGTTTGTCCCGGACTGTCGAAGGAGCGGACCCGCGGAGGGGAAGACGCCGGAGACGCGTCGCCCAGTGACATTTCACCGGCCCCTGAGAGTCTTGACAGCTCCGTGCCGGCTCGCCCGAGCGGGAGGCTCTGTGCTCGCTTGCTAACTAGGCCGACCACTATTTTTATTATTTATTTATGTATTCATTCTTTTATTTTTAATTTGTTGTTTAGGCAGCTGCGGATAATTTTGTGTTTGTAACGTTGTAACCGCGCTGAACAACGCTGCGCACCGCAAAGGGGAAGTTATTCGGTGCAGGCTGCGTTACGTTTGCACAGTAACGATCGTCGAGTTATCGATAAGCGCATTGGCGTCGTGGGGTCTTTTTTTTCTCATTTTAAAAACTGAGGTGATCGTGACGCACGCGCTGTCATGCCTTCAATTTGACGTCTGCTTTGTAAGAGGCGGGTGACGTATTTTCTCGGTATTTTGATGACGGCAAAAAAAAAAAAGGAAAACCGGCCCACTGCCTCGTCTGTTTCATCAGCATCTGTTCTTGATGCCTTTTTCATTCCCCTATTCTCCCTATTGTGCCCAAAACCAGCGACACTGGCCCTATAAAGACACACCAGCCTTAATTTCCCGCTGCCATTTCCACTCTGTGCCTAATAATTGACTAATCGATGGCACTGATTGGACTGACACACACACACACATCCTCCAGAGTGGATCTACCGCTGCCAGGTTCTTCTGCGGACCGGCCCGCTCTCCTCTGCTCGGGGCTTTCTGCAGTTTGTCGTCGGTTGTTAACGTCACGTACCTCCACGCCACCTCTCGTTTACTGGTAAATAATTGAAAACGGAGAGCAGAGTGCGGCACGTCGTCCAGAGGTGTGCAAGGAGGCCTGCATCGCTTCCCTCAAGAGAACTGCGTAGGGCCACACACACACACACACACTGCGGGTGGCACAGGCTGTGATGCCGACGCTGTGGAGAGCGGACGTCATGGTTTGCTCTTTGACGCTTAAAGTTCAACGATCGCCGCGGCAGCTTGCAGGTGAAAAATCTGTGGAGCGTTCATCTAGGTCAACGTGGGGCTCCTGAAGAGAAGGCTGCCGCTGCGGTACGCTTCTCCCGGAGCACGTTAATAGCCTGAGCGTTGTATCCTGGTGTTTGTATTAAATATTACCAGTTTGCTGCGCGCCGCACATCTGTTGTGTTGGCCGTTGCAAATTGAATTTCCTGCGGCGCTGTAGGTTATATTGTGTCCCGCGCCTCTCCAAGATTAGCAGAAGCACTTTGCCATTCACTCATAATCCCGAGAACCTGATCTGATATCGACACTCCCGCTTACTTGACTGTTGCTCACCTTTTCATGCTCTACACACTGAGGCTGCGATAGTAATGTGTGTGTGTGTGTGTGTGTGTGTGTGTGTGTGTGTGTGTGTGTGTGTGAGTCCCAACTACTGCACAAATGTCACATGTTGTGTGAGGCATGTGAAATGGAACTGACTGTTGGCTGTTTTGTGTTCCTTCTTCCTAGGGGAGCTTTTTCCGTGGTGCGTAGGTGTGTAAAGAAGTCATCAGGACAGGAATACGCCGCGAAAATCATCAACACTAAGAAGCTGTCCGCGAGAGGTACAGTAACACCACGCGCCCTCGCAGCGACTCCCCAATGTGCACGTTTGGCTTATTTGTTGTGGATACTGGAAAGTCGGGCTGAATGGCTTATGCCGTCTTTCATACTGTGATGGCTGCCGCCGCTGGTATACAGCAAAGTCTCTGTTAAATAAAACCGAGTTTCTAGATGAAACCACAAGCCTAAATGTCTTTTTGTGGTTACTGCAGTTAAATTGGAAAAGCTTTTCATTCTATTGATGTGCGGGGGGGCTGACCTGGGTCACAAAACTGACGTTGGAATAATAAATAAATAAACTGTGCTCGCTGAAAATACAAACCGATGCTCCGGCTGTTTGAAGGAAGTCCTTGCCACCAGTCTACAAAATATCCAAGGCACTCTGAATTAATTGAGGTATCGACTCAAGTTTTCATCTGCGTGTGAAGTCTAATGAGATCAGGGGTTCAGATTTAATAACTCGTCAAGAGGTCATGACCCATGTCACATGACACAAGAGTGCTGCCCACTCAAACAATTATCAGACATGACGGTGAAAATATCAAGGTAAATGCAGACCTGGAAGTGAATTGCCCACGTGCTAGATTATAAAGTGTAGATAATATAACAAATGAAAGTAAATTACTATTAAAAAAAATGTATGTATGTGAACTGTAACACTCCCACATACAATGTCCTCCTTTGGATGCATTGCATCATGCAGACCATTAAATGTAACTTTGCCTGCCGTGGCTTACCAGAGAAATGGAAGTGATAACTAATCTCTCCTGAGCCTTTCTTTTCAGTCTATTATGTCGTCACGTGGCCCAGCCTTATTGGAAAAGTATGCACATTAACCATAAGTCCCATCATTCCAATGGCAGAGGGAGGCTTTTATTCAGTCATTGTCTGTGGGGAGTTCTTATCTGCAACCTTTTGATGGTTTAATGACCCTCTTTACAAACACTGTATTGAGTAACCCTCAATTGCTCCTCTGTGGTATCATTAGACGACTGCCGTACAATGAATTGATCCGAAATTTCCAAGACGCTCTCCATGGAAAGGGCACATGGATGCTGCAACTGAAATGAAACCATAAGAGGATATGAAGGATGTTTCTCGTCCGATATGTTGTTAATAACTGGTGTGTTCGCTTAGCTCCACAGTCAACTCCTGGATTTTTTTAATTAATTTTTTTATTTGTTGCGTTTGCTGCTGCGCCTGCAATAGATCCACACCCACGTGCACAGGCCCGGTGCGGCGTAGCGTGTTGTAATGATGACGTGAGCTCATGGCAGCGTGTCAGAACCTCCCCTGGCTTCAGACTGAGATACTTAATTGCTTTCGCCTTTTGTGCATCGGGCAAATTAGACCTGCACTCCTTCCTGACATTCACAAACACACACACACACCGGGCTTCCTTTGTTCTCCTTTCCTACTCACTCACACACATTGCCTGTCTCTTGTCTTTGCAATGGGGGATTGGTTTGTATCAAGGCTAATCCACTTATGCTAAATGTATCTCATCAACCACTAAGACCTCACAGATTCCATAGGCGCCTCCCTGTTAGCACTGATGTTGTCTGTGATGGTATTTGTGTGTGTGTGCGAGGGAGAGAGCAGGAAGTAACCCCAATAGAGCACGTCTGTATTGTGAGGCATCTGCGAGTGTGATGTAATGCCCTTTATTGTTCTTTCCCCGCCTTCTGGTGTCCACACACAGCAGCTACTGGTTTTAATGTCCCACCGAGGAAAAGTAAAGGCTCAGCAGAAAACTGTTGGCTCTTCGCAGAGGCAGTACAGCGTAGGCCCGTGGGTGGATGTTTGCCAGAGAAGAATGCTGCCCAGGAAAAGGTTTTTTTTTTTTTTTTTTTTTCAAACCAGTCCTACAAGGAGATCTGCGACACTCCACACCGGGGGATGACTGAACGATTGGGTTAACGAAGGAGAAAACAAAGAACTGCGGTAGGCCGCATGGCTGAGGCAACTTGCACCCACACAAAGCACAACGTCCACGCGCACACAGCCAGTGCGTGAGCGGGCAGCTTGCCTGCTAGGATTTGGGTGGGGTTTCTTTTTTAGCCCAATGGGGCGAGTGTGACCTCACGCGTGGCCTGGTGGGTAAGTCTCTCAAAGCTCTGGTAAACACTGCAGTAATCTGAGAAGTGTGGAGGGGGGGGTGTAAGGGAAGGAAATGAGGAAGGAAGGATGTCAGGGATGGATGTAGGCTGTTGGCTGTGGGACAGTCGAGCCTACAGGCAGTTGGGGGTGGATGCGAGTGGGTGGCAGGGTGCACAAAACGCTCATGCACACACAACCTCATTCTCCACCCAGAGAATCGAGGGTCTTCAGTGCAAAACTCGTCGGTGGCGGATCTTCTTTAGAAAGGAACGAGGGCAATTCATTCAAATGAGGCAAAGAGCAAGTCATTGCCCAAAACCCCAACACAAAAGATTTAAGTCAAACAAGAAAATGAGACTGAAGAGTAATAGATATATAATATGTGGTTCAAATCCCTCAAAATAACGTATTAAATCTACAAATTGGCTGAGGGGGGGCAGTTAGACATGAATCATATTGTCTTTACATTAGCAGAGCAGCGTGTTGCAATCGCCTGACGCAAGTTTCAGTGTGCAGAAGGAATGCTTTATTTTACTGCTGCATCGTCTGCCGCAGCGCCGTTTGCCAGAGTGAAACAGACTATCCATTTTAATGCACTTCCCCAAAACATCCACCTCCTCCCCCCCCCAATGTTCTTTACTGTCGTCGGGCTTATTATTATCGTCCGCGGACCAACTGCTTTCATTTGTGCTACTTTGCTGCTATTACTGAATGCTCATCATCCCACGTTAACAAGTTCGATTTGGTTCCCGTGTAGCAAAAGTCTTAATGGCAAACCTTTTTTTGAGAGTCATCCGGTTATTTCTCTCCAATTGAACGTCTTTTCTGCCTTGCCCACGGAGTAGGCCGGACTCCAGTGTGCCCCGTGTGAACGCACCGTAGCTCCAGTTAGCCGCAAGCAGGCGGGCAACGGCACCGCGGCGGGAGAGGAACCAGACGTTTAGGCGGATTAACGGTGATGTCCAGCACACGGCGGGGACATTAGCCCGTCTCACACCGCCCCCTCCCCCGCCGGATGAGAATACAGCAAATGTCATGTTTCATGAGTATTAGGTGGTTAATATCGATGGATAAAAGTATGAGACATTTTACTATCGCAGCTGGTCGAGACGGTATTTCTAGCGAGAGTTCAAATGTATTTGGTTCCTTCTCTCACTACCGGCTCCGCGTCGCTGCAGCGTCGGCTGGTGGTCGGTGCCTTTGGTGTCCTCGGGAGACATTGAAGGTGTAGATCCACTGTTTTAAATCAACATTTCTTTCACAAGAAATGTGAAATGAACTGCTCATTGCTACTTCTGCTTCTTGGCCGACTGCAAGTGGCTCACACCCACACAAAGTGGGGCGGCACAAAAGTGTAGCAGTGATTATCAGGCACAGGGCGAACTGATAAGCCATTGATCAGAAAGACTGATCGGATGGTAGTGACCACAATGGCAGTTGCTTGTGCATTGCAGATAGATAATATATGATCGATTATCTATCTGTGGGAGACGTCAGCCAGTCACCTATATTTGTGATGAAGCTAGATTGTCACACGTAACAATACACAGTGCTACGCTACCACGCGTTGGCCAAACGACACGTTGACTTCCATATGAATGATATTTTAGTGGAAAACGGGACTATCCCATCAGTTTATATATTGTATGCATTTCTGGAAATGGGGAGTATCCTCATTACAGTGATCCCTCGCCACTTCGCGGTTCACTTATCGCGGATTCGCTATTTCGCGGATTTTCATATTGCATTTTTTTTTTTTTTTGGTGCATTGTGCTCTGCATTCTGATTCGCTAAAAACTCACTCCCGAGCCGTTCATTACAGTTCTCCAACGTAATCGATGGTGGCATGTCGGTGTACAAGGATCTTTTTGCAAAGAAGAAAAAAGAGCGACAACAGCTGCCTATCACTATGTTCTTCTCCCGAACAAACACACCTGCACCGCGGGCTTCAGAAGAAGAGAACACTGCAGAGCGCAGTCAGGATGCAGCGGCCCAGTCTGAAGAGCAGTGAAACGGCCTACACGCGAGTCACTGTATTTGTATACATGTAATAGTTGCTAATTGTAAAAAAAAAAAAAAAAGTTTTCTATTTCGCGGATTTCACTTATCGCGGGTCATTTTTGGAACGTAACCCCCGCGATAAACGAGGGATTACTGTAGATGTGTCACAAACAATACTGTCACTGTCAACATTGAGGGACGGCATAATTAAGTGCTGTTTGGTTTTGTCCGTATTTCCCAGTCTGGATGTAAACGGGTCAACATCAGTCCGAGCTCGATCCTCAGATTAAGGTCAAGTGTGACAGACAGAGGCGTGCGTGCGCGTCAGGCCGGGCCTCCTCCATCCTCCTCCAGCCGACGCAAGATGGCTGTGGGCCCGCCCCGTGGCAAAGCAGATGGCCAATTAGAGAGCAGCAGGAAGTGTCAGTAATTACCCTGCAGCGCTCTTTCCTGTCGTCTTCCACCATACACACACACCAACAAATAAGGAGGTTGAATGAATTAGTGAGTGCTGCAGTGACACTGCACCAAGGTAGACTGCTGCACACACACACACCCTCTCTTTGAGCAAATGGCCGGTCCATGTGCTCCTCCCGCCTTCTCTCGGCCCTTTCTCCGTCCTGCGTCACCGAATGTGATTAGGTGGAGGTTGGCGTCCCTCCCTTACTCGCTGGCTTTCTGTCGGATGAATGAAATCTACACCTGCACTGGAGCGGGATGTGTGGAGAGTGTCAGAAGGCCTATAAACTGCAGCTTTTAGCGTCGCCACAGGTCACCAACAGGTTAGAGGGGAGTCAGGGGGACGCAGACGGGTCACAGAAGGTGATGCTGCTTCTTTTTAAATTGTATAACCTGCTCTTATCATGTCGCGCATGCGGACCCGGTTGTTGCGGTTGCGGAGGAACAGTCGGCCACGTCGACGGGTGATCGCTCGGCAGCAGCATGTGAATCTTATCGCAGGCTGTTGCTGCACTGGAGGAAATGAATGCAAATCTTTGAGAGGCTCCCTCTGTGCGGTGTTATCGCTACGGAGCTGTGGGGCTCAGTCGGCCTCACCGCAGTGGTCACACACACACACACACTGAGTCATACTGGATCGTCACTACATTTTCCACAATTCACCTCTGACCTCAGCTCCCAAAGACTTTACTGAATCTAGACACTGAGACACACACACACACACACACACACACACTATGCTGCGGGATTCAGTAAAATCCTCAAACAAGGATGTTGGTTTAGACGGGAGGTGTGCGTTCTTGCTCACATCCTCTCGTAGCAGAAATGCAAACATTTCAACACTGGAGTGTTGTGTAACCGGGCTTCACACTAACCCCCTTTTCTCCCTCGCACGCACACACACACACACGCGCAGCACTCAGCACTCATTGTGATTGCTTCACACAGCCTCGTTAATTTTTGAGAACGGTTTAATAGCCTTTAGAGTCAAACCGGTGGTCAGTGGCGCTTGTCCTGAAAGCACCCGGCGACTGTCGCGTTCGCGGCACACGGCGGTTTGGCCGATCTCTACTTTTACTGGAGGACGTTTTTTTTGTTAGGCTTGTGAATCATTCAGTCCAGTAAATAATAATACAATTAAGTTTATTGCCATAGAGCAGATAGTCGCAGAATGAGACGTTTGTGTCTCGCTGTGCGGGGACCGTGGACCCGACAACACGGCGCAGAGACTGCAAAGTAGAAGTGGACAGAGGGTCCCTGGTAGACCTTCTGCCCTGGACCACATGGCTGGGGAAGAGGGACGTGTCTGATGACCCCGATAAGGGACAAATACTACCGCATAACCTTTTCTAAATTGGGTATCTTGGGTTATCAGGTGTCCCTGTGGTTAAGACCTGCACTGTATAATATGCATAATGTCCTTGTTTCCATGCGTGGGCATGGGGGTGGGGATGGGGGGGTTGCGGCCCCCGTCCCACCTTTCCTGCGTTTTTATCCATTGCCGATGAATTGAACTAACTTCACCATTAAAGGGCCGCTTCTGGCCGCTGTGATGTAACGCGTCGTCTGCTTTCTCCTCCTCAGACCATCAGAAGCTGGAGAGGGAGGCTCGCATCTGTCGCCTGCTGAAGCACCCCAACATCGGTGAGTGCGATCGGTCGTGCTGCTGCTCGCGCCCACGGTGTCAGACCCACGGCTGGACGCGTGCACTGGTGACGCTCTCGGGTAGCGCTGTGCTGGTAATTGATGTCTGTGGCGGAGAGTTTGTTTAAATATTGTGGCTGAAAATGAATTTGTTCAGCGTGAAAGTTCATCTGCGATCAAATCATCTTGAATCACTTCGGTTGAAATAGGTGAACATTCACATATTCTGATATATATATATATTTATATCTATTTGTTCTAAATATCTCATTATCATATAATGGAATTCTCACACCTTGGACGTCCTATTGTGAACCTTTTATCCTGGCAGTGACGAACCCACACATGCAAGCGGACTGATGGATTTCCGGTATTCTCTTAGTAGATAATAGCTTTGCGGCCGCTTTTATAAGTTGAGTGAACAGAGTGCTGGAACCATAAAAGACGTAAGCTGCATGATTCATTTATGTTCTACATGGAGGATGAAAAGGGGGAAATGCTCAAAAACTTTTATCTTTTATCTTTTTTAGAAATTATAGACTTTTACCTATGAGCTTGTTCAGGTGAAGAGACTGATCACCTTCGCCAGGAGGCGGCACATTTTTCCGCGCAATCGTACGCCTCAGTGGTCACGCACACGCGTGCTGGAAGGTGTCCAGTTAAGATCAGAGACGGTCAACGAGCAGCAGAAGCGGTAGCCGACGTCGCCGCATCGATACGCTAACGGCTGTGGTGGACATTTTATGGGTCTTGTGCAAATCAGTCGCGGCGTTGTCATGGCGACGGACACAAGAGCAACCGCCTTTCTTAAAATCGGTCAGTAGATCTTTGCCCCTTTGCTGACCACAGGTATCCTGCTGTTGGTCTCCGCCTCCTTGACCTCCCCCGGTTCGTTGCCGTGGACCGCCACGTGCTTAAGAGTCTGCAAATTGTGGAAATTATATTTGTTACTGCAGCTGCAATTTGGCAAAAAATAAAAGCTTAGTGCAGCTTTAATTGAGACGCCTCAAGCAGACGGGCGTTAAAGGGGAGATGTGATAAAATCAATGACACCTTTCTCATTTCTGTCTTCTGCGTGTTCTAGTTTTATGCGCCAACCCCCCCGCCCCCAAACCCCCGCGCCCCCATTCGCCCCTCGCCTACTTTTCCTGCTCTCTCTCTCCCTCCCCTCTCTCTCTCTCTCTCTCCTGCCCTTTCTCCTCAATTTGACACATTCTGGCATTGTCTGCGTTCAAACTTTGTAGGAAAGAGGGCACAAAAAAAAGAGACAGATGGAGGGACGAAAGCAGGAGGAGTTGGAGACAGATGGAGGGAGAGCGAGAAGATGGGGGGAGGAGGAGGAGGAAAGAGCGGTCGCTCTTGTTTCTTGCTGCGGGGCCGTCCTCCTTCGTCTTATTATACAACTGCTATTCATTTTACGTAACGATTACTGCGGCCCGCCGTCACTAAACCCGCGACGCAGCTCACGCCCGGCCTTTAATGCCTAATACCTTTTTATAATACTACTAGTACTACTATAATGCCGCTCACTTATCTCCATCAGTAAGCAAGAACCGTTTCTGGTAACAAGCGCCTCTTTCTTTCTCATCCATCCACGACGTTTCCTACTCGCCTCTTCAGGAGTTCCCAAATGTTTTGTGTCTCTCTGGTGGCTATTTGCCTGTTGGGAAGATTAGAGTTTAAATTACAAAAAAATAGGCAGCTAATCCTTTTCCAGAGCCCTGAAAAAACACCACGTAGGCAGAGTGAAGTGAGGTCAAAACTGTGAATCTGTTTCTCTCATCAAACTGACCAACCTGACGCTGACTCCTCAGCGACTGTTGGGATGAAATGATGTCAACGTGACAGATGCTCGGCAGTAAGCGCTTTGTTGAGTTCTCAGTAGTAACCATAGAACCTTTTTATTTACCTCTCCATCGCACACTTGACTTCAGCTCGTCCAGCTCGGCCTCGGCACCACTTCGCTCTTCCATTTTTATTTGAGCATTTTGTCAAAGCCACAGTTTATGGGGAAGCTTAAGAGGCGAGCACGGCGGCAGATAAAAGGACAATTGATGTACTGTGGCAAACCGGGGGACGTGGAGGCGAGTTTTCAGGATAAATCAGGCAGACAGAGACGTTAGTCCGGTAACTACAGTGATCCTCTTAATAGTAAACGCGTAGGGAAAGGGGCTCGGGTGGAGAAACCGCAAAAGATTCCTCCCGGTCGCGTCCTTCCGTCCCCTGTGACTTGTTCTGTGGAAGAGCAGAGGACAGGCGTGAAGTGACAGCATCAACTCCCGGTTGTTGGACTTCTTCCCTGCTGTGTTTATTCATTGTACCCTAAGATATGAAAAACATTTGAATATGCTGCCTGCGGTGTTCCGTAGACACGGGCTTATTCAGACATGTTTGTCTTTGACCACTACTGGAATTCCAGTAAGGAGGCTGAAACGAGGTCAAAATGAGGCTCCGGAAAAAGTACCACCGAATTGGAGAAGCTCTCTGCGAGATACTTACAACCACACCGAGTGTCTGGCCCACCAAAATGTGACATTGTGTTTAGAAGATGTTGCCATTGTGACCAGAGGGGAACATGTTTTTCGTGAGTCTGGAGGGTTTCAGTCCTTTGAAACCATGAAGAGGTGGACAGCAGAATCTTTCTGCAACCAACATGCTTGTTTCAGTCGGTGTTTTGAGAAGAATGGTGGATTGATTAGTTTATTGCTCCTGGAAAACCCTGTGTCATCCTTTTCTTACACCCCTTGGCTGTGATCTTGTGTCAGCCTGTCGCGGTGACGGCAAAAAAAAAGACTGCAAGGCAAACCTGGGAAGTGTTCCCTGTAGCGTCTCATGTCTTCCAGAAGACACGAGTTACAGATGTTGCAGATCGCAGCGTGATTCAGAAGTTTGGCGTAGCAACGTGCAACGGCCCTGCTGACGGGGGTCGGCGAGGCAGGACGTGACCCATTCGCTCGGAAGCAGAGGTCCCATGACGTCATTCCACCGACAAGGTCGTCCCCTTTGTGCAGCACGTGTAGCGCGCTACTCGCCAAGCTGCCTTTGTCTGGGGAGATGCAACTGTGTGTCAAGTGCATACAGAGAGCCCCGCCAGCCGGGGCTGGCGCCAAGAAGGTCGAATTTGGCGGGTAGTGTGGACAAACCTGCTCGTGGAAGATCGCTTTGGCCTCGAGTGCACAAAGTTGTGTGTTTGCTGTTGTGATGAGAACGATTCATAATCCTGACACGGAGCCGTTCACTTGCACACTCGATTCATTTGGATTTTGGTACGGATCAATCCTCGTGTCAAACTCTGATCCAGTTGAGGACGCCATCATTTGTCATATTTGTTTTAATTTGTGACATTTACATTGCAGCATGTATTACTGACTACATCTCCGTCGAGGATTGATCAGAGCGCGTTAATCAACACCATTTTTGTAATTAATTGGCCAATATCTCAATTTGGACTTTCTCAGTGCAGATTTGTATTTCTCGTACTCGGAAACCCAGAAGTTGATACCAAGATAATCAGAATTACATCAGCCAATCACAATCCAGGTGTACTTTAAAAAAATAAAAAGGTCTTAAAGGCCTTTCTACCAAATGTGATGCTTGTATCACAAATCACAGAAGATTGTTTCACTAATCTGCTGAGCTCGAACTCATTATTGAATTTAGCCACGCACAGTGCCCCCCCACCCCCACCCCCCCATGCTGCAACCAGCAACTATACACGTATTATGTCATTTGTTTACTAAATACTGGTCGGGAGTCTTAAACTGTGGAGGGTTGTTTCAATGATCCCGGTGTGAGGGATTTATGTTGATTAACTCGCCAGATGTGCCGCCACATCCCGGCGGTGAGGACGGGGGGGGGGGGGGGGTTACGTCACATAGTTGACATTCCTTTCTCCGGCTCTGCCTTTGGTCTACCTCTGTCCAAATAGTTTGCATTTGAGTCTAAGACCCAGTTCTCGGGAATGGTTTATCAGTTGAGACATTACAGATTTCATACCTCTGGCCTCTCTCTTGCAGTCAGACTCCACGACAGCATTTCAGAGGAAGGCTTTCATTACCTCGTCTTTGACCTGTGAGTGTATTCTGAACACACACACACACACACACACAGTGACATTTCATCCATGCGAGAGGCTGCTTTATGAATGCTAAGAGACGTCTCTCTTGCCTCCCTGCCTGTGTCTGTCTCTTCTCTCTCCTCCGTCTCTCATTTCCAGGGTGACGGGAGGGGAGCTGTTTGAAGACATCGTAGCCAGGGAGTACTACAGTGAGGCCGATGCCAGGTAAGGGCCGTCTTGTACGTGGCTGCTCTGAACGCACACATGCGCTCTGCTTCGTAATGTTACTCGTGATGATGTCATAATTGGTTTGCTTGTATTCTTGTCAGAAAGAATGCATCCTCCCTGTCAAGTGCAAAAATAAACTTTGTCTACCTTTCGCCACATGCGTTGCTCTCCTTCCTGCCTCTACATTGAAGCAATATACAGTTGATTCATTCTTCACAACATTCATCAGTTTTCCAAAAAAGCTTTTCCTTGCTTATCAAATAAGACATTTTGCTGCCTTGTGATTTGTTATTTTATGGATTATTTGGCTGTTGGTTGGATAAAACAAGCCATTTGAAGACAATTTCCGTTCACTTTTCTGGAATAATATCTTTTTACGCTATTTTTATTTACATTTTGACCCTTTTTCTTCGATACTTCCTCCCTCCCAGAGTTCCCTGTTTCCCCGCAGCTGTGTGTTAGTTACAAAATCTCTTGTACAATTGGATCAGGGTCTTCGTCCTTTCAATGCACACATACGGGGGGGCATTGGAAAGGCGCTCACACACGCCAACCTACACGCCATCAACAGCTGGGCCCGACCTTTCGACCCATTAACTTTTCCCTAAAACCGGGATGAACACGAGTCTCAAATAGCGGCATCGTGGGGCCCGACGCCACAGAGCATCGGACGGCATTAACAACAACATCTGTGTGAACTGTTACATGAGTTCCGGTTCTCTTTAGTGAAAATCGGTATTGATAAAATCTAATTGAGTAAAACGTTGAGCTTTTGGAAGGAGATGTTTTCACAGCAAATAGTTTAACACTAACTGAGCAGCTTGTGATACGTCATTAAACTGTTAATGACAAAGAGTGGTTTTAATCTATGAAAATAAAATCATTATTTCATTACGAAATCAAAAACGACTAAATTACTCAAACAAATTGAAAGGATACTATTTAGATTTCTCATGGTTTACAGACTTCAGAGTGGTTGAAAAAGTATCGGCAGCAAAAATGACACAATCAGGGAATCTCAACAAGTTATTATTTGTAGTTCTATTTTTGTTGTGCTGATCGATCTGTGACCCTGACTTGTGATACGATCCCAACCGTGACTATGATCCGATGCCCCACTAACGCTCACCAGCCAGTATTTAGAAATGATGGTATTAGTAGCAGCTGAATTGATGCCCCCATTATTAAAATTGCTACTGGGATAGAAGTGCATTGAGCGTGTCATGTAGTATTGATTATCTGAACTGCTCTGCCTAGTCTTTGAAACGGTAATAGAGATTGTTTGGTAATTGTTTCCACTTTATCTTAAGATGAACCTCTACCAAATTTGAATGGCAGCGTAATGCTGTTAGGTATTTTCATTATTTATTAAACTACAAATTTGTTTTATTGCTTTGTCATATTCACCATTTAAACGGATGCATTATCCACTAATGGAAAACCAAGAAAGGTTCGCAAAACCTCACACTCAAAGAACACTGTTTTTTTTCTCCATTTAAAAAAATTAATTTGTCCATTTAATTATCAGAATGGTTCCTTTTCTGTCAATTTAGTTCTTGTTCTAACTCTACAGCCTTCCTTTAAAAAGCTCTTTTTTTTAATGACCAACTCTTCTACCTAATAGTTTGATGCTTTATTTCTGAAGTTGACAAAAGTGTGTGTTTCTGCTTTGTTGCAGATGAAGATTAGGCCACACCTGTATTGTTCATCATTCTAGTTTTAAAATTCGACTAGAATTCTTTAAAAAAAATATACAATTCCTGATTTGGGCTATTTATCCAATATGTGAAAAAGTATTTTCCACTCATGGGAGGCATCACTTATCAAACACCATGTTGGCCTATTCATTTTCTTTTTTGTGTAATGAAAACCAGCAACTAACTCATCTTCCTCTGTTTGTTCCCTTTTTCCTCTCTCCGTAGTCACTGCATAAGTCAGATCTTGGAGAGTGTCAATCATATCCACCAGCATGATATTGTGCACAGAGACCTCAAGGTAAGTGGCTGCCCGTTGCCGTGACAACCACACACACGCACCTCTGCTCGTGGCCATGGCAACACACAGATGGCTCTCGGATGCTCCGTCTCTCTCCGCATCTCTTATCTCTCTGCATTTCTGCTTCTCTCTTTTATGCCATCGACCGATTTTACCCTCAAGCTGTTCTCAGATCTGTCCGATTGTCTGTGACCAGTTTGTCTTTGTGCACGTGTGTTAGCGTTGCGCACACGAGTCAGGTGGAGGCGAGTGTCTCTCAAAAGATAGTGACTCCACGGCGGATGAACGCACGCGCACATACACACTTTGTCCTGCTGCGATGGGGGTGTATGATGTGAGAGCAGGTGAAGGCATAGACCAACCTCGAGAGTTGCCAGGGCAACCCGCGTGACATCACACCCACCCGTGGAGCAGCGGGGGAGGGGCTTGTCGCGTCGCAAATTGCTGATGAGCTCAGATGCCAAGAGTAGAGGAGGAGAGCATCGCTGCTACCTCCAGTTTCCTCCGTTACCTCCGTTAAGGAGGTGCAAAAAGTCCCGGTAGGAAGGACGCCTCCTGTGTCTCTAATTGGATCTTTTCAACCAGAGACAAGGCAAGGTGGAAACAAACAGGAAAAAAAACTACCTCAATGGAGGGCTGTGTCACGTGAGGGTTTCGGTCGTGTGTGTGTGTGTGCTCGCTTCGTTTCAGAGAATAACACGATTACTCTGAGCGCCGCCCGTCTGATTTGTTGGCCTTTTATCCTGAGTGGGATTTTTGCTGTGGCCATTTATGTCCCACTGCCCAAACAACGGCCATTTAGAACGCTGCCACGCGCACCGCCACTGGCTAAGTACACTTTCCATTTAGCATGCAGTCTGCAGCACTGCCTAAATGACTCCCCGAGTGGTTTCCATGGCCACGAACACATGCCCGTATAAGGCGATGTGGAGATTCACAACCACTCGTCCTCTCGCTGCATCCTCCGTCTTTCCATCGCCTTCTAACACCTTCCCCCCCACCCCCACACGAGCTGTGTCGAATACATCAAATGCACATATTTCTAAGAGCTTTGCTCGAGATGGCCCTTCACTACCCGTCTCTCACTGTCTTGATCCCTTGTCATACATTCTGCTTCACCGTGTGTGTGTGTGTGTGTGTGTGTGTGCCCGTCTCTCTCAGCCTGAGAACCTGTTGTTGGCCAGTAAGATGAAGGGAGCTGCAGTGAAGCTGGCAGACTTTGGCCTCGCTATCGAAGTGCAAGGAGACCAGCAGGCTTGGTTTGGTAAGACAACATAAACAGTGACACACACACACACGCGCATCAAATGTGCCGTAATACTTGCTCATCCGTTATTTAGCGCCCGATGGTTTTCAAATGTAAGCGTGCGGTTCATAGAGTCGGTCTGTGCCGCCGAACGTCCACACGCCCACTTGGAGGCCAGCGACTATTCTCAGTGAGTATGACTTGAGAGGCTCGCCGTCCAGTTGATGTCCGGGCCGTTGTGTCTTGGCAAACTGTCGGCGTTTCGGCCGACTCTCCAGAATGATTAAGGAGCACTTGTTTGGGACTCTACTCTGTCATAACCTGATTCTGCAATCGGAACCGTTGACGTAGCAGCAAAAGGCCTCAGTTCATCGTGTGCTCCGGTTTGTCTGGCAGGCTTTGCGGGCACCCCCGGCTACCTCTCCCCCGAAGTCCTGAGGAAGGACCCCTACGGCAAGCCGGTGGACATATGGGCGTGCGGTGAGTTTTGGGAAAACTGAATTAAATGTCAGTAGTTGATCAAAGTGAACTGGAGGTTAACTTTTGGAAACCTCTTGTGGAGAAAAAACGCATTTGTTGATACATTCACTGTTTTCGTATAGTGGTACTCCTTGCTGCTTGCATTTTAATATAAAGCATATTGAGTTTTTTTGCTATCAAATGTGCTAAAGGAATAAAAGTTCAAACTGTATCATGAAGCATAATCTCTTTTCTCACTGTGTTCTGTCAGGTGTTATTCTCTATATCTTGTTAGTTGGATATCCTCCCTTCTGGGATGAAGATCAACACAAACTCTATCAGCAGATCAAAGCTGGGGCATACGATGTAAGTGTGTGTGTGTGTGTGTGTGTGTGTGTGTGTGTGTGTGTGTGTGTGTGTGTGTGTGTGTGTGTGTGTGTGTGTGTGTGTGGGCGCATTGTGAAGGATGCAGTGCAGGGTTTTGCTAAGCAGTTTTTGAATGAAGAATATTGTCCAATTGAGGGCTGGTCCAGAGGTATCGATCCTATCAGGTCCTCCCTGACGCATTGCAGAGGAGTGTGTCTGAGGGAGGGAGGGAGGGAGAAGGAGAGACAGACTTCTGTCTCTGAATAATAAAGTCACATTTCTGTTTCCAGAGAGATTGGGGATGTTTTACACATCCTACTTGAAGGGAATTTACTTAAAACATGGTTTGAAGTTATGTCGATCCGAAAACAGTTGGCACTTTTCTTTTCATATCTGCCTCATTTTGACAGCTTAACTTGAGACGTGATGCCCAGATGTTGTGGATTAGCCAAAAGTATGCAGCCTCCTAACCAGTGCGTCCCGAAAAAGTGCATTGTTTCCAATCCCGCTTCTTCACTTCCTCCGTTTCTTACCGTCGCGTGGACTTTCTTCCTTCTCCCCAGTTCCCGTCACCTGAGTGGGACACGGTGACTCCAGAGGCAAAAAACCTGATCAACCAGATGTTGACCATTAACCCGGCCAAGCGAATCACTGCCGAACAGGCCCTCAAGCACCCTTGGGTCTGCGTAAGTATTCCCAGTAAACACCTAAGACACCTTGAATTGACTATTGTTCAGTGCAAACACATCCACACAAACCGTTTATGTGTTTAACTGTGTGTGTGTGTGTGTGTGTGTCCCCTCCTGCAGCACCGTTCTACAGTGGCATCCATGATGCACAGGCAGGAAACTGTCGAGTGTCTCCGCAAGTTCAACGCGCGTCGAAAACTCAAGGTACTGCCACCTTTTTGTTCCCAGAAGCCGCGAAGCGTTTGCCGCTCCGCCTGTATGTCTCGTTATTTTATTCAACGTTCCCTTTTTGAAAATGTGTCTCCCGACTAATGGGGCTTTTTGATATCCTAGCGTTAAGTAACAAAACCTGTTGAGTGCTTAAATCCGGCGTGACGCTTGTCGGATCAGTTTTTTTTATTTTTTAGATCTCAATTTCAGTCAAATTCAAGTTAAATATAATCAGAAGGTTCTTGTTTGCTTTTTTGTAGAACATGTATTTGTACTTCCGAATGTAAAATCTTGCTTTAGGATGCCTGAAGCAACGTGTTAATGTATCTGTAGCATTATTGAAAGAATACCAGACCCTACTTTCTGTCAGTTGCATTCGTGCAAAGTGATTTATCAAATCACTTTCAATTACTTCGCACGGAAGAATATTTAATGGGACTGGGAGATGTGAACACTTGGAGTTAACGAAGCATCTCACCAATAACACAATACGTCAAGCGCTTTGCGATAATTGGATACCGTTTGACTGGATGTGGCTGTCAAAGAACCGCACTCTGATGAAGAGATAAGAACATTACCGCTCCATGAGAGATGAAGACAGAGCAGTGAAGAAATGAAATCCCGTTCAATAAGGAAAATACTCCTGGCGCTCATTATGCCTCCCTCACTTCTCTCTCCTCCTCCTCCTCCTCCTCGAGAGAGCCATTCTCACCACCATGATGGTGTCCAGAAACTTATCAGGTGGGTGTGCCCTTCGCCCTCAGCCTCCCACGCAGCACATGCAGCGCGAGAGGCGGAAGCAGAATGGATAGAGTCCTCTGCACCTCTTTTAACCCTCTCTCACACACACACACACACACACACACACACACACACACTCGCCCACTCATTCTCAAAATAATAATGTTTCTGTGTGTGCACAGGAGTTTTCTTTCTTTCAACGTTAAGGATTTGAACGTTCCTTGAGATTATGGTAGAATAACGGAAGACTATAATGAGTGCATTTCATCTTTATCTGTCAACAGTTTAATATGTGATATTGTGTTGCTTATGTGTGGGCGCCAGTAATGTTCATGCTAATCTATCTCTCCCTGTGTGTGTGTGTGTGTGTGTGTGTGTGTGTGTGTGTGTGTGTGTGTGTGTGTCTCCCTCTGCTGCCTGTGGAGCTTTTGAATGTTTTGAGAGGGAAGCCTAGACTTTTAAGAGATTTTTATGTTGGGGGGCAAGGTGACTGCTACGATTCAGTGTTTTTCGCCAAAGCTTTGTTCTCATCCTCTAAGCGATTGGCCAGTCGATGGCTAATGATTTCAACCCTGGGCCTAGGAGACCACGGGGGTGCACGTCTTCGCCGTAGCCCCGTTCGATCAAACCTTGTGATGTGTCCGGGCTGCAGCCAGCACACCCTGTGGCCTTCTAGGCCCACGTTTCGAACAGCGTGAGATCGAGAGCTACCTAATCTGTGCAGCCCCTCCCAACTGTAGCGTTTCTGTCCAATAGTGGGCCGGCAGCATACCAACTCTGCTGCTGCCGCCTCCTCCACGGCCTCACTGGCTCAGGAAGGTACGTCCCAGAGACACGCCCGTCCACTTCCTCTCCACACACAGCTTACTTCCCCGGTTCATAGGACGGGGTGGGACCCCATTATCACCCATAAACCCCTGCATGCAGCCTCTGCCAGCATCTTCGTTGATATTCTCACACAAACACGTACATGCACGCAAACTCACACACATTTCTGTTCATTTAAGGTCATGCAGATTGTCAGTCTATTGTCTTTGCTGTCGTGCCAAGATGTCACAATCATGCACATCAGCATCACTTAATGCTAATCGATTGAGTTCAAGCTGCACTCCAAAGTGCCTTTTTTTACATTTACACCTCAGCACCACTAAGCATCGACCTGGTAACCCCCATTTCATCTCACAAATTAGTTATCACCTCCAGCGAGCTCATCCCGACTTCCAGCTGATCCCATACACCCCTGTGCTCCCCCCCCACCCGGCCGAGCACAGGGCCGACTGGGGCAGGGGATGAGGAGGGGCATGTATTTCTGGGGCAGGGAACTGACACTGCAGGGGGCCGGCAAGAGCTGGGTTGGCGTGCTGCCATCGTCGCACCTGGGTCTGGTGGGGTGGGGCGGGGAGAGGCAGATGTTGAGGAGCTGGGGGAGAGATTTAGACTGAGGCGGAGGATGGGGTTGCTGAGCCAACTGTTGAACCCGTTGCCGATGTGCAGCCCTCCCGATGACCACAGAAAGGTAAAAGGCACCCCGAGTCTCGTCTCATCGCCCTGAGGACTGTTTTAGTACTTTCAAAGGCCCCAATGCTTGTCAAACACCTGGCGACCTCTCTGCCAATGGAAGGAGGGGTTTTCCGTCTTTGAAGGTGCTAAAGTCAGGGCGTGGCTCTCCATCTGCCGGGTGGGCGCGGGCGGTGAAGGTCGGCGATTCCGATGGTGGCTCCATGGATTGAGAACTTTAGAAACAGACAGTGTGGAGCAGACTGGATTCTGGGTGTTTCTTTTCACACGGGAAAATCTTGTCTGCTCTACAGTGTACGTAAATATCTTCTTAGGTCACTAGCATCTGTGTGTAGGTCAAAGGGCGAAAGGGGAGATGTGTGACTGGTGCGCTGAGGATCAGGCTGTTTGTGGTGGTTTGATTCTCTCGGCTAGAGCCCTCCTGCAGGGCCTCCTCACAGGAACCGGACCACGTTGACGGTTCTGTAAGTCTTTGCGAATCTCGTGTGTGACGTCATCGTTCCTGATCGGACTCCTCGGCTCTCCTTTTTTTTTTTTTTTTTTAATCGTCCAACCCGGTGGTGTTTACAAAGGGGGGCTGTTGATTCTTCTGATGTCGCTCAATGCTGTGAAATTGTATTTTACTTGTTTCTAGTTTGTTCCCTTTTTGTAGTGACTCCACAGCATGTATGTGACAGAAATGTGCAACGGTTCCGTAGGTTTCTAGTCAGCGGTTAAAATGTGGTTAGAACCGGAGACCAAACTTCAGATGCTCTCTAATCCGTCCTCATCAAGCCGGTCTGTGCCCTTTAGTGGTGCACTCCTGCCGCTCGGGGTCATCTTGACTTTACCCGTCATGTCATGTGAAATTGGTGATGATTCTCTTGGAGAAAGCGATGGGGGGGATTTAGGAGAGCATGTGAACGTGGTGCTCCATCGCTGTCACGATCGGCTCCTTTGATGGCTGATTTAGTCGTATTAACAAGCAATTGACTCTTTTACCTAGAAAAGTAATGAAAATATTTATTTTTGTTATAATATATATATATATATATATATATATGGTATTCATTTGTCCTTGAATGCTGCATGACCAGGCCAAGATAGACACTGTGTATCGAACAGCCCAGATTAAAGAGCACGAGTTGTCACATGCTGTGGCCCTGTTCTCCCCTCTCTTGTATTGAAATACTAAGACCTCTCTTTCAACCCTCCCCCTTCTCCCCCATCTTTCCGCCCCCCCCATTTCTTTTTGGAAGGTAAGAACAACAAGACTTTTTTTTTTTGTTTTGTTTTTTGTTTAGCGTGTGTGTCAAAAGGAGAAAAGGGAAGCAGCCGACAGCTGGGCGCTTTAGACCGAGAGGAGACGTGACTGTGGCCCTTAAAGGAAATCGATGATTTACATTAACCCGGCTCATCGCCGTCAGTCACTTTGAGCCAGACCATCACTCTCTATTTAGATCTACCGGGGGTCTGACAGACAGGAAATGGATTTAGGAAGTTTACTTTGCTCTCAGGTTACTTTTTTTTTTTTTCCCTAGATGCCAATGAATGGATTATGATGAGAATGGCTTTTGCAGAGTGTAGCAGCTTGTACAGCCATGAGGAGAGGGGGGGTGGATCGGGGGCAAGAAATCCATTAAATGCATGTTATTCTTTGGGAACACGTGGACTTCCTCTGGCTTAAAAGCTCTACTATATGGGTATGACCGATATGACCCGTCGTAGCGCCGGGTCTTTGCTCATGACTTGGAGAGGCAAACTAATCGGCACGGACGCTGTTGACATCAGTAAAATTTGTACCCGTTGTCCTTCCTTTCTGTCCTTTCTCCTTCTCTTATTCACAGCATGCAAAAGTTTGCTGAACAAGAAGTCTGATTCTGCAAAGGTAAGGTTGTCCTGTTGGCCCCTGACCCCCCCACCACCCACCCTCTGCCCTTTTCTCCTTGTGTTCTTCCTTCTTAATCATGCATTGTCTTCCTTGTATTATGTTGAGAAATATATTTTTCATATTAACTTCATATTAGTTTTTCCTTCGTTTTAATTAGACGTGTGTGTTTTAATTTTTTTCGTGTTTCTCCAGCGGGTTGGAGGACACTGCAGGGTTTCTCACCCTTTCTGCTTGTTGGTTGTATCCCAGAATTCCTGTCATCCAAGTTTGAGAAACTCTGTCCAACAGTTTTTCTCTCCAATTTCCGTCACAACCTTGTGTATAATAATCCGTTAACGTTGGTTTGACTTCATTCACCTTTCGTCTAAATCCGAGGTTTGCTACTCTGCTGTTCTGAGCAGTTTCCGTCATTCTCTGCTGCTATTAAGCCTCTCCCTTCCCTGTTCTTCCACTCCCCCCCGCCCCCCCGTGCCCCAGGGGTCTCTCTGTACAGTTAAGTGGCGGAGGCATAGAGAGTTAGTGAGGCAGTTAAAAGGATGATCTAGAGGCCATTCTGTGGCACTCACCCTCTTTTACCCCGTTCCGCCCTCACCAGCCTCGGAGTCTCGGCCAACATTAACCCCCCTTCACCAAAAGGCGTCCAACCCTAATGCATCTACGTGTGTGTGTGTGTGTGTGTGTGTGTGTTCACGTCCCAGCCTTCCACCAACAACAGTAAGAACAGTATAGTGAGCGCCATCAATGCCCTGAAAGACACCAACATGGCGACCAACGCCCAGATGGTACAGTAGGCCGCCGCAGTGTTGGTTCCTGCCTCTTAACCCCCACCAGTAGTTGCTTAGTAGCCCGTTGTGCCTCACCCTCCATCGTCATAGTAGCTGCTTGGCATCCCTCATGTACCACAAAGGAGATGTTGCACCGTGACATCCTCTGCCCCCCCCCTCCACCCCTCTCCCCAGGGTGCACATGTGTTCCTAAATTGTAGCTATATGGACCTTTTTTGCAAATGATTAAAAATGCACGCGGCTCGTTTGAATCTCGGGCTGCACATGTGCACCCGTTTAGCTTCCTGAGGAGCATGATCCTTACATGTCGATGTGCCTCTCAAGTGGCAGCACGGAGGACGGTCCCGACATCTGAGTGTAATCTATTCTTATCCTGAGATGGCCTCTGTGGTATTCGCTTATCCCCGCGCTTAACCGGCTATCCCTGAACTTTCCCACCAAAGTCAACAGCGGCTCGCAGCCATCTCTCACCGGACGTTCACCCACCGTCTCTCACTCCAACCTGTTTACCTCGCCACGGTTACCGCTCCCGTTGACAACCACACTTTCATTACGCTCTCATCCGGCACCGGCATGTTGTCATCGCTTCAGCAGCATGCGTTGCATATCACCAGTTTGGATACATTATACACAAGTCTGTTGTGTTCCAGTGGTGCTTCTCAACTGGTGGTGTGGGACCCCAAAGTAGGCCACCGGTAGGCCCGGGTTATATGATGGGAATCCATATCGTAATAATTGGGTTATTGCAGAGTTGACGTTTATCTTAAGTGCAAATGTATGCAGAAACTAATCGTTGATGTTCAATGCAAAGATCTGTTTTTTTAATACCGGTCTCTTTTTATAAAATAGACATGATATGTGAGGGAGTGGACATTTTTTTGACCAAAGGGGTCATTTAAATCATGGCTAATATTAGCGGACAAATCAATGGTTAGATGCAGCCCTAAATTAACAGAAACTTAGCTTTTCATTTGATTTTTATAACCTAATTTACAAAGCTTAAGAAGCCTGTAAGACATAGTATTATTACAATTAAGCTCAAATCAAGAGAAGGTGAAGATGCACTGATCCATCAACATATTGTGGATTCAGACTAAAGATCAATTTAAATATGCCAACTTTGGCCTTTACAAGGAGCGTGTTTAACCTTTTTCTGTGACATCTTGTAAACCGGCCTACGTTAAAATGACTGAATAATGACGTGTATTAATTGATAATGAAGGTCCCTCGATGGTCGCGTTAGTCATGTCCAGGGCCGAGGCTTCGGTGTTCTTTGAGCTCCAACAAAGTGCTCTGAATGAGAGTCTGAACCCAGTTGAGAAGCACTGGTTCCGGGTCCTGACGCGCTGGACTAACTGTCGCGTCCCTCCCCGCAGGAATCCCAGAGCACGGTGGTCCACAACCCTCCTGACGGAGTCAAGGTGAGACGTGTGTCTCCGTCCAGCCGCTCCGGTCTCGGAGGGGGGGGTGGGGGGCGGGTGGCGGAGCTCGGAGGCGACTCTTTCTTAATTTCGATCTCCTTCTCTTTTTCGCCTCCACAGGGATCAACGGAGAGCAACACCACCAACGACGAGGAGGAAATGAAAGGTAGGAACGAGTGTTTGAGTCCCTTTTTCTGTTCTTATCCTCTCTCTCTCTCTCTCTCTCTCTCTCTCCCATCCAGTAGAGTGTGTGTAGTGACTGGCAGGTGTGCGGAGATACAACAAGTCTCTTGATACGCTCTTGACTGTCTGCCTGGTGTGTGTTTGTGTATATGAATGTATTTTATTGTGTGCGTCTGGCTGCGTTTTGTGTGTGTGTGTGTGTGTTCTAGCGGACAGTTCGGTGCTGAGTATGAGCAGCGCCACAGAGGAGATGCCCCCACTTCTGCCCTCACCTCAAAGCTCACCTGCCAGTAAGTTTATCCATGGCAACCAGAAGCTTTACGGTTTGCCACTGGCAAAGACCTAACCCCCCCACCCCAATCCCCCTCCTTCCCTCACCCCAAAACCCCCAACCCTCTCCACACACACACTCCTCAGTGTCAATCTCACATCTGTGAGCCTCCTCCAGCTGATCCACCAAGCTGTTTTTAGAGGGTTCCCACTGGTTTGGGATTTTGTGGGAGATCGTTGATTTCTATGTTTGTTAAAGGTCAACGACTCCCACACTTCAGGAGGGGAATTTGGAGCACGTCACAGAATTGGATATTGATTAGATATTAGACGTTTTTTTATAAGGTGGGTCCGGTTTAATTCTGTGGGTTTGCACATCATTACAATTGGTAATAACAAGCTGAAGGAGCAATGAAAACCAGTCTGAAGAAACACGAGTTGCAAAGCTCAGGGTTCCATTCTCTGCACATCGATAACTCATCCGGGGAGATTTCACCTTGTGAGGATTTGGCAGTCTCAAGTCTGGGTTTTTCCAGTACTCAAAAGCCGGGTGAAAACATTTCCTCGTCAGAATTCCCGTCTGACGTTTTATCCGACAGCTTTATTTACCTTTTTACATGCGACCAATTCACAGCGTGAACTTGAGGCCATCTACCAATAAGGAAACCAAACCGTAAAATGAGCCTTAAACCTTTTTAGGTGAATTTTTTATTTTAATTTCATAGGTGGACTAAACTCCACTGTGCTCGAACAAGTTTATTGCTCTGAGAGCAACTTTGACCTAATTATGCTCACAAAAAGAATAAAAATAACATCTTGAATCTTTCATCAGGGCCACTGTGGGAACCCTGAAATGTGTGAGTGTGTGTCTGTGCGCGTGTGTGTGTTTTTGGTGATCACTGCATTCTATCCCCTCGTCCTCCTAATGTGACAGCTCCAGCTGGAGGGGGCCTCACTTACCTCGCGGCTGTGTGTCCTTGACGGGCCCCTTCAGGCGCTCTGACTTGACTTTAAACAGGCGCGCCGCGGGGCGTCGAGTTCCACTTCCTCCGCCTCCATGCTTCTCCCCGCTCTGATGCTCCGTCCTCTCGTTCATCCTCCATCTCTCTCTCTCTCTGGCACACGGCCGTTATCTCGCCCCTCTCTCCTCCCCCGACTCCTCAGACACACCTGCACTAAAGGGACGGCGTCGGCTCTCTCCTCCTCTCCTCCGTCATTCCTCCCCTCCGCCTTGCTCGTCGTCGCCCAGCCCTCGTCAGCGTGGCGTGAAGAGCGCGAGCCGGCGGTTGAATGAATCACGAGCCGCGCTGACCTCGCTGCCAGCTGCCATCCTGTCCCCGCGTTACCCGGCTGCATGTCTGTCATGAACCAACACTAACCCACGTCCACTTTGTCTCTAGTGCACATCTGACACACATTCCTACTGCACGATGTGTGTGTGTGTGTGTGTGTGTGTCTGTCTGCGTGTGGATGATGTGACATGTCATCGGCCCCCCATTTTGTCCCGTGTTTGTTGACCATCCGTTGTGTGTTTCAGTTCCACCGCATGACGTAAAGCGCATGGCATGGAACACCACGGGCAACAGCTCCTGCCCCGACTCCGAGTTCTCGCAGTGCTCCGCGCCCGCCGCTCCGCTAGGGAGCATCGCCGCCGCGGCCATAGGCAACACTAAGAGTAAGAACACGGTGCTGACCAACCTCCCCGAAGCCCTCGCCTGTCCTCGCCTGTCCTCGTCTTTTGCGTTTGTCTAGTGGAAGTCGGAGCAGCAGGCCTTTAGATTTTACCCACGGGAACAAGTCGTTTATGGGTGCCAAAGGATTTATCTTGTTTTTGGTTCATTTTCTCCTGTTTTAAGACTTGAAAAGGGAGGCGGGAGACTCCACATGCATCGGATCAAAGCCGCGGCTTTTGATACATGTTCCGGTCTTAAAAGAGTTTTATATAAACTGCAGGGAAGGAAGGAAAATGAAAGAAATAAGGGAAATCACTTGGTCGAATGACTGAGAATTAGTGTTGTTCAATAGCAATGTGCAGCTGGCCCCAGAAAGCATAGCGGAAAGCAGATTTGTTGTGGACTATTTTTAGCCGTGGATTGATACACATTTGGTGCTTAAGGCAGCGGGACGTTTTATTTAGGATCGGGTCAAAAATAATCTACAGGGCCATCGTTCGTAAAAAAGGTTAAACTGAAGAGGGAGCTCTGTGGAAAAATGCTCGCTAGGATCACTTCATTTTTGTCTGTGGTCTTTTTTCGGTGCGATATGGTGACGAGGAGAAAAATAATAGATTTTCAGTAGACTCAATAGTTCTATTGATGTTTTAAATTGTTTGTGAAAAGTTACAGCATCAAATTGAAGTAAGATTTGCCCGACCACGGTTTTGTTCAGAGAGGAATTCTGTGAACGTTATTCACTGAAAAAGTAAACGCGGAATATCAGTTTAAGTTTACTCATCTTCTTCCTGGACTCGTCTCTGAGCAAACCTGCCTTTTGCCCGGGTGGCGGAGCGCAGCGTTTAGTAACCTCCCGCGCCGCGCACAAGGTGCGGAGCGGCAGACGGCGCCGAGGTCACGCCGCCGCTTTCGGTGAGCTGCCAGGGGCTGAGTGACGAGGTCAAAGGGGAGCTGGAGCCACGAGCGGCGGCGACGGATGGGGGGGGTGGAAAATGTCGTCCACGGAGTTGATTGTTGTCCCGCCTCCCGGCCGCCCGTCTCACCACCGGCGTCTCTCGCTCTTCTTCTCTCCGCAGCTCGTAAGCAAGAGATCATCAAGATAACGGAGCAGCTGATCGAAGCCATCAACAACGGAGACTTCGACGCCTACACGTGAGCACCGCCGCGGAGGACAGGTCGCCTTTTGTTGTTTTTTTCTCGTCTCAACCGTCTTCTCACGCGCTCCTGCGTCCTCCCCGTTTCTGTCTCAGGAGGATTTGTGATCCCGGACTCACCTCTTTTGAACCCGAGGCCCTTGGGAACCTGGTGGAGGGCATGGACTTTCACAAGTTTTACTTTGAAAACTGTGAGTATCCTCGCGTGCACGCACACACACACACACACACACACACACGCACACAATGTGAGCTCAGAGGATCAGGAGGATGTAATCTGTTTGCGGGTAAATGGCGAGCACGTTTATTCTTCCATCTGTCGCTCGTAGGTCGTTGAAGCCAATGTGACTTTGGGAGTGTGTTTGTTTTTGTCTGAACAAGATTCTTAATTTATTCTTGGCATAAAGTAAACCTTTACGATTTAAATTCTGTTACTAGTAATATTTCTGGAAGAAATAATATAATAATCACATAGTAAACTGAAATTAATTTGACTTTTTGAGGACAGTTGATGCGTTTGAATGGCTATTACGTGTCATTATAATAATTTGATTATCATGTGAACGGGAAGAGAAGAAGCAGCGATAACTTAGCTGGCGTCTCTCTTTATTTAACCCAGTGCTAAGCAAGAACATCAAGCCGGTGCACACCACCCTGCTCAACCCCCACGTGCACCTGATCGGCGAGGAGGCCGCGTGCATCGCCTACATCCGCCTCACGCAGTTTGTGGACACCACGGGCCGCCCACGCTCCAGCCAATCGGAGGAGACCAGGGTGTGGCATCGCCGCGACGGCAAGTGGCTCAACGTCCACTTCCACTGCTCCGGAGCTCCCGCTGCACCACTACAGTGATCAGGTACGCCTCTCGCACGCACTATAAAGCCCCTATGGGGGGAAACACTTTGCCCCCCCTCCCCTTTAAATATTCCTCATTTGTGTTAAAGCTCCACTGTAACAATGTACCTCATCATTCAATTTATGGTAAATATTTTCAGATTTCCTTGTTTCTTACCGTACCCATAATTGACTTTCATGTCCCCCTCCTTCTCCCCCCCCCCCCAGTGGTCCTGAGCCTCCAGTCTACTGGAGTGTGTGTTTTGGGGGGCAGTTTTTTTCAGCGAGCGTGTTTAAGAGGCACGTCCTTTGCGTGGAGTGGCTTGTGCCAGGAGCCCGGCCGGGCAAGATCGCATCCCTCTCCACGATACCAACCAATCCTGTCCCCCCTTTGACCCGCTGGGGGCCGGCTGAACACAAGACACCGCCCCCATGGGATGATGCATGCATCTGGCGCCTGATTGGAGGGCGAGTCTTTGCCCTCTATCCCTCCCCATGGCGGCCACCTTTTATCTGCCCGCGCGACATGAGACGTCCTGCGTGAGGAGAGGATTTACAGTTGAACTTGTGACAGTTTATGAGTATGAGTTATGAATATGCTGTGTAAATTATGACTAGATGTACCAGAAACCACCAAAACCCAACCAAGCATTTATATTTACTATCTAATAAGGGAGGAACAGAAGGGAGCGTGAGGTTAGCGGCTGAGATTTTGGACACATTCTTTGGCAATTCTAGGTTACCGGGTAGGAAGTGTTGTGCTCGTTGCCCGACACTGACGTAAAGATGTCGGGAGATTCCCCCGATAATGGAGTCCGCTCAGTCAGAGTACTTGATGGCGAGAAAAACTTGATATCAAAAACATGAAGCACCAAAGTGTAGAACTTTAGGCTTTTTATGTGTTTTCGTTTGTGTGCTTGTTTTCCGACCGAATGGAAAATCGTGTTGTTGGGGAGTGTTTTTATTTGAGGTTACGTGTTTCTGTTGTGTTTTAACGTCCTGTTCCTTTTGCGTTCCTGTGAACAACCGGAGCCTTTTATAGTTTTTAATTTTGTCGGTCGGACTGATCCTGTAGTCAAGGCTCTTTTTTTTTTTCTTCTCGTTTTTTTTAAAGCAGCTAAGTTGGAAAAAAAAAAAGTGAAAAAAAGAGGGATTTAATTGTGCAAGTTTAAAGCTAACGTGTTAGCACGTTGTGTCGTCTGTATGCAGTGGAGGGAGAGAGAGGGGCGGGAAAGGAGTTTGCGTTTTGCATGTTATCCCGCCCCCTCGCCCTCATTCAACCCTCCCCACCCTCGCTCCTTTTTTCTCCCTCTTAAACCATTCCCTCGTTTAACCCTCCCCCTCCTTTTCTCTGCTTTCCGCAAGGGCCTGGTTTGTTTCTGATCACTGTGTGAAAACAGTGTATGTATAGATATATGTAGAAAAGTGTAATATATGTACATGTATCTAAGAGACACTCATCCTGTGCATCTGGGAACCACCACATGACCTCTGCGACCCAGATCTAGTTTAGGAATTTTTGTTTTACTTTAATTCAACTCCTTAAAGTACTTCCTTAAAATATTGGTAGCCCTCCGACCATTTCCGACTAACGTGATAATCACTCGTGTGGGCGACTACATTTCTTCCCGTGGCCGTAAGACTGTTTTTTTTTTTAAGAGACGGGGATTAAAAAAACAAAAAAAACAACGGGAGTGAAATAGTTGTGCCCCTTTCGCTTAAAAAGATTTAAACACGGAAAGCTTCATCGTAGTGTTCTGAATTCCTGATTCCCTCAATGCTGTGAGCCGTCTCTTTATATCATATGCACACACACACACACAACACACACACGCCTGGTGGTGTGTTTCTGCTTTGTGACATATCCGCACCACTGCTGTGTGACCGAGGTGCCCCCCCCCCCCCTTGCTGCGCTGCTTAACTGTCTCCATCCATTCGCAACAGCCGTATCTCTCTCTCTCTCGCCCTCACTCTGATACCCCCGTCCCCCGCGTACCAACCTGTCCCTGCTCTTGAGATGTTTGTTTGTGCGTCTCGCTGTCGTTTCTCTGTTCGACCGTGTTACTGGTTTGAGGTTTTTTTTTTTCTCCCCGTCGTCGCCGTCTTTGTTCACCTGTCGTTTGGTAACTTTAGCCGATCTGCCAAGCTGGAGTTCTGCACTCTCCCCTTGTGCACATTTAACAGGGAAAAAAAGAAATTAAAAAAAAAAAGAAGAGGGAGGAGGTAAAGACAACACAAATTACAGATTGATCCATTGATCCGGACTAAATTCTTTACCGATGTGACGTAACCAGGGTGGTTATGGATGGTGCCTGCTCAGTTGAGAGGAGTGATGGAAGCCAGAGAAAACGTTGGTTGTGGGCGTGCAGGTTCTTCTCCACTGAACCACAGCGGGAGACCTAGTTATATGCATGTTTCAGTTACACATTTCTACCATGTACCTACCTGAATAAGGATGGAGCCTAGTGTTAATATATGATATTTGCATCTTTTGAAATAAGAATATCCTCCATCCAGAATGTTGAATAGGTGACATGAAAAATATTAGAAGAAAAAAAACGCAAAATTTTTAAAAAAAGGATTCAGGAGCCGTAGCTTGGTATGAGGCCCTCGATGTTAGCGTTTTCCCTGCGTTGTAATGATATATTATTGGGCTGCGCTTTCTCCCCCGGCCTTCACGTGGATGCTGGAGTTTTTTTGCATGATCATGATGTACAATGAAATACAACCATGAATTGACGACTATCAAGTGTTTGTCTGAGTGTTAGTTGGTCTTCATCATAGCTTTGTTATTCTTCAAAATTGGATCTTAAAAGTATTTAATAAAAATACTATTTCAGCACTGGCTCATCGCTCTCGACTGGTTTCTTTGTTTTACATTCTGGTGTCTTACTGGAACTCGCCTCGCTTTCTCCCTCCCCCTTGTGCAACATACCTTTAATGACGAAGAAACCCCCAAAATTACAACACAACGGCCCTTTTTTGGCTTCTGCATATTTGCCGCTTAGCTTGGATTTCAGGATTTCAGATTCTTACACTTGAAATCACCAAATTTGGAGTTGATGGAGATATGCAACACACGTTTCTGATTATGTAACACTGCAACACTGATTGGTCGTGCTGAACATGTGCTCATGCAGTCTCAATGTTTTAAATATGAGTAAAATCAGCTCGCATTAGACCGGATCATGTGACTGGTCAGCAGGACGCTCTGAACACCAGCTGGCGTAATATTTGCCCTCCATACGTGGCTGTCATCACATAAAGTCGGATTAAGCCTGAATAATGCTGCATATCCTCCGGGTTCATTAACATGCACACACACATAGTGTTATTTAAGATGGTCCCAGTTATTTTAAGGTGTGTGTGTGTGTGTCGATGGGATGTAGGACAGCTCCCCCTGGTTCCTCTGCTTTCTGTGTGATTAATGAGGAGAGTTCAGCAGTTGGTTAACACAGACACCTGCACATCTTTCTAAAAGACACAAAGGAGGAGAAACTCCTGAGACAAGGCGTCTCTGACCTCTGACCTCTGACTCCATCCTGTGTGTCCATACAGTCGGAAGAGAAAAGCAGCCCTGGGAGGAGTCCCCTGAATGTAAATTACTTTTGATTGTAAAGGACGTGTTGCAGTTTTTTTATTTTGCCTTTGGAACCAGGCTCACTTTCCTTCATCTCTAGTCATTATGCTAAGCTAACAGTCTCCTGGCTTTAGCATATTTATAATAGAGTCAATTGATCGATTGTACCATCGCTGGCTTTTAAACATCTGCATAAAGTGACTAAGGAACTATTCGGTGATGCGCTGGCTTTTGTCCACGTACTCTTGATGGAGACCATCTTTGGTTTCATGAATGTTCAGCAAATGCTGTGAAATAGTTGCGCTTCACTAACGTAAGGAGCTCTGAGCTGTGTGAAAGTGACAGAAAAGAGTCGTATTTTTGTAGTGGATTCTTTTCATTCTATAAGGTAATTTAATCTTTGTTCAGTGATAAAAATAGACCCCCCTCTCTGTATTTATAGTTCAATCCCATAAAATGAACCATTGAAGGACCTCATCTTCAAAGCCATTTAAGCTTATTTGTATTAGTCAAGAAAATGACACCATCACATAGTGTGCAAATATGTATTAATATAAGATATCTAGTGTAGTATATGTGTGTATAAAATGTTTTGCTATAAAACCATCTTAAAGAAAAACATTTAACAAGTCATATTCCAATTTGTCATAAAAATGATGAAACATGATTAGTTTTCCTATTGAACAGCTTAAATCATTTTGTCTTTCCAAATTGCTTTATTCTTTAATGGTCAGTATGATGTGCAATCCACAACGGTGTTTTCTACATATTGATAATAAGTTCACTTCACAATCCTTTGTATTGATTAAATAGCTTCTTCAACACGTTTTCATGTATCCGATTTCTAAACATTTATCCAGTTCCCAAAAGCAGAGTAATTATTGCTCATTACGAATCACTTATTCGGCTTTCTGTTGAAAAAAAGGGCCAATCCGTTGCAGCAGGGGTATTCTCTGATTCCTCTTTTTCAGAGTCCAAACAAAAGAACAGATTAGCATGAGTCATGAGTGAGTGAGAGCAGCAGATTTACATACATCTTTTCAAAGCAATCGTTTTAGTTATACAACCCGAGTATTTTCAGCGTGGAAAACGGCTAAACCCTTTGCCTTTTACGTGATCCTCCATGTAAGGTTGTTTTTACCACTATCAAGCCAAACAACAGAGTTAACTCAAGGTTATTATTATTCAATAAGATAGAGAACACGGAGGGCTCCTTCTCACCAGGTATATCTTTTAATACTCAACCATGATTCAGCACATTACACAGGAGGAACTAGTTTGAACACTTTACACTTCTCTCCCTATTCGTCCGGTCACAAACAGACAGTATTTACATGAACCCACAGCATCTGCATGAGAAGACATCAACTCTCAGGAAGGAAGGAAGGATCGAGTCCACGTTGGAGAAACAGGTCACAGGATGCTTCACGACACGGTGGTTCACGGCACAATAAAAAGCACAAGTCGAGTCTGCACACTTATAGCAACAGTATAAAAAGAACCAGCCATCGGACGGCCCGGTGGAAACGGAACAATGTCGCCATCTTCTGGGGCGGATCGCGCACCTGCTCAGCACAACAGAACAGACAACATTTAACTTCTATATCTAAGTCGGTCTAGGGATGAACGCAGTGACACTCACTATCTAACGTCAGGAACAGCTTCTATCTACTCATCTATTCGTCTACCTATCTACAAACATCTGCTGGAATCGGTACAAAAAGACCCGATAGTCAGATTCCGATGGCTTTGAGGAGAGAAGGACCACACCGGTGTTTCTGCGTGTTTTAGCCCTTAAACTAATTATATTCACTGGAGAAAACTGCGGATGAAACCATATTTTCTTGTTTCGGTTATATTTTATATTGACGGAAGTAACCATTATTCAGGGTTAGTTAAGTTAATTGTTAATAAAAGGTTTAATATTAACTTTTTATAAAAGTGGGCCGTTACAGGTTAAAATGAAAAAAAGGGTTGTGGGTTCTGCACTTTGGCAAATTGAATCAACTTTTTGATTGAAATAGTCATTGATTGAAGGAATAGAGAGACTAAAACATGGATAAACAACCGATATGGTCCAAAGTAAAATAGCTTAATTGTGGGTCTAAACAGCACTTTCACCAGAAAACTTATAAGACAACAGCCTGAAGAGACGAGCCCTGCTGGAACATCTGAATTTTAACATCTGATGCAGGAGTTTGGGGTTAATCTAAATGAATCCTGATCTAAAGAATCCTGATGATTTACAGCCAGCCTTTATTTCAAGACACGTTATTAAACACACAGGAGACACGCATGAATGGGTGAAAATTAGCATAGATTCTTGTGTGTGAACATCTTAGAAACATCCCCAGTATTGTACACAGTATTGTCCTTAAATGACACGCCATGCTGATTTGTCAGTGAAAGGCCTCGATCAGCATGCCGGGCTCCACCTAAACGGCGCTCGGCGCATCACTTATGGCTCTTCTTCTCAACAGGCTGTAACTCACATGTAAAGCGCCACGAATCACCCACGCACTCTCTGCCTCCCCGGCAGCTCGGGGGAAGGTCTGCCCACACTGCCGCGCTCGTCCGACGATGAGCAAACACAACACTGAGTTCAGATCTGAAATGAGCGGGGACGGCTCGGCTTAGGAGCATCTTTCTTTTCTTTTAAAGTTTACTTTTGTCTTCCGTTAAACACTCTTTCTCCCCTCCTTCTCCCACCCCAAAAAGGAGGTAACAGGTACAGAGGTAACCAATGGCCGGCCTCAATTAGATATAATTGTGCGTTTGTGTCCCTAAGTGTGAGTATGTGTGTAACCGTCTTGGTGGTGTGTGAGTGATGGCCTGTGTTCCTGTTTAAGATCAAATTATTTCATTTGTTTTTTGTTAATCGCGTGTGTGTTGGAGCTCGCCGTGCGCCTGGGGGGTTTTCACCCTTGCCCTCGCCGCGTGTGTGTTCCCCGCGTGCGTGTCTTGGGTCATCGTCGACACGTGTTGGATCTTCGCGTGCGTTTGTGTGTGCGCTTGGTTCCTCTGGATGCGCCTGCGTGTTGATGACCTCCTCGATCCAGCCCCTGAAGCGGCTGACTCGGGTGTAGAGCGAGGGAGACGAGGGCCCCGCGCAGCCGTAACCCCCGGCAACGACCCCGGTGAGGACCCATCGACCCATCTCCCCCTGACACACCAGCCCGCCTCCGGAGTTGCCATCACAACGGTCGTCGCGGAGGAGGCTGGTGTCTGGAGGACTGCCGGCGCACAGGGTGCCGTGGCTGGAGAAGCTGTCGCCGTAGCGCTTCTTACATTGCCATGACGACATCAGAGGGACCCAGGATGCAAGGACTGAGTCTACGGGAGACGATGGAGGAGACGAGGAAAGACAACTGAATGATCATGTTGCATTTGACTATTGATCGATTGTCCTAGTTTTTATCAAGCAAAGAGACTCAAAGACTTCAGCCTTCGGCTCCTAGAGGAAGTACTTAGTCAAAGAGGTGCTTTGAGCCAAACGCTCACGTCAGCATGCTTGCGCTCAGTAGGCGATTAGAGGGAGGATGCCACCCCTCGTGTTAGCAAAATGATCTAAATGCCGCTCCATCCCCTAGTAGTCGAGGGAGTGCAGGAGCAGACTGCCTTAGTCATTGAAACTTTATCTGACTGTTTTTTGACGTTTCTGTCATGGCCTGTGTATTGATTAATCCATGGAACTGTCCGTGGTGCAAGAGTACACAGATCTTGAGATAACAGGGTTTTGCAATTTGCAAATTAACTGCAGGACTCTTTTGCGGAGCTGGTCGCTCGTCAAAAATGAACAAATTGCATACTGCGTACACTGGCAAAACTATTAAGGAACAATGAGTACCATGTCGCTCATCTTAGTGTTTTAGCAGGCTAGCTAACAGCTAAAATTTGTTAATCAGCAGTAAAAACAAAGTACAGCTAAGGCCGAAGGGGATGTCTTTAACCATGAACCAATAAAACGATTTTTATGGGTATTTTCTTTCTGTCTAAAGAGAACATACCTGGTCCTGTCCATCCAGCAGTAACCACGACAACGCAAGAAGATGGAGTAGTCCCTGCCGATGCTGCGTCCGCAGCAGGAAGGCACGCTGCGTTGGTGTCAGGGTCAAAGGTCAGACAGTGACCCTTGGTGCTGGGTAGCTTCAACAGGGCCAGATCGTGACCTCCACTCTGACCCTTGAACTTCCTGTGAACCACCAGCCTCTCCGGGATGAGGGTTCGAGCCCCGACACGCACCACGTACTTGGACGGGTCGCTGCCGAACCTACGGGGAGGGGGCGAGGAGAAACCTCAGTTGGATTCACACTTAAAGGGGTCGGGTGGTGCCACCGGAGGAGCCTCGGGCGTAGGAGCGGACTTGGAGCCCAGAGGAAGATTTACCTGCTGACACAGTAAGCGGACGTCAGGGCCCAGCAGGGGCCGATCAGAGTGCCGCTGCAGACGGGACCGCCAGCTTCTCCTTGCGACTGGAGCCACACTGAAACCTGCCATGGCCATGTGGTGCTGACGGAGAACAGGACAAGATCTCCATCATAAAGCCACATATATTCATTTAGTGTGCAACATTTAATTGATTATCCAATCAGTTATCAACTATTATATAGTATTCATGAAACAATCGTTTCAGCCAAAGACATGTAACGCAAATTAGCTCCATATCCTACCTGAGCATATTTTCCTCCCCTTGGCTCCTCCTCTTGCTCTCCTCCTCCACCAGCTTCCTGAGCCCACAGCTCGGCTCCTGATGCCCGGCGGGTACCGCCGGTTGCCGCGGCGCGACGTCGCACCTCAGTCCGGCGTCCACCCTGCGCCGGCAGCCCCGGATGCTCTGACCCAGAGACGGACACTCTCCCAGGAACTCCTCCTTGCCCGTGCACCTCACCTGGTCCAGGTGGATGGGCCCTTTGCCCTGACCAAACCCTCCGGCTGCTACAGCTCCGCCACTGAGGAGAGGGGAATGTTGTTTTTTTGGTGTTGGATACATTTAAAAGTGTGTTTAAATCTGTCTATTTTATTCATATAAAACATTAACCCGTGTCCAAGTTGTCTGCACACCACAGCAGCATTCAGGTCATTCCAGCCCGAGTCACAGATACTCCCCCAGTCACCGTGGAGATACACCTCGACCCGACCCTCCTTCCTGCTGCTGCCTCCCACGAGTCGCACCAGGGGACCTGACCGGCAAGAAACAGACGCAGCTCATTCGTATTCATGCCGGGGCGCCGACACACTCCCGTCTGCGTCCGCTGACGCTGTTAAATGTCATCTGCAGCCCGGTGCCTCTTTATTCCGCCTCTATTCTCATTCTAATGGACCCGTGTGTCTACAGGACACCCAGTAAACACCTCTTTATTCTCTCTGCTGTCGACATGTGGCATTTAAACTCTCTTGGGGGGGAGAAAAACACTGATGTTTTCCCATTGAGGAAATTATATGGCCACGCTAAAGAAGAAATAACTAGTTTCTTTCTTTTACAGATTAGATGGAAACATATTTTGCATGTTTATTGTCGAGCCGGTTCTAAATTTGTCCAAGCCGAGGTATGAGGCTTTAATAAAGTAAAGTAAACAGCTCACAGCCTGGCATGAGACCAGAACTCTACAGGGACAGCTTGCCCGTTCCATACAAAATGTATTGCCACTAAACATCTGCAGTGCAGTGCACTGAATCTCATGTTTTTGCTGGTTTCTCACATCCTTCCTTTGGTTCTTATTACCGCAATTGCTTTTCTTTACAATTGACAAAAGAAAAAGAAGACAGCGAACAATAGATGCAGTTTGCACAGACAAGACAAACATTATAAAAAACACATTACAGAAGAGGTGAATAAGTAGCCTTTCTTCACAATGAGTTTTGCACGCGGGACTTGATCTGAACTCTCACCGGTGGAGGGTGCGATGACCGGCACCTCGTTGGTTTCTTGGCTGGGTCGTCTCCTGCAGCGGACACCAACGTCCTCGCTGTGGGAGCAGTCGGTGCGGCCCCAGATCCCGTGTGGACAGTCCAGGAGGGAGGTCTCGGTTCCCTCACAGTGGACGTCGTCCAGCAGGATCAGACCGACGCCCTCGCCGAAGGTCCCATCTGATACGACCTCAGCGTGGCCCCTGGAGGTGGAGAGGAGTTAAAACCGTGGATACCAAGTTAGAAAATAGAACAAAATACTCAAAATAACACATGAAAGGTTTTATTTAAGGCTTTAATCATTTAATGATCATAATCATAATTGACCTGATTTCACATTTCTTTTCAGGCTTCAAATGAATAATCAGCCAATGTGAATTACAATTAATTATAATAACAACTCTCAATGAGATTGAGTAATAGAACCATATGCTCTTTTTCAGGTTGATACTTGTTTTGGGAGTTTAGATGCTTTGACATTTATTGACATTTCCCCACACTGTAAATATACCCATTTTACCCGTAATTACGCAAAGCGAAAACAACAAGTGAAACCATGACAAAGTAGGAACAAACTCAAACAAATTCTTTAACCAGCCCCATTACTGTTGCCCTTTTAAAAACGTGTTACCTTTTCTTCTTTAACTAATGGTACACGTCCAGGACGAATGTTCATTAGTATTTGCACAAAGTGTTTCCACACCTGTAGCCCAGCTGCCTGCAGACCACCTCTGCATGCTGCTGGCTCCAGCGGTCGTCGCACACCGTCCCCCAGTCGCCGTTGTGGAGGACCTCCACCCGACCCTCCCAGGGACTGTCTCCTCCAACCAGACGCACCACCCCATCTGAAGCAGGTTCACATTGTGGCCGTTATATCTGCCGTCATTCCCCATTTACATCCTTATATTTTACTTCATGCAAAGTCCTTAATATTACTAATGTAAACTTTTAATGTGCATCGTTAATGGTGTATTGCTTTGAAGAGTAGTAGCTGCAAATCATTGGCCTGTAGATATGTAACTCCTCAGTTCACATAAATCCTTCTTGTCACTAAGAGGATGTTGCTGCTTCATGCAGTGATGATTTATTGATGTCCAGCGGCTATAAATAGCAGCATGAAGCCCATCAGGGTGTACCGTCGAGTGTGTGTGTGCTGCACATGTACCTGTAAAAGGGCTGCAGGAGACCCCTGCATCCTCCATGTGGTCACAGTTGTGCTGCTCCCAGTCGCCGTGGGAACACTGCTCCAGAAAGAGCTCGTTCCCCGTGCACTTCACGGCATCCAGGAGGATCGGGCCCGAACCCTGACCGAAGTGAGCCCACGACCAGGCCTTCGCCACACCCCTACAAACACACACATGCACGGTTTCATCTTTGTTTCCAAATGGGACCTGATGACGGCATAAGATGGACAGTTGAAGGTGTTAAAACATTTCAATTAAATGTATTACACGTCAGCTTGAGGGGAACATGAACATTTCATGGTGATCCATCTAATAGTTCAACCCCGGAGTCGAGTGTTCTGTTTAGAGACTGTGAATGTCTTTTTTAAAGAAATTCTTATTTCAGTCTGAACCAAAATTATATTGTCACCCATAAAGCCACAACATCAGCATGCCCACAAACAATACACCATCTCAGGCCCGTATTGATTCTACACTTGCATCTGGCTGTAGTTTTCTTATAAAATAGAAGAAGAAAATATCTTGAAATATCCAAAAATAAATCAAATCATCCGAATAAATAATGAAAAGCTACCGAATAGGATATTTAGGTGCTGGTTAATTATTGATGCTGAAATGCTATCAAACGTAGATGTGTGTGTGTGTGTGTGTGTGTGTGTGTGTGTGTGTGTGTGTGTGTGTGTGTGTCCATGCTTCCTGCTCCTGTGTGCAGCTGGATCTTTAGTTACTGAACGCAGTCGTTGAAAGAAAAATATCAACCAATAGTTTTAATTTTCTTTTAAATAATATTAATAAAAATGTAATTAATCATCTTTTTATCCCAGGGGAATATATACGTATTAAAATGACGATGTTAGTCGCGTTAGATGTGTAGAAACAGAATAATATCACAGGACCAGGATGTCAGTTGGTAAAAATGTGAAGTGTGTAGACAAACGTCACACAAATATAACACACAAAACTATCCAGGTGAGGACAAATGGCTTCATTTAGTCTTTGAGTGTTAACACACACATCAGTGGGTGTGTGCAGCTGCGTGAGAACCTGTACATGAGCATCAGAACATCCATTATTCAGGAGGCAGGAACACAGCTGGCGAGAGTCCCGCTGCGTTAAAGCGGAGGAAATACAACCTCATGTCCACATGGAAGCAGTTAATTCTCTTCACAGCTACAACAGCATCATCTGTTGTCACTCAAAGTTGTTTGGGATGTTACATTAGGAGGGAGACACCTGCATCAACTTGAACAGACGTGCGTGCCGTTGACTTTTCTTCGTCTTTTCCTCACAATTAAAGGAAAATCACTTCATTGTATTTCCTGTGGGGCTTTTTCTCTTTTCTATCGCGAACAGCAAACAGGTCAAGAGGTCACTGATCGCTGGTCAGTCCAAAACGTGTGCTTGACACACATTTGACAAAAATCATGTTATCTTACATCAAATGCAGGACCCTATAAGCAACCATCTTTCCTTATTGTTGTGCCAAACCTCATGGGATTATAAGACACCAAAGAAACAGCTGCAGTGGTCGGACCTTTCAATACAAAATGACTCTGCGTTACACAAAACATTCTGCCTTCGCTCTCGGGCCTTTGCAAATAAAAAACAAGAGAAGAAAAGTTCCCTCCCTGAAGCACAACTCTAGTGTTTTGTGGAGCATGTTCCTCTGAGCCGCAGAGCTCTGTTGTTGTCCAGTATCCTTTATAAACACATGAGTGAGTCACCACAGCGCACTGGATGACATATTTCTTCACCTCGATGAAACTCGCAGTTTATTTTGAGCCAATCGAAACAGGACTAAGAATAAGCACCAAAAGAAGTGGTGAGGAATTCAGAAAATATTGTTGATGTGCTCGCGAAAAGGAACGTACCCGAAACCCAGCTGTCTGCAGACGACCTCCGCGTCTCTGTCGTCCCACTGGTCGTCACAGACGGAGCCCCACCTCCCTGCGTGGAACACCTCCACTCGACCTTCAAAGTCTTCCTCGCCGCCGACCAATCGCAGCGGAGGACCACTGCCTGAGAGAGGATGTAGAAACACACCTGTGTGGGTCAGATTCTCCTATGTTAGCATTGCTGCAATGCAAAGCAAGAAACCACCACACAGTATATTTTTAATTAATCCCTCAAGAAAGGTCGAGATGTGTCTCTCTGTGTCTCTCGGCTGTGTTGAAGGGGAAAACATTCAGGTGCGGTTGCCATGACAGTGAGGAAGTCGCCCTGACCTTCTGGTGCAGCACACACCACTGCTGCCTCGTTTCCATGGCTACAGTCACCGGTGACGAAGGTCCTGCTCTGGCACCGACTGAGAGTGTTCTCGTCTCCGCGGCAACCCAGGCGCTCGTAGTGGAAGAGGCCCGAGCCCGAGCCGAACTGCGGCTGCCGCAACGCCGCGCCAATGTCCCTGGTAAAAAAAAAGAATCAAAAAGCATCAAAGATGGCGGAACTTCCGTCCTGAATGAGGTGGTTTTTTTTCTTCTTTTTTCGTCTTTTCTTACCCGAGGCCCAGCTGCCTGCAGATCACGCTGGCGTCTCTGTCGGACCAGTGGGAGTCACACACCGCGCCCCACTGGCCGTTCAGGTAGACCTCGACTCGCCCGCTGCCGGAGGTCGAGCTGCCAACCAGACGCGCCGCACCTGAACCCCCCCGAAAAAAACAGGACGAGAGAAGATTGGTTTACAAGAACAGCGAACGGCGTACAATGAAATATTCACCAGCAGCATCACACTTTCATGATCCATTAATTGTTTAAAGCCTCATAAGTAGATTTTTCTGCATCAGAAGCTGTAAAGACAACGTGTCTTCATGTCATCAAGCTGTAATGACTCTTAGAAACATCAGTGTTTGTGTCACTGATTCCTTCAGCTTTGCTTGGATCTCGATTAACTCCTGGAGGAAATCTCTGGCTCTTTAACTGGAGAGCAGGAAGTGCAACGAGTAGGGGTTTATTTTTTTTATCCCCTGCATTTTATTTTTTGTTGTTAATCTGTGCGTTAAGCCCTTGTTTTGTGTATATGTTTGCCCTATTGTAAAGTGTATTCCAGGTGAGCGGTGGCCGTACCCTGGTGGCAGTCGCAGTAGGCCCATCCGATGGCTCCAGAGTTCTGCCTGAAGAAACACCAGGGGTTGGACTCCCGGTCCGGGTTCCTGCAGTAGCTGTGGTCGCCCAGCCCTCGGCCCGGGTACTGCATAACGTAGTCCGGGAACTCGGTCCACTTCAGACAGGGGGCGCCAGAGTCCGTCTGGGACACGGTGCCGTTATAGTATCCCAGCTCTGTGAATCCCTCGGAGCACGACAGAGGCACTGCACAGCAGAGAGGGAGGGGGGGGGGTATTGAGTGAAGATGGGAGAATGAGATGTTTGGGATGAAAGGAGGAGAATTTGGGTCAGTGTGAATAAAAGGCGGGAAAAGTGAGCAGGGGCAGTGGAGTGGTTCTTATTCGAGCCACATTATCCCCATGTCTGTATTTGATGTGAGCATGAAGGCTTACATGATGATTCCCTCACGCCTTCCACTGCCCCAGCGGGATCCCTCCTAATGCATTTAGCCCCGCTGATCCACGTTGAACTGGTGAAATTCCCGTAACCTTAAACCAGCCCCTCGCCCAACATGGAGGTGATCACACACTTCCAGTAATCTTTCCTCAGATGGAGTGTTTGAGTGAAGCTCAGACGGACAGAGAGCGAAACCGGGAAGTGAAGCAAAATTACGGCCACAACATATAGATCAGGTTGTAGAGATTCATAGAACCAGGATTTGTTTACATAATTGCATCATACCAATAACCAAACCAATTTTATGGCAATTCATCCTGTATAATTCAATAAAAGCAGAAAATGACATGTCGATGAAAAATACATGAATCACCACTCATTGTAATTCATCCTCTCGGGACACTGAATCCAGCCCACAGTTTTTAAGATGATTAAAGACATGATCAGAAAATGTTTTGTGTTGAATCAGTTTTTTCTCCTCTCATTGCTTCCATCTTTCCTTCCAGCTATTCTTTAATCCTTTCGTCACTAGTGTCTGTATTTTCTTTAATCCCGCTCTCCTTGTTTACTTTCTATCCAAACGTTGAATTTATTTAAGGCCACTTATCACCTCTACCTTCTTTGAAGGATTTCAGTCGTCTCTGCACACACTAAAGCTTTCCGGGTGTTTGAGGCCGAGCAGCCATTAAACTGTGATTAATGGCAGAGGTGCTCCAGCAACCAGAAGCAGTCTTATCTCTCACAGACACACAGCTTGGCTGGAACTTTATCTACACCGTGCAACCCTCGTGCCCGACAGACATACACACTAACCGACGTGCTGCATGGTGCAGAGAGAGACTGTTTTACAGTCAGACACACACACACACAAACACTGGGAAGATAAGAGAGCAGAAGGAGGAAGCCAGAGGAACAGGAAATCAATTAGGTAGAAATGCACCAAAGTAAAGCAGAAATATCTCATCAAACAATAAATAATACAGAACACACTCAGGCCAAAAACAGCCTTCACTGGGATCCGAACCTGGAAAAACCCTGCTGACGTCACAGTCAAATAAATGTGTCCTGTCTCTTTAAGAATCGCGACTCGGGAAGAAACTGAAAGCAAAGTTGCGCACGAGGACGCGACCCGGTTCCGCGTCGTGCTTATTCCTCCTCTCCAGACCAGCACAGCGGACGTAAGTAGCCCTTCGTGGGCTAAACTTGTATTATGAACTCTTGAGAAAAGGACTCTATGATTTGCGTGCGGTGGTTGCGTCCCAAGAGCCGTTTTGAGAGCCGTTTTGTTGGGAAAGGCCGCTCCCGATAAGAGAATGTGTGATCGGAGGTCCATCCAGCAACTTCTCGTTTTTTACAAACAATTTATGAATAATAACAACATTTGCCGATTGATGAACTTTGACTATTGCTTTTGTGTCATGCATTAAAGAAAAACAATGAGTGGAAACGTTTTTATCAGGTAAACCTCACACGGAAAACGCAACTGGTCAAACTCCCCGACTTAATGTTACAGTTTTCTATTATGTTTCAGAAATGGCCTCCAGCGTTTTATCTGAGGACCAGCTTCTCTGTCCCATCTGCCTCGACGTGTTGACCCGCCCGGTCTCCACACCGTGCGGACACAACTTCTGCATGTCCTGCATCACGCGCTACTGGGACGACATACCAGTCAGCCAGTGTCCTGTCTGCAAGGCAACTTTTGAAAGCCGGCCGGACCTCAAAGTCAACACTTTCATCTCCGAGCTGGCGTCGAAGTTCATGTCTCTCCAAGTGGCGGGCGCTCTCGCCCGGCGCCCCGACCGGCGGCAGGCCGGCTGCGGCGCAGCGGTGCGGTGCGACGTCTGCACGGACGCCCAGGGGTACGCTGTCCGGTCCTGCCTGGAGTGCCTGACTTCCTACTGCGACGTCCACCTGGAGCCCCATCACAGAGCCGCGGGCCTGAAGAGACACACCCTGGTCGAGCCCCTGGCGAGCCTGGAGGACAAGATCTGCAAGGACCACGGCCGACTCGTGACGCAGTTCTGTAGGAACGACGGGGCCTTGCTCTGCGACGTCTGCCCCGCTTTGCACCACGCAAACCACGACGTGGTCCCGGCGCTGCAAGAGCACCAACGCGTCAAGGCCCTGCTGGGGGACACGGAGGCCAAAGTGCAGCAGATGATCCAGGAGAGGCTGCAGAAGGTCGGAGACGCAAAGGCGGCGGTGGAACAGGGCAAGACGGAAACCAAAGACGCTATAGAGAGCAGCGTGCGGGACTTGACGGCGCTGGTCTCGGACATCCAGAAGACCCAGACGCAGTTTGTGAAGGTGATCGAGGAGGAGCAAAGAGCGGCGGAAGAACGCGCCGTTTGGTTAATCAGCGGCTTGGAGAGGGAGATCACCGAGCTGCAGAGCGCAACGTTGCAGCTGAGGGACCTGAAAAAGACCGAAGACACATTTTCTTTCCTCCAGAGCTCCCTGAACCCATTCCCCCTACCGCACACGATTGACGTGTCCGCCATCACTTTCACTGGACCGGTGGAGATCCGCCGCGTGCAAAGTTCTTTTAGCCAATCGGTCTCTCAACTACAAACGGCGCTGGCTCAAATGAGCGCAGAAATAAAATGCGCGTCCGAGTGCACGGCCGAGCTGAGATACGCGCAACAGTACGAGGTGGACGTCGTGCTCGATCCCGACACCGCTCACCCGCTGCTCATCTTATCCGGGGACGGGAAACAAGTGAGGTACGTGAAGACCGCCGCTCCGTCTCCAAACCCCAAACCCGGCAGGTTTGTGGAACATCTGGCGGTCCTGGGAAAGAGCGGCTTCTCGTCCCCCAGGTTTTACTTCGAGGTCTTTGTGGGTGGGAAGATCGAATGGTGCGTGGGCGTGGCCGAGGCGTCGGTCCAGAGGAGAGCGCTCGTCCCGGGTCCTTGCTGTGGACTCTGGGCCATCTCCTTCCTCCATGATAAGTTTGAAACCTTCAATTCTCCAAATGTGACGGTACACGTCGGGAAAGTGGAGCGGGTCGGCGTGTTTGTGGATTGTTGCGCCGGGCGGATCTCCTTCTACGACGTGCAGACAGCAACGCTCATTTACTCGTTTACCGAGTGTGTCTGTAGCGGAGAACTCCATCCCTACTTTAACCCTTGTGACGATGAATACGGCCCAAACTTTGGGCCGATGATGGTCGTTCCTGTAGATCGTACGGTCTAACTTGTGGGATATTTACTAAAAATGCAACTGTTATAAACTGGTTTATGTATATTTACAAAAAAAGGTTTATGGTACGGTTTTGAATATGTTCTAATATTGTGTACTCAAGCATTGAGTATGGGAATTTCTGTCTCTATTGTCTTTCAGTGTGCCTGAGATCTCAGCGAAGACTTTATATAGAGAAACACACACATCGTTACTCTTAATGGGGAAATAGGTTCCCTCTTCTGATTTCTTTCACCCCCTAATAGATGATTGAAACACCTGTTTTGTTTAATGAGCAGCCCAAAATAATTTAATAACATACAGGCAAATAATTATAAGACGTGAGCACCTGCAGGTTGCTTAAAAAGCGAAAAACAATCAATAGCATTGATATTTCTGTCTGTAATTTCATGAAGTACTATTGAATCCTTCACAAAGTGTTTTCGGCTCCAACATTCAGCCACTTGTGTTGGTGGCATCACATCTGTTTATCGGTTTACATATCTATAATTGCTGAACTTTATTTTTAAGTTTCAGAGTGCTACTTAAACCCAATTATTCATTCTGGGAAAAGGCTAAATTGAAGGCGCAGGGTGGTGAGGCTGAATACACTCGATATCCAATATAGACGCTACTTAAAGGTCCTTTTCTTCCCAATGTGAGTACTCATGCGGGTTCTTACGTCAAAATAATTACAAACTATTCTTAAAGCTCTGTAATGGTAATACAACTCTTTTTTGCTAATAAAGTATTGCATAACTTTATTTTTAGTTATTTGTGTTTGATTGTTTAGGGGGGTGCGGGTGTTTTTTAAGGCAGAAACTAAAAGTTGGAGAAATAAAAGAGAAATCTACCCTCAAACAATAATGATCAATGATTCATTTAAGGGTAGGATCTTTTATAGTTTATTTATTAAGTTTATTCAGTGGATCCTTAAGTAAGTTGTACAGATTCACCAACATGCAACTAAATTCAAACAATGTTCCCACTAGTAAATACAACACACGACAAGTCTATAAAGGTCCATTGTTTATAGCGCACAACAGTATATTGATATTTTGACACGTCAAAGCACAAACAAATGTTAAAACTGAGATTAATGACAGCGGAAATTCTACTCGACTGCTTCGGTTTCAGGTCTCTGAAGACAAATCCATGACTTACTGGGACAATAACCTCTGTGCTCGTCCCACTCAACAGCTTTTAAGCTGATTCGATCTCTATGATAACATGAAATTTATACGTCTTGTCACTGTTGTTAAAACATTTTAAAACAATTTCATCTAGTGGCGATAACACTCAGTCGGCTCGATCAAATTGTATTAAAGTGAAAGCATTATGCAACCAGACCAGGCCACATGTCCGTCTTCACAATGTCTCTGTTTTGACATTGTCCCCGTACTCTTAACTACTTCTTCCCCCCCCGTCATGTTTTCTTCATTCATGTTTCTTTTATTCATCTCAACACCCGCGGTCTCCAGAAGCACACACCAATCTCCTCATTGCCACGACAACCGCGCTCTGCCCATCGCCATGGGAACACTCAGTCTCCCTGCTCCCCGTAATCCATTTCCCAGGCACAATGTGTATTAGACATGGTTCACACTCGGAGGCTTGCTGTATGGGGGGTGGGCGATGTGTGGAAACTGCGTTTTCGACACCAGACACACACATTTTATTAAATCTGGGCAAATATATATATTTTTTTTTTTTACACAAGGTTGTGCAACAAAGGAGAGCTGGGGGCAAATGTTTCAACAGAGAGCCGTCTTCTTCAAAATTTGCTAAATATTTGTACCAGCGGGTGCTTTTCCTTTTTTTTTTTTAACAGACCCTTGAGGGGGGTTCACTCTTTAACTAGCAGCTTCGGCAGATACAGTTGAGGCGTGAGACGTCATTCTTTCCCCCAACGTGTGCGCGGCCGTGAAAGCGGCGATATCTCTTTGCCGCGGGGAAGGGGAGAGGAAGCAGCTAGTGTGGGAGTGAGGCTGAGGCGGTCGGGTACAAAGACAACAGAGGGGGTTTTAACGAGGGTCTGAGTCAGAATGTGGGTTAAACTGCAGTAAAAAAAACACACACACAGATGGTGAGAGATGGTGTAGGAGGCGAGGCCGGATGGAGGGACGCTTGATTCGTAAGAGCACAGACAGGATGAGAGTGTCCCCTCCCACTCACCTGAGTTCTGCACCTCGTTTAAGTAGCTGTCCTCGGCCACCACCTGCAGACGAGACACAGACAGCAGCAAGTTAGACAAACGGCAGCTGGTCAGCTGCACAATTCAGCCCGTTATTTAACAAAAAAAGAAGGCGTGACATGAAGTCATTTTTTCATGAAGAGAAATGTGCCTCAATATTTGTGAATTGCAATTTAGAACTCACGATGCAAATATTTGTTTTAAAAAAAAACGTTTATTGTATTTTCCGTACTGTTTTCACTGTTTTCTGTTAATGGTTGTCAAATTCGTTGTGTGGCTCCAAATATCGCATCTGACCGTCCTCTGCTGCTATCACGGGTTGTCTGGATTTAGGACACTAAAAGGTAAAGATCAGCAGAAACCACCGCTGGTCGGACACTTAGTACACCGACATTCATTAACCTCCTTCCAGTACCTCCACCTCAGTCCGGGGCAGAAGCCGCCGAGTCTTCTCATTCTCAAAGAGAACAATAAAAAATGTCATCGACTCTTTTTTACGGCGGCGGGATTCTGCACCGAGAGAAGACGGAGGCCGAAAAACCAAAGCAGCACGTGTGCACTTTTCACTGTGTGAATGAGTTTATTCATTAACAGCAGGGAGCACCAGTCAACACACAACAAGCACAATCCACCCGGGTGTGTGGGCGTAGCGTACAGTGTACACACACACACACACACACACACACATTAGGCAGTATCAGACGACAGAAGAGAGTCGGTTTCATTTTCAGAAAGCAGGTCACTCCACTACACAGCAGTGGGTCACATTGCAGAACAGGAGAGGACACACACACACACACACACACACACACACACACACAGTGTATCCGGTGTGAGGGCACCTTCACACGTCGGGCTAGTTATGCCCCTCAGCACAACACCCTCCATTCAGCCTAATGATGTTACAGCAGGGACGGGTGACCTGTGGTAGCGAACATGGGGGCTGATATCTCCGTTGATATCAATCACACGGCTCGATTACAGCGGTAATCGGTTATGACGCTCTCGCAGCTGCGTCCAGTGCTCGGCCCGACACACAAACACACACTGGAGGACTGTGAACGTAGGCGGGATAAAAGAAGAAGCAAGAGTCCATTTCGGCTCTGAGGGAAGATGCTTTTCTGCAGAATAGAGAACTGATGATGATAGTCTCACCTTTTGGTGCTAAATGATGAAAAAAAATGGTTGTTTTCATCCTCAGTTGATTTTCCTCTTTTACTGATTTGGGCAACACATGTGGATTAGACAACAGACATTACCGTTTTGATCTATAAAGTTATGTAGAAGGGGAAGAAAGCAGAGTTTGCATCGCACTATCCCTTTATTCCCTAGTAAACATGTTTTCTCCCAACGTTATGTAGCCTCTCCCTGCATGATAACAATAATCTGTCTTGAAATGAAAAAGCGGAGACTCGTCTTGCAGTGTGCTGTTTGTGCTGCATGCACGGCTGCTTCCAGTGTGAGGGGGTCTCATTACATCCTCCACTAATGACTTTGATGCAGCTCACATGCCGCACATTGGCACAGCACACTAGAACAAAGTAAGCAAATGAAGAAATGAATGAATGTGATCATTAACGGTCGATTTAGCGTTGATTTATGGTTTTGCGGCTATAGAACTTTATGAAACATTTTGGACACACAGGCTGTGAGTCCGCCTGACACCACCTGCTCCACCAGTTTCCTCCTCCTGCATGTCATGTGACAGGTCTCATCGGCCCGTGCGGGCCCCAGTCCCCCCCGATGGGCTCCTCTCATGATACCCCGCCGAAGGGGCAGAAGGAGGAGGGTGGGGGGTGGAGGGGTTGTGATTGAGACCATGCATGACGGCGCCTGCGCGTGAGCCCTCTTAATTGTACAATGCGCTTTGAATGCGCCAGTAATTGGCCAAAAGGCAGATTCGAGGTGTTTGGTGCTCTTTTAACGCCCCGACCGGCACCTGCTTTGTGGCAAACCCCGAAATCAGCCCCCCCGGTGTTTTTATTCTGGAGCACGGAGCCATGCGCGAGTCTGTTCTTAAACACTGATATTATAGTTATCCACCTAAATGAGGTTATATGCCCAACGCAGCTCAGGTCATCCAAGCGTGACTGTCACTTGGGTCACAAAAAAAGCAAAAATCAGGTGCTGCAAAATCAAGCCCCGCTTCGTAATCATCATCATCATCATCATCAACAACAACAACATAAGCACCACCGGAAAGGAGGAGTACTTACCTCCGCCAATAACGGCAGCCAGAGGCAGGCGGTTCCGATCAAGCACAACATGTCCCGGCTGGTAAGAGCCATCCTTCCCGCCCGGTGGGTCCGTGTCAGAGGCAGAGCGGCCGCCTCTCCTCTCCCATCTCTCCGTGTGTGCCCGACCTGGAGCCGCCAGCTGCTGGAGGAACCAAACGTGGTGTGGTGATGATGATGGTGTACGTGGGAGGTTTTACGCACAGAGGACAGGGTGCGGCACTGTAACGGAGCGAGAGAGAGAGAGAGGGAGGGGGAGAGAGAGAGGGGGGGGGGGGGGGGGGGTACAATCCTGGTTATTGAGCTTTGCAAAAAACCTGCCTCCTCTATATCTATATCTCTGTCAAACACACGTTTCTTTCCACATCTGTCAGCCGCTCGATTCATCTTTGATGGATTTGATTTTGTCGGCTGCAGGTTAATCACTTTTTTTTTCTAAGGACAATATTGCAGCTGAGAAATGTGAATGAAGACACCTGCTCACAGTCAAACAAGACAATGACAATACGATCACATCCTTTCACATGTTTCCCACTTGGGGATAATGAACTGCAAAAGCGTTTTGACACTGCTGCACACATTTTGTGAATACATTTTGTATTTCCATCATCAGTAAAATATCAAGTGGAGAATTTTTCTGAAAGGATGATGTTCGCCACTGTGGTCAAATTCTCTGATACTGAAGCTGCTTTATTCCTTCCATCTGTAAATATGTTGGGACACAAATAAAATCAAACTGCTGTTTATCGGTGAAAAGTTGTCCGTGCTCTTGATGTGAATGTGAATGCTCTTTTTCTTGCCGTAGCTGCAGCTCCTGTTTGTCAAACTGCTCAACATAATCTGCTTTGCGAGTCCAAATGTCCAAAACAGGAACTGGCTGTGAAATAAAATCAGCTCAGCAAAGATTCTGGCTGATGGGGACAAAAGCTCTTCCAAAAAAAACACACACATTTTGATTATAGCTGCTGCTTTGCTTCGAAATGGTGTATTTGAAGCCAATCCGAGGAGAAGCATTTCAGATCAGCACAGATAAAAAAGCACAGCCGACTGGCAGGACGTTTTGTCTTCACTCAGCAGTTGCACTGCTGCAGAGAAGTGGTCAGCTCAGCTTTTTTGCTTTTTCAGTAAGTGTGTGTGCGCGCGCGTGTGTGTGTGTGTGTGTGTGTGTGTGTGTGCGTGTGTGTGTCGTTAAACAGACCCGCCAACAAATGCAATCCCACCGAGGTGCAGAGATAAGCAAGATCACAGAGATTCATTTTACTGAACGTGCAGTTTATCAAATGTGAAGCAATTGTGTGAAATCGTGTTTAGTATCATATAAGACAAGTAAGAGCAAGATAATCCCCATATTTCAGTTGGAAAGTACTAAAGACATAACATACTCATATATAATCGTGTTCATCAATAATCGGGAATCAGGATCCCCGTAAACTGGTATTAAGCTGGTACTTGTTGAAGTTCTCGTTACATTAAACTGCAAACGATAAATCAAATGCTCCCAGAACAAAAATGGAAGCGATTGCGTATCTGGTGCCTCTGCTGCACTGTATTAATCATTTGATCCGCATACCTGAGTCTAAAGCAAAGTCGATGAATCATTTCGCCTCTTAACCGGATTGCTTTTACGGAAATGGAGTTAAACATCTTGTCTCACCCACCATACATCATCCCTGCTGTGCCGCTGTGTCAGCACCGTGTTTTGATGCATCATTCACAAAACAGCATGTTTTTCTCCTGGTGTTCGGGATCAGGGACGAACGACCATCCATGGTTATATATCCGAGGAGCGAGATGCCCCCGTTTCATAAAGTGTAAGAACCGAACTGGGCCCCGGTGTAATTTTCTATCCCTGTGCCTGTGTGATCCCCCGAAGCTGCGCGAGGGAGATTAGCTAAACTCATCCACTTCACAGAGGTTTGTTTTACCCACGGGCCCCCAGGGTGGGAGATTACTTGGGAAATTAAACTCTTCTTTAAAAAAGTTTCACAGTTTCCGTTGCCATGGATGTCTTTGATGTCAGTGTTCCTCTGATAACTGTTTGTTATCTTTAACCCAAATCCAATTTCTGTTATCTCCATCTTCCTCTCCGGTCCTCTCTGCGTCTCTCTTCATTGCACTCGGTATGTAAACAACCCGGGCGAGCAATGCCGTGTGTATGTGTGTGTCTGCTTCTGCAGAGCCCTTTGTCTCTTCATTCTCCCCAGAAGTGCACATGGGATGCTGAAACGAGAGTTGGCATCACCCTGATTTCGTGCAAACGTCTGGTTGTCATGGTAACGCTCCTCTCAGCAAGAGTACAATCCCCCCCCCCCTCCCCCCTCCCCCAATCCTCGACTGTTGGCTGAGTGCATGTCCAGAACAAAAGGGGATGGGGAAAATAATAAAATAAAGCGATAAAATTCACTGAAGAAGAGGACGGGAATCAGTCATATAAAGATCACAACATGTTAAAAATCGCTGCCGGCTCGCTCCCTGTCTGCAGAATGTAAGAGCTTTGAAGATTAACTTAAAACAAGCACACACACACACACACACACCCGTAGAGTCAGAGGTTTTTGTCATATGTATAGTGTGTGTGTGTGTGTGTGTGTTGAAGTTCTACCCAGAAGCACTTCCTGCAAATCCCATTACACCCGGACACAGCTCAGCTAACGCAGTTGGTATGGAAACGGATCAGCAAAGCCCCAAATCTCTCTTTTAACGAATCATTACCAGTCTCTGCTGCCCCTTAATGTCAGCGTTTCCACACGAGTGCGGCAGATGACGCCCTTGCCACGTTACCCAAACCGCTATGGGGAGGAGGAAGAGGAGGGATGTGTGAATAGGTTGCTGAACACAGGGGAAATCCTCCTGTGATATTTCCATTTCCTCCCTTAGCTCGTCTGACATGATTTTACTCGCAAACACTTTGTCGAGCTGAAGATGAAACGCGTTTGCCTGGTTTTGCCTCTGAAACACACCTCTAGAGATAAAAAAAAACAACTAAATGGCATTTGGCATTTCACACTTCATTAAATCCAAAAAAAACGAAAAAAGGCAATGCAGCATCAATAAAAAGCAAAGAGGCTGCGGGTTTAAAGTGTAGAATGGGAGGAAACTCAGACACACAGCGTTGATTCTGCAGAAGAAAAAATCACTCAGCGAAGCCGAGGCCCCGCAGAGAGCTCCGGCTTCTCGCTCTGCCCGTCCTCTCATCTCGCTGACAGCCGCTAAACACGGGCGACACGCTGAGGGTGGAGAACACGTATGAGATGAAACCGACGCGGCTAAGAGGCCCTGAGAGGGAAAAACTGGCTGCATGTTACGGGAGCTAATCCTCCACCTGGCTCCAACGATGTGGCCCCGGGGGTCAGCGGGTGAGTGGAGGTGTTCCGCCCTCAGCTTCCAGGGTCAGCGACACACAATTGGCCCCATTTCAGCAGAGTATTCAGTGTGTCACTGTTGTTGATGAAGATCAAGTCTGTATAAAGAACATTAAACAGTAGCGCGTGTCAGAATTTAGAGGGATAAGCAAAGCCTTTTGGCAGCTTCCCAGTAGAAAAAGAGCGATTTTCATCTGATCTCAGTTGCGGGGAGGACTCATTTCATCTGGTAGCTCTAGCTCTGGTAGAGATGTCCACCGATGGAAAATGACTAAATAAAGAACCCTGGTTCTGCTTCGGTTTTCTGGAGATAAAGAAAGTTACAAATAAACGCCGCCTCAACACACAAACATGCAGCGTGTCACTGGAAGACGTCGGTTTAGCATGAGATGAATTTAGGGGGAAAAGAAAATGATGGAATCATCATCATCATCATCATCATCAGACAACAGAGAATCTATTCATCTTCCAGCGTCTGATAATTCATCTGAATCCGTCTTGTGGATCAGATTCATTTCTGTTAACATAAAGTATTTTCATGTCGTGTTTCCTTTGATGTGGAACAAAGGGTTAACAGCAGAGCACAGTGTTCTTTGTTTGAATGAAAGGCGGAACTTGATGTTAGGAATGTTGAGCTGAATTCAGAAAATAATGATGAGGCTACGCTGCCACCTGCTGATGAAAATGCACATCATCATAATGCCAAAGTTGTTTTTATTGAAGTAATGCTTTTAAATGGAACGGCCGTTAAAATATAAATGGGACTATGTATCTCAGGAAAAAGGATTTTAGTGGTGAATTAGTTCGTTAAACAATTAACAAGATGCAGTAATACAAACAGAGACAAAAGAAAATACACAAGAACAGGGAAGTGGACATTTTGTTTGATTACACACGCTTGATTCTTGGATCCTTCTGAAATGGATATTGCATAAATGAGAACATTTGGTAAATCCCTCGACTCCACTGAATCCAAGGACCAAACAGTTCACTTAGTTCTGAAAAATTCCTAAAAGTAGCCCAGCCTCCCTCCCTGTCCACAAGGGTCCGGGGAACTACACTAAATTAAAAAAACTTCTGGAAGAACTTTCTCTTTCAGTTTGCTGGACCGGAGGAAATTGTTTCTGATTAAGTTGCTATTACTGTAGCTTCATGATGTCATAATCCCTGTGTGAAATCATAGTCTGGATTGGTAACCAAAGTAACCGTCACCTTTTTAATGTTGCATCAGATAAAGAAAAATAGGTGCTATTTCCCTATGAAATGAACAATGGTCCAGTAAAAAACTCTCTTCAGTTTTTTACGGAAGGCTTCAGATGTCGAATTGTATTTAAATGTAAATGTTTTAATCTACATGATAATAGACTTAAAACCAAGGTAACCTGCAAATACTTTATGTAAAATATCTTTCTAATACATTTATATTGTGTCCTTCTGTCACATAACGTGTAAATAATAAAGTGTAAATGCGAATAGTGCATAACTAAAAACACTATGCAAAATAGTATGACAAAATTTAAGTCTAAAAAAAGGGGAAATTTACTAAATAAATATGGTAAACAATTATATAACAAGATCCCTCACCTCTTCTGTAAATGACATTTAATGACATTAACAATACAATAATGTTGCGTCTCTGGTCTAAAGTACACATGTGTTTTGATGAAAGACCGTTTAGGGGCTGCAGCGACACCGCGTGGTGCTTCCGACTCCGCGCGCGCAGGTTTCTAGGGGACGCGCGCGGACGAGCAGGTGTGAAACTAACGATCAAACTCACAGAGACGGACGGGTCTGAACCGGAAACCTCCCCGTCTGATCTTCAAAATAAAAGCACAATCGAAGTAAAGAGCACTGACATTCAGTGACGTATGAACTGTACAAACTGTTGGATGAAATGTCGAGGTACACTACCGTAGTTTGATTCCCATTATATTTCAATACAACGGTGTATAGTTATAGGCTGTTAACTCGTGTTTAAAAACAGAACCACTGTCACACTGAAAGTTTTTACTATACTATTATTAA